TATATTAAACTATATCCTTATATCGATTACCGTAGATACGAGAGCTTCGTTCTCGTTAGGTCCTACGTTAATTACTAGCTTAGGGAAAAGCCGGATATAGTTTTTAATATCCTTTACGATAATAGAATTTACCGTTATTTTATTCGAAGGGTTAATAAACGGGGCGGTAGTTTACGGTACGCTAGGTATCTTAACGCTTTCTTCCCGATCCTTTTATATTTATTCCTTTATAATCTTAATAACCTTAAGCTAACCTTCGTTAATCTCTATAGCGCGTATCGTAAGGTACTTAACTACTTATTCCGAAAACCCGGGTATAAATTTAATTAAGTCGTCCTACGAAACCTCGAAGCGTTTTCTATTATTCTTATTAATCTTATCTAGCTAAAACTCTCTTAATAATTCGTTAATAGTCTTCGCCTTCTTAGCTAAGTCGTTTATATTCGAAGTAGCGTTTTTACCGGCTTTAGTCGGTTTACGCCTAGGCTATAACGATAGAACTTCTATATCCTCTTAATCGGGTACTTTTCTTTCGATATATTCGCCGTTAAAACCTCTAGCTCGCTTAACTACGTTAACTTCGACTAGGTTCGTTTTAATAATACCCTTATAATAATAAATACCTTCGTCGTCGATAAAACCCTTAGTTTAATTATAACCTAAGATTTCCGTTTCGTATAATTCGTAGCTATATTTACGTTCGATTATTTAAATAACGTTAATCTCCGATATAGCTCTTAGTATTTCTTCTTGCTTTAATACTACCTCCTCGTTTTTAAAGTATCGTAGGTTAAAGGATATAAGCTTTAGCTTTCCGGCTAAGTAGTAATATACTATCTTACGTACTTACTTTAGAGATTCCTTACTTTAATATACGTAAAATAAGATATAATAAGCGATCGGTTCTCCTTTACGCTTAACTTAGGTAATAATCGATCCTAGGATTAGCGTTAACTCTAGCTTATCCGGGTTTCCGTTCTCGAAGTAATATAGTCGCTTACTATTCCTATGGTAGAACCGATTCTAGGTTATATTTATTAGTAACGAATAGCGGCTATAGTTATAAAGCCGATCGAAAATACTATAAAATTAATATTCGAATTCCTTATAGTTATTCGTCTAGGTTAATAGAATCTTATTACGTATGCCTCGGTAGTTTAATATAATATTACGTTTAAAACTTACTAAGGTCCTTCCGTTAATTTATAGGTTATAAAGACTTAAGTTCCGAACCGCGTTTACTAAGAACGGGTTTTTTTATTAATATTATTAATCGACGCCGTACGTATCCTTAGGGTTATAAGAGCTACTTTCCTAACGGTAATTCTACGAAGTTATCTTTATCTCTAAAGCGTTAAGTCGGTCGTAAAAGGCTTATATACTAGCTTCCTAACTAGTACTTAGGTAGCCGTAAAAGGGTCTAGGCTACGAGGAAAGCGGTAGTAGAAGTATCTAAAGGTTAGGAGTCGCTAATCGCTAAACTATTTATATTATAGGCTTCTCGGGTTCTTCGAAAGTTACCGTTTTCTACTATCGTCGTTCTTCGGCTTAGGCCTTATTAGTAATTTATACTACTATACGACGTTCCGCCTACTTATAAAGCTAGGTATAAAGAATCCGGTAATCGATATCTTCGATCCTATTATAATTATAGTCTCCCGTTTTATAGAACTTTATAATTAAAGATATCCGGAATTTATCGATTAGGTATCTTACTTTCTAAGGAAGCTTTCCGTTATCGTTTACGAGCTTAGAAAGGCGTTTATAGTTTATAAGATACGTAAAGATCGCCTTAGGATCGTTAATTACGTTACTTCGTTTTAGCTATACGAGTTTACGTTTAACGTTAACTTAGCCTAGTTTATCGGTAATCTTAAAACGGTACTTTAAGGCTATAACGATAACTCTTTAAATCGTTTAATCCTTCGTAACGTCGTTAATACGCTCCCTAATAATCTTAATCGTAATCTATTCGCCGATCTCTTTAATCTTATCGTCGTCGCTTATACGGTAGCGGTTAAATAATCGATCTATCCTTTCTAGTTACTAGGTTATATTATATTTATTAAACTTAAGCCTAGGGTAATCGGTAGGGTTAGGAAATCTAATAGCTAGTATTACGATAATCGGGATAGCTACCGGTATATTCTAGCTACTAAAGGCCCCGTTATTATTATTCTAAGATAATGCTATAGGGATTAACGGGATAAGTATAAAACCGCGGGTAAGGGGTAGCTAAGTAGGAGTTTTATCGTCGTCCTTTTCCTCCTCGGGCGGATATAGGGGCGGAAAACTAATATCGACTCTTAAGGTCTTTACTAATAATTTAATCTTTATTACTTCGGGTTTTAACGGCGATTTATTCCGTTTCCTAGCTACGGACTCCGTCTAATCTATCGGTACGAGGTATAAAATAGAAAGGGAAGTAATAAGGGTTTTATTATCTAACATAAGGGTAAAGGTATAATAGCTATTATCTATGTCCTAATACTTTTCCTTTAGTATAGATATATTACTATTTATTATACTATTCCGATCGATAGAATCCGGGTATTATACGAGCTTCTTTAATCGGCTAACGCCTAATTAAAGTACGATACGTATTTCCTAAATTAATAGTTTAACTATTATAAATAAATCGACGATAATCCCTCTTATTAAGGTCTAGAATTCCTAACGTATAACCTTCGTTAAGATAATACGTATAAGGGATAAATCCCGAATAAAGAATCGCGTTAGATACGATACCGGTTATAGCTATAAGCCGGTCTCGATCTATCGGGGGTTATTTAATAATATTAACGGTATTATCGCTAGGCGCCGTTTTACGCTTATATTAATACTTCTCGCCATACTAATTATTAGTTAATAATATAAGGCTAGCTTATATATAGGTATACTTATTAGCTCGACTTTAGTTCCGTTTCCTTAATCCTTTATATTTACGTAGTCCTATTAATATTAATTCCTAGTTCTCTTTAAAACTATCGGTTATTAATAGTTATTAGTTTATTAATTCTTATTTATATTATTAATATAAATATTTATATTATATCGTATATTATATCGTCGAATCGCCGTGCCTAAGTATCTTAAAATACCTTTAGTATAATAAGTTATTAGTATCTATATATTTAATCTATATCGATTAATAGGTTTAAAGAGAAAAAAAAGCTATCGTAAGGTCGGCTAAGGTATAATTACTATTAGCCTTTATCCGCCTTTAATATTAATAAGGGAGTAACGGGTCGTATAGGTTATCGTAATTTATATTAAGGCGCTCGTATATCCTTTATATAATAGGTAGATAATTATAAGGAGGCTACCTTAATCGCTACGAGCTTTATTTATTCGTACGAGATATACTATGCTATTAGCGGTTCGAGGAAGCGGTTAGTATCGAGGGCTAAGTACTATCTCTAGTAGCGGTAGTATTACGACGATAGTTCCCTAGGCTTACGGGTTCCTCCGTATAAGTAGGTAAATAACGATACGAGGAATATCTTAATCGATATAAACGCGGTTTAATCGTCGTATTATATCGTAATATCGATAGCTTATTAATGTTATAAATATTAAAGGCTAAGTAATATCCTAGCGGTTATAGTATCGTAATAAAGGTTCCCGGGCTTATACGTACCTTCCTATAGTAGATAAATAACCATAAAACGGGATACTTTATTTAACGTAAAACGCGGGCTACTTCGCGGATTAAATAGTAACGCCGACGGCGATCGGTATCCTTTAAATCCTAGTAGCGTAATAGAAACTTCGTAAACTAAAGGTTAAGGGGTCGAAAAAGTTATAAGGTAGTCGTTACTAAGGAGGAGTAAAGCGTACGCGATGCTAGAAACCCGGATAGGTTTACTCGAAAGTATATTCTACCGAAGACTATAATACGTACGATAGTTTAGGATAGATAAAACTAATATCGCTATATTAATCGAAAGGCAAGGAATTTAATATAGTTATCGTATCTTAGCTATACCCCTTAGTCGTAGAGATATAGTAGTCGCTAGCCCGAAGGTATAAAAGGTAAGGGGAAAAAAGGAGTAAAACGTAAAAGTTACTTATTCGGCCATAGCGGTACGACGAAGTAACTTAAGCGCCTATAATTAAAATAAATATATTAATCGGAGAACGGCGAATCTAATGGTAAAAACGAATCTTTAATTAAGGTAAAAATAATAAAAATAGTAATCTAGTTATGTAATAAATTCGATAATAAGTATAGCATGTCCCGTACTTACGGAAGCTATGGTTACTTTATATAGGCATAAGGCCTATCGTAACGTATTACGTAATACATCAAGAGGGCATGTCTTACCGCACCACTACAATATCTTTTGAGTTAACTTAGAAATATAAGGTTAAAGTTAATAACTTTTATTATAATAATCTACTTTAATTACGTTTTCCTTTATAAACCTTACATTATATAAATAATAACATATATCTATTTATAAATTGAGTACTTCTTTATCTAAATATTAGATAAGTTTTATTATATCTTGCAAATTAATTTATAAATATAAGGTTAAAGTTAGTAACTTTTATTATAAGAATCTACTTTAGTTACGCTTTTCTTTATAAGCCTTATTCTATATTAAGAATGATTTATATTTACTTATAAATAAAGCATTTATTTATTTAAATATTAAAAAATTATAATTATATCTTCTTTATTAACGTTCTTATATATTATAAAAGTTAATAACTTTTATAATATTAACTGTTTTTAACTGCTTATAATTCTTTAGATATTATATTACGTAATATGTAACTTATATACACTTATAAATTAAGCATTCATTTATTTTAATATAAAGGCCGTTTAATTATATCTCTTTAATTGATTTAATAATATATAATTGAAGTCGATGACTTTTATGGTAGGTCAATAAGGTAGCCCCACTTTTACGTTTCGGTCGATTTTCAATTCGCGAAAACCGATTTTCGATTTCCGAAAATCGTTTTGTCGGATACGCACTAATGGTGCACCGTATACAGGTCGGACGTAAGGCACGCCGAGAAGCTAGGCACTGCAACGATCTGCGTATCGTCTCCGTCAGACTTTTTTTTTTGTTCGCTGATAACCTTCAAATGATATAAATTCGTAGCGCCTCGTCCCACCTCCTCCTTGCCTATTTCATGGTCGACAAGTATGTGGACTGCGCAATGGGCGTGCCGCCGCTGTATCCAAGCATTGGTACAGCCCCGGAATCGCCAATTCTTGCGGTTAGCTAGTACAGGTGCGCCAACATACCTATCTATACCTGTCTCTGCCCTTGCCTACGCTCTGCCTTGCCCGCCTTCTCGCGGCGGTTGGCCACCTAACACTCTCGTCTTCAAGATGCGCAGACGAACCTGCCGCTCGTCCTCCTCCAGCGTGCTCGCAACATCGCCGCCGAACATGCGAAACTTACCAGCTCTCTCACCGACGACTTCGACCCCGAGACCGCGAAGCGCGCTGGCGAGCTTTCGCCCGTCGCCAACGCCTTGAAGGAATGGGAGAGCGCCCAGTCCTCCATCGCAGAGCTCAACAGCCTCCTGCAATCACCGGACGCCGAGCTGCGCCAGCTAGCGCGTGACGAGCTGGCGACGACTAAGGCCAAGGCCGAGACGCTCGCGACCGCGCTGTCAGCGTCGCTGACGCCGCGCGACCCCTTCGCCGACATGCCCTGCCTGCTCGAGGTGCGCCCGGGCCCTGGCGGTATGGAGGGACGCTACTTCGCGGACGCGGTGTTCCGCATGTACAAGCTATACTGCGCGCGAGAGGGCATACGCGTCAAGGTGCTCAAGTACGAGACAGTCGACGGTGCGGAGACGTCCGTGGGCGGGGCCAACGAGCTCCCGCTGCAAGAGGCGGTGCTCGAGATCCTCGACACGGGGGCGTACGACCGGTTCCGGAGCGAGGCGGGTATTCACCGAGTGCAGCGGGTGCCCTGGACGGAGGCGAGCGGGCGGACGCATACGAGCGCGGTAGCGGTGTGGGTGTTGCCGTCGTTCCCGGAGGACGAGAACGATATGCCGAACGAACAGAGCTTCAACGACCCGAACAGCATCTTCTACGTGGACCCGCGCGAGGTGCGCGAGGAGAAGATGCGAGCGAGCGGGGCGGGGGGCCAGCACGTGAACAAGACGGAGAGCGCGATCCGGCTGACGCACGAGCCGACGGGGATCGTGGTGTCGATGCAGGACTCGCGGTCGCAGCACCGCAACCGCGAGGTGGCGTGGACGGTGCTGCGGTCGCGCGTGGGGCAGCGGCGGCGGGAGCAGCGCGAGGAGGAGGCGGCGGCGCTGCGCGACAGTGTTCTGAGCCAGGACAAGCTCACGCGCGGCAACAAGATCCGCACGTACAACTACAGCCAGGACCGATGCACGGACCACCGCAGCGGCCTCGACGTGCACAACCTTCCGGACGTGCTCGAGGGCGGCGAGACGCTGAACCGCGTAATGGAGAGCGCGCGCGAGTGGCTCGTGAGGCGCGACATCGAGGCGCTGATCGCGGAGGAGGAGGCCAGCGCCGCGACGGCCACGGGCAAGAGCGCGAAAAAGGCGAAGCGATGAGGGCCGTGGTGACGATACCGGAGATGACGGGACCTCGGCGCCACCCGACGAGGCATCGGTGCAGTGTAAATTACGACGGAAACCAGGCGTATACCGGCGGAGGGGAGGACACGCATGCATATACGCGTGTACCGTGAACGAGAGAGGGCAGACGTCGCGTGAGGGAATCCACATATAGGTATCATTCAACCGTAACACAGACGTCTTACCGAGTTTCAACCTAGGTGATCCCGACGCGCGTCTATCTGCGCCAGTCCAGACCCTCCCCCTAAAGCTTCGATGGGAGGATGGGAGGAGGGAGGACGGTAGGTTGAATTGTCACATCCCCTTGATTAGCAGGTGTAGGCACTGTACGGACCGTGGGATTCCTACGCCTACACATTATCCGAAGAACGTCTACACCTACCTAAGTCTGAGGCGGTCGGTATCGAGCAGTCTACTATTTCCCCTCAAGCTATACCTTAGGCTTACTCTATATACCAAAAGGACAATCCCGAACATAGGTAGGTACTCAGGGCATCACCACCTACGTACCTAGGTACTTTAGGTACCCATATTCTCTCAGATGGCGATAGCTAATACCTACCGGAATGTTTGTCTCGGCGTCTTATCTTGAACCCCGACGGCCCGGCAAATGTGCAGCGGTGTCCTAGCAACTTGCCGTATCAAGCCCCTCCCACTCCCCCCCTCCCGAGGTAGCTGGCCGGAACGCTTGAAATGACGGCGCGAACAGCTTCCCGCGGCCGGGCCCCGCCCCGTCATACCCGTAACGACCTAGCAGCTCTGCCGCGTACGTGCTACGGAGGATGGGCAAGCGGGTAATACGTGAAATCTGACATCGTCGATAGGGAGTCGTAGGTAGGTAGGTAGGTAGGTAGGTACAGCGGAGAGCCGGCACCGGTGCGATAGAGGCGAGAGAGGTGATGATGTCTCCTGTCAGCACAAACTGCAACCAGTCTTCATTGCGGGCAAATGTTTATTTTATACCTAGGTACCTACACTTATCTGCCCCTTCGCGCGATGCGGTGCGGTGCCGGTTCTGATCCCGCGGCCGTAGGCGGGAAGAGCAGCGCCGCCGTCTCGTGCAAGTGATTCGGCAGTATCTTCAGCTTCCTCAACGAGCGAAGAGCGAGAAAGCAAGTGGTGTGTGGTGTGTGGGGCCAATTCCCCCGCAGCGCAGATAAGCCGGGCGAGGACCAGGTAGGTACCTGGCTATACCTCCCTACCTACATACACTTAGGGCTATAGGTACTGAAACCACCCGTAGCAGCGGCGACGAGGCAGCACACCGTACGCGCTGGGTGCTCTTAACCAGGACTATAGGTAGGTAGGTAGGTACCCAGGCAGGTACCTACGGGTACCCTTAGGTGGGCTGCCTGTGGTGATTCAACTCGTGGTGCCGGTAAATCAGGTACCTACCGACTACCTACTGGAGAGCAGGCATGCGCTGCACGTTCCAGCGAGGTCATACCGACGTAACGCAGTCGACCGGAATGTGCACCTACCTCTTACGGCTAGAGACGCGTCTGCAGGGGAGGGTAAGTCGGTACCTTTAGGTACCGGGCGTGTCGTCGGCACGCTCCCGTTTCTTCCTCTGCATTCCCTCTCTGCGTCTCTCTCCCTCCCTCGTCCCCTCTTCCTCCTCTGCACACATACATGCGCGCCTTGCCGGCGCCGTGCCTGCGATGGCCCGTCTCCTTCGCCTACCCGGCTATTTACGTGGACGTGCGTGTGCGTGTGCGTGTGCGCGTGCGGGCGTGGGCGCGATGCAGTGATGCAGTACGAGGGTAGCATCGGAGGCCAGCCGCCGCCGCGGGTCCCGGCCGTTGCTATCTGGCAAAAAACCAGCTCCCTATCTGGGCCAAGCGAGCAGCGAGGCGCGAGCCACCTGGGGATGACGAGGGCCAGTGGCACGGGGGAGAGGGGAGGCGTCAGAAGCAGCGGCGGCGGCATCGGCAAACCCAACCAGACCCATCACTGCGAACCCCGGCTCAGTCCTCGTTCGCCCGCTGATCCTTCTCGCCCTCTGTCGGCCCAGCGACCCCGGATTTGGGCTGGGCTTGCGTGTAGGGTGATCGACGACGGCAGAGCAACGAGAAGTGTGTTCACCTTCTGCTTCTCTCTCCCTCTCTCCTCTCTCCTCTCTCTTCCGTCTCTTCTCCCTCCTACCTTCTCTTCCCTTCCTCTCTCCTCTGTTACTCTCGGCCGCCCATCCACCTATACAGGTACCTAGCCAATTACCTGCTCACCCTCTCTTCTGCTGTCGTCGCATTACCCAGAGTCTCTGTGCAGCAAGTAAGCGACTCTCCTTTTCTTGACCTTAGAGCCCCGGCTTCTGGGACGAAAGCTATCGGTCGGTCCAATTGGGTCACGACGACTTCACATACCTGTCGCTGCCTGTGCGCTGCATGGGTGATACCTCGCTAGCCAACCAGTCGTTCAATTGATCGGGCTGAGTCAGTTTGCCAGTATGCGCTGGCCGACACTCGCTTCCGGGCTGCTGCTCTCCGCCGCGGCCGTGGATGCCCGGAGGAGCTACCAGCACGTGGGGAAAAAGGACCCGGCGCCGAAGAGGTCGGCTGCCTCCGATCGCGACGGCTTCTTGGCGCACTACTTGGCCACGCGACAGCTTCCCGAGCCCAAGTTTGCGAACGAGAACACCACCAGTACGGCCCCTCCTCCCTAATTCCTCTCCTCCTACTGCTGCCTGTGCGAGCAACGTACGGGAAGCGTGTATAGGTGAAGAAAGTATCTAACAGGTGCATCTTGTGCGTCTCGCCAACAGGATTCGCTGTCAATGGCACCGGAATCCCCGATGTCGACTTTGACGTCGGCGAGTCCTACGCTGGATACCTCCCCATCAGCGACCTCCCGGACGAGAACAACGAGCTCTTCTTCTGGTTCTTTCCTTCGTCGGCGCTCAATTCGACCGAGAGGGAGATTCTGCTCTGGCTCAACGGTGGTGTAAGTAATTCCCTCTTTGACGAGCCAATCCTTTGGGACCCTGCGCCGGAAAGAGACACATGGTAGCAAAGTTCGTTGCGTAGTGTCGCGTGGCTAACCTGTATGCCCCCCTATAGCCCGGCTGCTCGTCCTTCGAGGGACTGCTTCAGGAGAACGGTCCATTCACGTGGCAATATGGCACCTTCAAGCCGGTGCCGAACCCTTGGGCCTGGAACCGCCTCACGAACGTGGTCTGGGTAGAGCAGCCGGTCGGAACCGGCTTCTCGCGCGGCACCGTCACGGCTCGTAGCGAGGAGGATGTAGCTGCCCAATTCCTCGGCTTCTGGCGCAACTTTATCGACACTTTCTCGCTGCAGGGCTATAAGGTATACATCGCTGGCGAGTCGTACGCGGGCCTCTACTGCCCCTACATCGCGTCCGCCATGCTCGACGCGAACGACCCGGCCTACTTCAACGTCAGCGGCTTGCTCATTTACGACCCGGTTCTCAGCGACGACGTGGTTCAGACCTCTACCACGACAGTCCCCTTTGTCGACTACCACCGCAACCTCATGCCTTTCAATGACTCCTTCAGCGCCTACATACACGGCTTGCACGATACCTGCGGCTTCGCCGAGTTCAACGAGAGGTATCTCACGTATCCACCGCCGGGCCCGCAGCCGCCCAACTATGCTGAGGGCGTGAGCGAGGAGTGCAGCAGCCTGTGGGAGGTGGTTCTGACCGAGGCCCTTAGCATTAACCCTTGCTTCGACGTCTACCAGGTCGCCACCACCTGCCCATTACTGTGGGACGTGCTCGGCTTCCCGGGAACTTTGGGTTATCTGCCCGAGGGTGCCGGAACAGTCTACTTCGACCGCGACGACGTCAAGCGTGCGATCCACGCAGACCCAGCCACCGAGTGGGCGGAGTGCGCCGAGCTCGACGTCTTCGTCGACGGCAGAGATACGTCCGACCCGTCCTCGTGGCGCGTGCTGCCGCACGTCATCGACGCGACCCAGAAGGTGATCATCGGGCACGGTACCCTCGACATGATCTTGCTGCCGAACGGGACGCTGCTCGCGATCCAGAACACGACGTGGGGCGGGCAGCTCGGGTTCCGAGAGGTGCCCGCGGAACCCTTCTTCGTGCCGCACCACACGCTCGGGTCGGCAAGCGACATCTTCGCGGAGACGGACCCGCTGCGGCTGTCGTCGATCGCGGCCCAGGGCGTCGCGGGCGTCGCGCACACCGAGCGCGGGCTCACGTACGTCAGCATCGACCTCGCCGGCCACATGGTGCCCCAGTACGCGCCCAGCGCCGCCTTCCGCCAGCTCGAGTTCCTGCTCGGCCGCGTCGACAGCCTCTCGTCCGTCGCGCCCTTCGCCATCGAGCCCAACTACCCGCAGCCGCCCGCCGACACCCTCGGCTCCGGAACCGGCCCCGCCACGACCGGCAACGCCAGTGGCGCCGGCACGAATCCCGCCGGGGCCGAAAACACGCCAGGCACGAGCGCGGCGACCAAGATGGCGCCCGGCAGCGGCGCCGCGGTGTCGGCGGCTATCGGCGCCGTAGTGGTGCTGGTGAGTTTCTGGTAGGGAATGTTGGGGGTAACTCTCGTGGGTTATAGGTAAATATGCGTTTTGGGGAATGCATGCGTACGGCACTTAACCCAGAGCGGTAATCACTGGAATAAGGAATCCCAATATTTGGTCGTCCCGCCGGTATCTGTGAATGGTGTTGACACGTGTGGGTGCATGCATATACAGAAGGATAGGTAACTTCGTGGTACATGGCAAGCCAGCCAACTAGTTGGAGGACGGACTGAGACACGAGTTGGTCAACTGAGGCTACGTTAGGCATCTCAAATACAAGCAGACATCCGTGGGTATACGAAGAACTTTTCTCTTTACGACTATCCCCTCTTCTCTTCTCATCTAAAGTCACATTGTTTCCATTATCGAATATCAATTCAACTTTGGTGTGTGTGTTTTTTTTTTCCACTTGGCAATTCGAGATCACGTTACAAGGGCACGCCCTCCCCTTCCGTATCCCCGTGTCTCCAAACGAACGTGTCGGTCGAGCCAGGAGAGCCACTCTCGAGGCGACGAGGACCGGGTCGGCAGCAACTAATAGATAGCTCCCTCCACCTTTCCTCCCGCCCGCGCCGCATACCGCCTCCTATGCCCGATCCCGCCGCCACTGGTCACATACAATACACACGTACACGCATACCACGCATCCCTCCGTCCGATGACGCATTCGCACACACGGACACGCAACGACGCCGTCTTCAGCTAGCAAGTGAGGGGAGTCGAAAAGAGGGTGAGGGTGGGAGAAGACGAGCGAGTGCTCAACTTGCGCCTCGCCCACCCGACGGTGTCCTGGGTTTCCGTAGCCGTACGTATCCCGTCGCATTCCACGTCTTCCATACAACAGCACGTCGCCACCATCGCCGTGGCCCAAAATAAGAAACGAGGAAGCGTTCCTTCGCCCTTCGTCATCCTTCGTCCTACTATCCGGCGAGTCGAGCCCGCGGTGCCCTAACGCCACGCTAAAAGTTATTTTTTCCCAGCAGCCTAGACATATGTCATTATACAGTGTTTTTTGTCGTCTTCGATTTTGATTTTGGGTTTCTTTTTTTTCTTTTCGTTGTGTCGCTCTCCCCTCTCATAATACGGGAGGGGGGGAGGAGAGCTTAGACCCGATACTCAAGGGGACGACTGGTCGAAGACTCCCGCCTTACCCTCGCGGCGCCTGAGCTCGCGGAGCACGGCGACGACGCCGTTGTTGCGCAACCGCTCGAGGACGATGCGCATGCCGTCGCGCGACTTGACCATTTGGTCGTCAGTCTTGGTGGATGCGATGGACTCGATGCTGCGCTGGATGCGTCGGGCGCCCCAGCCGGAGATCCAATCGCCGATCCGGCGCGGGCTACCATTATCAGGGGTGGCAGTGGCGGCGGCGGCATGGCTAGCGACAATGTCTGGCTTGTCGTGTCGTCGGCCGCCCAGCATCGAGTGGTAGGACAGCGTGGTGGTGACGAAGGTATTCGGCGAGAGCGGTCGCAGGTGCGCGCCGACGGAGGCGGTTCCTCGCGGCGGCGTCGGAGAAGCGGGCTGGTCGGCAGGGGTGGCCGAGTATTGCTGCTGCTCGACAACGCTCAGGACGCCAGTGAAGTTCAAGTTGCGGCTCTCGGTCTTCATCCAGCCTTCCTTGATATCGATGACGCTCGTCTCGAGGACATAGCTGGACTTGTCGCCGCCGCCGCCGGTGACGCTAGCCGGCAGCAGCTTCACTACGGCAGTAGGTATGCGGGACTTCTTCAGGTGGATGCGGGTGGTGTGCAGACGGCCGGTGGCGGGGTCGACGTGGGAGGAGATGGTATCGGTAGAGAGGACATGGCTCGAGAAGGGATTGAGGTGCGGGGAATAGTAGCGCAGGAAGAAGGCCAGAGTGACGGTCGGGAACGGGTGGGCGTAGGTGTGGTTGGTCGTATGGGTGAGGACCATCGTGGTAGGCTACGCGCGCGATCCCAGGGACTGATCTAGGCTAGTTGGTGCGAGTACGCGGCGAGAGCGCCTAGATATCCGACTGTGGCGAGCAGGCCCTGTCAAGCCTTTTCTTCTTTTCTATTCGTAGAAGGACGCGCGATGCCTAGCGCCCGAGATTGCTTATATCGACATGAGGCTGGGTTACCCGTATCGGATTCGGTGCTGCTGTAGCCTCGAATCCGTAGGGCTTCGGAGGGGTGTCTTTTTTTTCGCCGGGGGGGGTTTTCAGTCTTGGCGGATCCAATCGTACTCGCGCCGATGGGCCGAGGATGAGGTGATGGAAGCTCTAGGCATGCGTCGACGAGTGCGTTGAACAGTAGGGAAGTGTGCGAGGAGTCGGCGGGTGGGCAGTTTTTAGGGGGGAGGGAGGGAGAAGGAGAAAAAAGGAGGAGGGCGAGGGCGAGGGCAAGGAGGGGAAGCAGGAGAGAGCCGTCGGAATCAGGACGGAAGCAACGGCCACGATCTCAACGGCAAGGTGCGGTGCAGCAGGTACGGCACTACGGACAGCGGGCGCGGTGCGTGTGAATGTATTGAGGTACCTACGTGCTTGGGTTTTGTAGGTACCTGACCACGCGAGGGACTGCGTACCGGTACCGCGTAGCAGTAGTGTGATGTGTGCACCGGCCGTACCACGTACTTACGTAGACGATTGGATGTTAGTGGACGGCTAGTGGGACGAGGTCGAGACCGTGGGAGGGAGGAGCGATGGTAGAACATTCGACGCTCCCGCTTTTCCTCCTCTCCCCTCGTCACTTTTTATTCTCGTTCTTCTTGGCCGGCTCCGCCCCGCTCTGCCTCTTCGGTGTGAATTAGAGGCAAGGTTTTTTTTTTTAAATGTTTAAGTTTTTAAGTTAAGGTTTTTTTAAAGTTTTCTTTTGATTTTTATAAGTTTTTCTTCCTTAAAATTTTAATACTTTTAATATATATTTATAAAATAATTTCTTAAAATAAATATAGATAAATATAAAACTCTTATTATTAAATTATATTTAATATTAAAATATATTACCATATACTAAAAAGTAGTTTAAATAAATGAATAAATATTATAAACTTACTAATATATAATTAAAAACTTCTTTTAAAATATATATTTTATAAATTAAAAATAAAATTTTTAAGTTAAAGTAAAGTAAAGTTAAATTTTATATAGAAGTTAAATTAGGTTGCGTTTTTATTTTTAAACTCTATTCTTAAGTTAAGTTTCATTCTAACTAAACTTGAATTTTTCTTTTTCTTTTTTACAACCTTGATTAGAGGTAACTCGACGCGAACGATTCCATCCCATTCTGTAGCGTCGCCTTGTTCCTTGTCTGTACACGTATATGTAGCTAAGTACCTACTTACTGTACCTACATCCTCCAATTGGCAGAGTGCGGGGGAAAGCTTGGACCGCCGGCGGCTGCCCAACCCGACGTCCGCCCGCCAATCAGCATTTCGCATTTGCGGCTTTGTCTCGCCTTTGCGTGCCGATCTTGATTGGCCCACAGGTGCATCGTGCTCGGTACACACACGATACCTGCCTCCCTTGCATCGCCCATCATCAATTCTACTTTCACTGCTACGGAGCATGCAAATAAGGTGCTTCTCCGGCCTTCATCCCTCGGCCGTCCTCTGCAGCGGAGCGGCATCGAGAGCACGAGTCATGCCATTCCTGCCCTCTGCGGATTATCCAGGTCGGAAGCGGAGGCAACCCATGCGATGGATTGTCAGCTCTCGTTTTGGTTCTCCCAAGTCCTTCTGCTCGTCAGAGCCGGCCTTCACAGCCGGCCATACCCGTTGCTGGGCGATATGGGGTCGTGTCAGTTTGGAGGCGCGTGGCCATAGTCCATGCCATCGCCACAGCAGGGCCCCGAGCCGCGAAGACAAAGAACAACCCCACGCCGAGAACGGCTATCAAGCGGAGATATTGGACAGAATGTAAGCTACGCATCGGCACTATCTTCCGCTGGCTGGTGGCCAAGTCTGGTCAACCAACCGGCGCTGTCCTGGTTTCGAGATCTTCGCGCCCACTGCCGTCTTTCCAGTTGCTAGACTCCCTCCGTGATCATCGTACGTTACATTGCACCTACGGCAGTTCGCCGTCCTAGTGGGAGACTCGCCGCGGAGTCATAACCAACCTTATACTCGGATATCCACGTTTCTCTCGTGGGTAGGGAGTTGGAGCGGGAGCATCCTGTAAATTGCCAGCATCTATGGGGCGAAGTACCTAATTGACATACCCATAGGTGTAGATATCTTCTCAGAAGGCGATCTGGGGAGGCTATAAGGACCTCGGTCTAATGAACTGACACACTGATGATGTAGAATGCTGGGCCAGGTCTCTTGGAGAGACATTTAGGGTCGTAGGTACCTATATTACAACTACCCTAGGCGGTACCTACAGATCAGTAGGTTACTTGACGAAGGATAGATTCGATTCCTAACAGCGCTACTTGGTAGTCTTCGTTATTTAGCTCATCTCCTACACAACAAAGAATCACAACAGGTACCTCTAGATGTACCTACACTATGACCTGTCTGTGGCGCACAGGCCTTCCCTTTGCAATCGAGGTACGTACTGTGGCGTAAGCTGCCCTGGGCCGAGGCCAATGGGAGTCGGGCCCCGCCAACATCCCACTTACATCATCCATGGCGCGGTTTTATCGAACAATCCATCACCAAATCGTTCATCTCGTTTCTTCTGCCAGCTCCTGTTCATCCAAACCCTCGACAAAACCTGTCTGTCCACCACCACCACCACCACCACCACCACCACGCCATTCCCACACCCGCCTGCCTAGTTCGTGTCGCATGTAGACCACACCTCAACATGTTCTCCCGACCCTTGTTCTCGGCGGTACGTCCGTCCATTAGCTCTCGCTAGCTCTCGTTCTAATCCCCTCCGGAGGCCAAGCGTCCGAGTCACTAACCGTCCTCATTCACCCTTCCTCTGTCCAGACCCTCCGCCGCGCAGCCGCTCGGCCACTGGCTCGCCCAGCTGCCTACAGCCTCCGGCCGCCTCCCTTCCTCACCGCCTTCCAGAAGCGACTGCTCTCAGACGACACCCGGCAAGCCATCGAGAAGGCCGTCGCCTCGTCGCGCGTCGTGCTGTTCATGAAGGGCACCCCCGAAACGCCCCAATGCGGCTTCTCGAGGGCCAGCATCCAGATTCTCGGCCTGCAGGGCGTCGACCCCAGCAAGTTCGCCGCCTTCAACGTCTTGGAAGACAACGAGCTCAGACAAGGTGCCCAGTTCCCAGCTCCTTTGTATTTGGGAAGGCGGAGAGAGGAAATAAAGCAAAGAAGGCGAGGTAGGATGGGATTAGAATGTCGAGCCAAAGCTGACAGGTGTGTGTTTCTGTTCCGCAGGTATCAAAGAGTTCTCGGAGTGGCCCACGATCCCGCAGCTCTACATCGACAAGGAATTCATCGGCGGGTGCGACATCCTCGTCTCCATGCACCAGGACGGCTCGCTCGCGAGGATGCTCATCGAGAAGAACCTCCTGACGCCCTTAGACGGCAGCAACGGCGACGGCGGCAACGGCAACGCCAGCAGCTAACCGAACGGATCAGTGTATATACGGTGGCCCGTGGGAGGCTTAAGCTGCCTGGAATGGGCAGTCATTCGTCAAGGGAGAGCCCGGCTTGTACGATTCAGAGACTCAACACCTAACGTAGATACTTCCCCTCCGTGCTCGACATCGAGAACGGCTGGGTCATATAACCAATTAATGATACCACGAGATGAGATCTTCATCATCCACGTCTGACCTCGGCACGATCCTCCGGATATGGAGAAGGTAGAGAGTACACCAATCCGGTTTAAGTGGCATTGCTAGAATATTAACTCCTTATTATATACCTACCTCCGGTATCTCTAGGCGTTATCTCGGGAAGGAAACATAACCCTGCCATCCCCTATTATATCCGATAGCCAAGAGTGGGTTATTTTTCTATAGAAAAACATGATGAATACAGGAAAGGAGGGGAAGTAGGCGAACGGACGGGCATTCATCACCTAGCAGCATGCGAAACATGCTCTTACGATAGCAACGAGTGGTGAATACGCAGTCAATATACAAAGGGGTGCATAGTTCCTACAATCCGATGACTGGCTCGTACAATAAAAAGGAGAAATTGACATACTTCCGTCTCGAGACAGGGGTCGTAGTCGCTTTATTTATGGCGGTAACAAAAGTTAGACATCGCGTGGCTACGTAAGATAAGGATGTCGCCGTTCTCACCCCGGCAGCCTTTCCCTTCACGTCTCTCTCCCTAGCATCGAGACATCACGGCCTCGCGCCTGCGCAAGAGCCCCCCCCCCCTCCCCTCAGGCTACAACGGGTACGCGGCGCCGTCGCCGCGGGGATCGCTGCCGGCGGACCAGACGCCAACGCTGTCGAGCGGGTCGACGCTCCAGCGGATGATCTGGCCACGGCCGAACATGGCGCGCTCCATGTCGGCAACGAGCCGCACGTCGTGGCCGAGCGCGCGCAGGCCCTCGACCGTCTCCGCCGGCATGCCCTCCTCGACGTACACGGGCCAGGCGCCGGCCGCGCCGTCGTCCGCGCCCGTCAGCCACGACGCGCCGCCCACGCCGCCGAGGCACACGCGCGGCGCGTCCAGCGCCTGCTGCGGGCTCAGCCGCCCAACCACCTGCCCCAGCAGCACCTGTACGTGGCCTTGCGGTTGCATGAAGCCGCCCATGACGCCGAAGACGCTGTGCAGGCTGCCATCGTGCAGGTTGGTCGCGGCCGCGGGGATGATGGTGTGGTAGGGCCGCTTGCGGGGCGCGAGTACGTTGGGCGGCCGTGCGCCCGCACCGTCGTCCTCCTCGAGGGTGAAGTTAGCCGCCCGGTTCTGCAACGTGAAGCCACACCCCTGCGGCACGATGCAGGTGCCGAACCCGCCATAGTTGCTATTGATGAAGGAGATGGCGTTGCCCCCAGCATCAGCCACCGCGAGGTATACGGTGTCGCTGCTGCGCAGGGCGGGCGACCCGTGCGGCAGCGTGCCTAGCGCTGCGGCGTGCCCCGGGTCGAAGAGCGCCGCCCGCTGCGCCAGGTACTCGCGCGATAGCAGCTCCGCTGACGGCACCGCCTCCACGTTAGGGTCGGCCACGAACCAGCTCGCGTCGGCGAACGCGATACGTAGTGCCTCGATGACCGCGTGCAGGTACGGCGCCGTGTTGAAGTCAGCGGGGGTCCAAGTCGGGATGCGCCCGGCCGCCTCGAGCGCCTCGAGGATCCCGAGCGCCAGAAGCGCGACGATGCCCTGGCCGTTAGGTGGGTGCTCCCAGAGCTCGATGCCGAGGTCCAGCTTCTCGTCGCCACCGGCCCCGCCATCGCGCAGGACCGTGTCTTTGAACAGCTGCGCGACGTTCTGACCGCGGAACTGAAGCGAGATGGCGTCGACAGGCTCGCTGCCAGTCGCGAGGTGGTGCGCAAGGTCGTCGAGCTCGAGCAGGCCCCCGAGGTCACGGACCACTTTGACTAGCTCCTCGGCCACGCGCCCCGCGTAGAACCCCTTCTTGCCCTCGGCGGCCAGCGTGCGGAATGTCCGCGCGAGCGTCGGATTCTTCATGATCTCGCCGGCACGCGGGGCCCGCGCCCCACCCGTAGCCCCAGGGTCCTTCTTCAGCATCTCGGCCCCGTTCAGCGACGCCCCCCGGATCTGCGCCTCTGACTTGTCCCACTGCGATCGCGCCGGCGTCTCAGTCGTGTGTGCGGATAAAAACGTATGCATACGGCATACATGCACATATATATACTAGGTAGGGGTGGGGGGGGGCCGGGGTGCAAACTCACAAAGTATGCGACGCCCTCAGAGACGGGGAACCCTTCCTCAGCGAGGCGTATCGCGGGGGCGAGGATCTGAGCGAGGGAGAGCTTGCCGCTGCCGAAGCGCTCGACGGTGTCGACCCAGCCGGCGGCGGCGCCAGGCACGGAGACGGCATGGACGCTATTCATGGGAATGCGGCCGCGCTCGCCGGGCTTGAGGCCGAGCGCGCTACGGATCGCCTCGAGCGTGTACTTGCTGCCGGAGCGGCCAGATCCGTTGAGCGCCGACACCTTCTTGGCCGTCGCGTTGTAGAATAGGCAGAACATGTCGCCACCGATGCCGGTCGAGCACGGCTCGGTCACGTTGAGCCCGGCGGCTGTTCGCGCGAAGCCCCAGCTGGCTGTTAGCGACGTGCGCTCTAGCCCCCCTTTTTCTTACCTCTCTTTGGGCCGGACACGGATGGCGAAATCATCAGGGACGCGGCAACAACAACATACCGACAGCTACAGCCGCATCCTAGAGCAAGCCGAGGTGTCAGCGACGCCCCTCTTTTTTTTTTTTTGAATCGCCCGAAGAAGAATCGACGTACCGCGCAGTTGCCGCCAGCCTCGAGAACCTCTATGCCACACTTGGCGGCCAGCGGCTGGGTGCAGGCGACGATGCCCCTGGTGCTGTGGACGACGCTGCGGCGGCTCGCGAACTTGGAGAAGACATGCGACTCCGGCGGGAACACGGAGGCTGTGGTGAGAGGCATCGTGAGCGGCGGTCGAAGCGAATAACAAGAGCGCTAATAAGTTTAGAGTTCCTTAACACGAAGTTCTTCTTCTATTGCTCGTTCTTCTCCTACACCGCGGCGGAGCGGCGATTTAATGTCTCGCTCCGATGCGCGGGCGGGGTGTAAGTAGGGTATGGACAGGGTCTCGGGGCCTTCAGGGATCCAGGGGCGATAACGGGACGGGCGGTTACGTGGGCGGCAGAGCCAGGGCGTAATAGGCACCTAGGTCCTATCGGGCGATAGGTATTTATAATAGGGTAGCGCTTGGCGACACAGCATCCACGATGTGGCGCGGAATAGGAGGGCTGGGATTCACTCGAAGCGGACGTGGGAGGCTACGCTACGTCGAGTAACAGAAGCAGGTTGCTGAACAGCGCTCTGCGCCAAGGTCGTCGACTATTGGGTGTCCTCTCTCAGCGTCGTGTCATCGGGGCCCGAGTTTCGGAGCCGTCCGCGACGGCATCGGTGGCACTAGTTCGGGGCTAGGTGAGAAAGAATGGCCAGGGTAAGGAGGATAGATCTCGGGGACGCAGGCAGGACAAGAAGATATCGACAGCTAGCTGTGCTTTGTACTTGCAGGTTATGTAGGGGGTATCGCAAAGAGGGAACGGGGGGCAAGGTGCCGGTCAATGCCAGGCATTACCAGAAGCCGGTTTCTTCATACCCGTCCACGATTCCGTAAGCCTACGTCGGTCCGTCTGACAAGAGTTCCGCCGCCGAAGAGCTCGTCTTCAAGCCCCGGGATGCCGAGCCCTCTTCCTCCCCCCCTCCCCCCTCCTTCCGGCCTAGGGACTTTTATTCGAGGAATCTTGCTAGGCGGCCGACGGCGCTGTGTAACGAGGCATAATATAGAGAGAGGCCACTCACACAGGAGGGTATTCGGGTGCTCGTTCAGGCAAAGAGCCTCGGCCATCTCGCAAGAAACGACATCCTTCATCCTGTGGTGGTGGCAGTAGTGATACTTTGATTTCCGAAGTATAGCAGCACAAAGCAGAGCCATTTTCATATGGTACCTAGGGCCCTAGGGCCCTAGATGATCCATTGCTCAGCGAGCGTAGGTTGGCCTGCAGTTTACTCCTCCCCTCCGCCCAGTCGTGGGCAAAGGGGGCCGCCGTCCCTGCATAGGGTCTTGTACGTCGCTGCATCCGGTGGGTATGATGGCATCGTGCCTCTGCTAAGGGACACATATAGGCCTATCCATAGGTGAGGTATAGGAGGTAGGTCGGCGTGCAACAGCGATCAGGACACAACCTAGGAGATGAGCTAAATAGCGAAGACTACCAAGTAGCGCTGTTAGGAATCGAACCGATCCTTCGTTAAGTAACCTACTGATCCCTAGGTACCTACCTAGACACCTAAGGTGCAGGTACCCAAGGTACTAACCCTCTTGTAGGTAGGTACCTACAGGCACCAAAAGTGCCTAGGTACCTCCTAAGAAGGTACCTACCTACAGCAACGGCGCCTTCCCCTGCGAGGGTTACCCCGCATTCCGATGTCATGCGATCCGGGCGGCACGCCTCGAGTACCGCACAGGTACCTACGTCGACAGCGGTACACGACGTCGGGCGCCGCCTGGGCAGCGGGCCACGTACCCGGCACATCGAGCCTACGTGCGACGGCGAACCGGCCGTGGCGCAGAAACGCCTCTTGGACGTGGGTATGACGTGGTGCGGCGGCGTGGCGTGACGCTCGCAGCATCGTCATAACTCTGTACCACCGCCGCCACTGCCCGACCTGGTCAGAGATGAGCCGCAAAGGGAAGTTGGAGCCGACCCGCGTCCACCCGCGCGCTGCTTCCCCGACCTCGCAAGGCCTGTTCTGCCCGTCTCTGGGGGCTCCGGCCGGTCGTCGTCCTTTATCGGAGTCACCCTCTGCTTCGTCCCCTATATAATAGGTATCCCATAGGTGCTGAGACCGCTCGCGATACGCGTTATCCTATGTCCGTCCCTCCGTCGCGATAGACGTTGGCAAGACAATTCCAGACTCCGGAAGAGGAAAAGAGAACGCAACCGTATACTCTCCCATTGCGCTGCGTACCGACCTGCCCATCGAGGGGCCCTATTTGTGAACTCGGGTCCAACCTCTTTCCCCCTGTAGGGATTCCGTTCCCTTCCCGACTCGACTCGTCGCAGGGAAACCAAGGAACCAGTAAGAGAAGCAAATAAAGAAAGCCCGAAACCGAAGCCATGCTCCAAGCCATCTCCTCCGCCCACGACCCCCACCACGAGCGCCGCCGCAAGAACTCCCTCGTGAGCCTAAGCGCCGCCCTGCTCGACGGGAAGACCCACCTGCTGCTCGCCGCCAGCGGATCCGCTGCCACCGTTAAGCTGCCGCTCATCGTCGAGGCCCTCGGCTCGCGGCACCAACAGCGGCGACGGCAGCAGAGCGACGGCAGCCGCAGCAAGGACCTCAGCATTCGCATAATCCTAACCCCGGCGGCCACCCGCTTCCTAGCCGGCCAGTCAGCCGACCAGCCCCCGGTGTCAGCCCTGCTTTCGCTGCCCTGCGTTGACGGCGTATATGTCGACGCCGACGAATGGCGCGAACCCTGGAAGCGCGGCGACGCCGTTATGCACATCGAGTTACGACGCTGTGAGCACTCCCTCCCCCTTCCATCCCTTTTCCTTCCCCTTTCCTTCCCTCGCTCCCCCTCTCAGCCACAAGCGAGATCCTTTAAGCCCAAGCATAGCTAACGCCGTCACCGCAAACGCAACAGGGGCACACCTCCTCGCCATCGCGCCCCTGAGCGCCGACGCCATGGCCAAGATCGTCGGCGGCTTCGCGGACTCGCTTCTGACGAGCGTGGTGCGGGCGTGGGACCCGTGGAGCGAGCTTGACATCCTGCCTCCCTCTTCTTCCGCCGCCACCGCCGCATCGGCATCGACGGAGACCCAGCAACCGCCGCGCCGCCGCCGCAAGAAGCGCATCCTCGTCGCCTGCGCCGTCAACATCGGGCATCCCGTCACGACGAAGCACCTACGCGTGCTCGAGGAGGAGTGGGGCGTCAAGCCACAGCCGCCGATCCCCACCGCCCACTCCGACGACGCCAGCGCCGCCGGCCCCCAGAAAGAGGCCAGAGAAGGAACCGGGGGAGAGGCCGAAGACGAGGGAGACGGCTGGTTCGAGGTACTGCGCCCGCGGCCTGCGGATCTCGCTGCTCCGGGTGCCGCCGACGTTGGCGGCGACGGCGCCATGCGTGACTGGCGAGACGTAGTAGCTATCATCGAGGACCGGCTCCGGCTGCTAGAGTGACGGGACAGGCTACAGACCGGTCGCGCGAGGGGGGGGGTAAGGGGTCGAGGGTAAGGTGCGATGCGGATATGCAGGTACAATGTAATGGATGCACGCCCGGAGGAATGGGTCTGGGGAGGAGGTGGGCGGAGGTGGGCGGTAGATAGCCAGCCCCAGCGTTGCAGACTCGGTTTCGGGGGCTAAAGGCGCGCCGAGGCTGGACGTGGGTAGATCGAGTCTGCCTCTCTGAGGACGCCTTATTTCTACTTGGCTATCGGCTCGCCTCGCCTTGTCTAGCCTCGCCCACTGCAGCTCGGCTCGGTTAATCACGAGACACATCTTGGGTAATAGTCACGACTACGAAAGCTGGGGCAGATATACCAAAACGACCTCTGCACCCGCGAGGTCTACGTAATAACAGAGCAGCCATGATTTCGTTCGATTCATCGATTCGTTGATTATCTACTCACCGCCGGGCGTTGCTGCCGGCCGCGAGGACAGGCTAGTCTTACACTGCTAGCTAAAGGGAAATCATAGTATACACCTCCTGCCGTGTGGTAGCGCACAGGGGAGTAAGCATGGCGTCTGGCATGTTGATCATTTCGTTTCCCACGCAAAAACCGTGATGCCATCTCCGTTCATGCCACCTTGGGAAAAAAAAGAACACAAAAAAACACAAAAAGTCCCCCTATTCCTCTGCCGCCAACTCCTTTTCTTTCCTTTTCTTTTCAGTAGGTACCCGTGTGTCGTGGGCGGGGCGAGGCGGGCGGGGGGAACCCGAATCTATGCGTGCCGGGAGTTGATCGTGAGCTCAAAGTCGTCCACGCGTCCCAGTTCAAATCCGCGCGTGCAAGCGCCACACCATTACGATAGTGTCGACCGAAACACATCCACTCGTTCTCTCTCTCCAGAGACAAGGGTATGGTATGTTTACTTTGGGACGCACAGCTGACGAGGTAACGGGGGGCGGTGGAAGGCCCTATAGGATCTTGCTTCGTTTGCCGCACCTTGCAAAGGAGTCGGCTAGATCAAAAATGAACAAGGTGTGGGGGGAAGGGAAACCGAAGGTAAACCAAAAATTTGACGAGAGCCGCCGACCGGGCCCAGTCGAAACGAGGGCGTTAAGGTTCCAGGAAATGGCCCAATGAGAAAGAGGAGAAGGACGAGATAGTGTACAATTAAAGGTTGTATGATGGGCCTCTAGCCCCCCCCAAGACTCGGTGACTCCGCCAGACGATTACTTGAGATCGTTGGGATCGTGTCGGAACGTGCACTTGTCGCCCTTGGCGCACTGACCCTTTGCCCAGAACGTGCAGGGCTTCGTACCGATGAGGGCTTGGTTAATACCCTTGTCCTTGTTGGCCCGGAAGTCTTTGCGGCCGTTTCGGTTGGCATCGCGCTGATTCTGATTCTGCGCGCTTTGCGGCTCCGAGGAACTTGGTTGCGGATTATAGAATGGATCCTGGTAGCCCTGACCACCGTAACCCTGAGTAGAAGCTTGAGGCTGAGCCCCTGTGTAGGGCTGAGCAGTACCATATGTTTGCGTCTGGGCGCCGTAAGCCTGACCTTGGGCTTGTGCCCATGCTTGCCACTGTCCGTAATCAGAAGCTGTTTGCGCAGGAGACGTGGCCGCGGCCGTGGCCGTGGCCGTCTGCGGGGCTGGAGTTGCTTGCTTCGACTGCCGCAATATGGCCAGGATGTTATGAACGGCACTCAGATCAGTCGTCGATGCTGCGGTAGCGCCTTGGATGGGCTGGTTCACAGGCTGGTTTACAGGCTGACTTGCAAACTGACTGCCGAGTTGGACAGAAGGCTGACCGGTAGCGTGGCTAGCTGTTTGACCTGCCGGCTGGCTGAGCGATTGTCCAGCTTGAATGGCACGGACCTGGGCTATTATAGCTGCGTAGTCAGGAGCAGCCTGCTGCGATGGTTGCTGATACTGCGGCGGCTGGGCATACTGCTGATATGGGATATACGGGTTTGTCTGGAGAACAAATTGAGAGGGTTGGGTGCCCTGGCCAGCGCTCCACGCATTCCGCGCCAATTGGATGGCGCGTTCTCCCTCCTCTTTCTTTGCCTTTGCGGCCACATCCTTGTTGTAACCGTCGTACCATTCCTGTACGCGTGCCGGGTCGGATTTGATATGGTCGGGTGGCTCTGTAGCCGGGTATGGTTTGCCCTGGAATTTGGCACACAGATCCTCGACTGCGTCGACGTCCTTCTGCACTTTGGGATCCGCGTAGTCGTATCGTCGTCGTGTCTTTGGTTGAGCGGGGTTGTAAGGTTCCGGGTTCGTCCAGTTCTTGACTTTGTCGGATGTTAGCAGGGATAAGACCTCCGCGTCACGCTCGTCCTGGGTTTGCGGGCGAGAGACTGAGCCTATTTGAGGGAGAGACTGCAAGGGTGTCAGAGTACTCGTAAGCGAACCGAGTGTCGCTTGCAGCGATTGGGGGAGACTATCTTGGAATGGAGGATTAATCGTGGAGCCGCCGAGGCGAGGAGATGGTGCCGCAACGGGGGCGGAATGTGGGTTCAACCACCGACGAAGAATATCTTGTCTCTTCGTGGTGGTTGGCGGCAGACACTTCTGCCACTGAGCGGCATCCGATGGCGGAACGGATGTGGCTCTGTGCTGGGTCACCTCGCCGTTCCGGTTAGGTGACTGAGGAGATTCTGGGATATCTGCCACACTAGTATAAATAGCCATCAACACGCGATTTTCGTATTCATCCATCGTCTTCTTCTGTTCCGAGTTGACGGGCAGGTCTCCACCGTGAGGAGTAAAAATCTTAGCCCGCCGTTCCGGAGGAAAGGCGTCCCCGAAACGGACTGCCGTAGGCTCATGCCAATCCGATATGGAAACTTCCTTCGCCTTCTCCTCCTCATCTTCATCGTCATTATCTTGGACGCGTTGCTTCAGCATCTGTCCTTCGGAGCGGTTATCGCGGGCATCCCGCAGCATATTCTGATCTCGGCCCTTGTCTTCGGCCGTGTCATGCTCGAATGTTCTGATATCGACAAGTTCATGGTCCGGTTTCCACGAGACGCGAAGGTGCCTACGCGACTCTTTGCGCAGCCTACGAGCTCTCTCCTCAGGCGTTTCAGGGGCCCTCTCTGGCTCCTCGGGCTGTTTAGGCGTTTCCTTGGGCTTGGAGATTTGGGCAAGGAGATCGCCGATAGCGGAAGCGGTAGGCGGCGGGGGTGCCAGCTTCTTTGGTGGTGCTTTGGCTGGAACTCGAGACCTGCCCGGCAGCATCGATCCCATGGGCCTCGAACGAGTTAATACGCTTGCCATCGACGGAGGCTGAGACGTCTGAGCCATGGAGGCTGGCGGCTTAACAGTTGAAGTCGGAAGGCCGCTGGCTGTGCTTTCTACCGCGACTTTCTTAGGAGCCCGCGAATCAACATCATCGTCTCGAGATCTCTTAGAGGAAGCAGAAGAAACCGCCTTGGTCGGCAGGCTGCTGATCTTTCTTGCTGACCCTAGGCCAGAATAGTCGATCGGTTGCATTTTCTTAACTTCTGTTGTAGGCTTCTTCTGGCCCACCTCCTTCTTCGTGGGGGATGCCTTTGCGGTCAATAGGCCCTCTTTGACGCCTGCCGATGCTTTCCTGGAAATATTGGAGCTAACTTTCTTGGTGTCGTCGCCCTTCTTGGTATCTTCGACTTTCTTCGAATCCTCAACCTTCTTGGGTTCTTCACGTGCTTTCAAGTCCGAGCGCTCTTTGGCATTCATGAAAATGAGATCGAGATACCCTCTCCCTTCTTCGTCCAAACTGCCCTTATACTTCTGTCGCAGCTTGTCAAACTTGACTCGGTCTGTGAGGAATTCAGTGTCCACAGTAATGAACATGGACAGGAGTTTCAGAATAGCCTTAGGTAGAGGGCCGTTGTAGTCTTCTGATAGAAAGCGGTGGCGTAACAGGATGCAGAGGGCCCCAAGCATCTTCAGTTGTATGCCAAGTTGCGTAATGGTGAAATTGTCGCCATACTTTACAGATGTCTCGATGGCAACTCGAATTGCGTCGTACTTGGCATCGAGGGCAGCTTGAAGCGACTCTGGTGTGGTCTTGTTGCCGACGTCGTTTGGGCTCTCGAGTTGCCTCTTAAAATCTTTGATTGTGGCCCACAGGGCTAGAATGTAATCGCTGAATGCTTGGATATTCTTAAGGACGACATCCTGTGGCAGTTCAGGGAGCTTCGGATCGCGCCAGAGAATCTTAACAACGTCGTACTCGACAGCCTTCAAGGCATCCACTGGTCGCGTCTTGGCTGATACAAGCTATATTCGGAGAAGGTGTTAGCACTGTATAGGTTCTCTTGAATGGGGTGGGGATATTGAATGCGCAAAAGGCATCTCTCTTTGCTTCCTCTTCGATGGTCACCGAGGTGAATATCAGTCCGAGAGAGCAGCCCAGCAATGACAATGCAGGCACCATCAGGTTGGTGTGGGGATGAGGCCAGCTACTGCGATGAGTATTGAAACGTACCTTGCGAGCCGTGATGTCTGTGACGCTCTCATCTTCATCACTGCTGTCTCCTGACGAACTGGTTTTCTTAGCATTGGCGTCCATGGGGGATTTGCGTTTTAGGACAGTTTTTGACTTGGCGTCTTGCGAGACAGGCTTAGACTCTAGAATACCACGTTAGCTACTGCTATTCGGCGGGGGGTGTAGGAGCCATGAGTTCCCACACGCATTCTCCTTACCATCAGCGATGAGGATTTTCTCGTTATCAAGTCGCGCTATATCCTGATTGATACTCTCTCGTTCGGAGTCGGAGATTGAGTATTGAAGCCGACTGGACAATTCGTCGCGGTCCCTCTGTATTTCGCCGGGGAGTCGGAAACCACGATCTGGGACGACGGGTGTTCGAGCTGCGTTGTGCTTAATGACAAATATTTTTTCCGAAGCCTTAGCATCTGGATCCTTGGGGCGCAATTCCGCGAACTGTCCGATTCTGGTCTTCGGTGCGTTTTTCACGAAAAGGTTTCGGCACCCCTCGACTCGCTGCCACACATCAGAACCAGCTATGGTCACCTCAGGTTCTAGCACAACCGTCTCCGGGTTCGCATTTTGGACAGTATGAGGGCTGTCCTGAGCGACAGGAGACTCGGCCACAGGTACCGTTGCTGGGTTACCGGTCGGCGGCGTCTGATATTGCCCTAAAGTGATTCCCCCATTTGCCGGACCCGCAGGCTGAATTTGTGACGTCACTGGCATCCGTCCACGTGTCTGGCCCTGCGGCTGCAGCGTAGGGACGCGCTGCTGCACCGCGGCGAAGGCTTGCTGTGCAGAAGAATTCCCATCTCCGAAAGGAGTAGGGGCCCCATTGCCCTCACCGTACGCCCTGTCTACGCTCTGTTGTTGTACGCGATACTGAGGGGGGTCAGGGGTGAAGTCTCCCTGTCCATCTAAACTGGGCAGCGTGTTACGGAAGATACCTGCGGGAGCACCCTGACCGGCACTGTAGGGCGCCGTCCTCTGTACGACCTGGGGTTCTTGAACGCCGGAATACGGCGGCAACGTAGGGCCGTGGGGATACACGGCTTGTGGAGTGTGATGCTCGTAAGCGACGGCCGCTTGGTTGAATTGTGTTGGAGGCTGTGGCAGTGGCTGTTGCCATGACTGCCCATATGGAGTCGGGGGGGGATGAACTTGGCCTTCCTTAGGCTGTTCAGAGGCATACTGAGGTTGGAAGTGTCTCTGCTGCGAGCTATATCCACCGAACTGGGGTTCTGCGTATTGCTGAACCGTAAGCGACCCGGGACCATGAATGCTACTTCCGTTGGTCTCTGTATTCGAGAAATGGGGGCCCTGGTAATAATTATACCCTTGTCCTTGAAGTCCCAAGTGGTTGTTGCCATGGAGGAGCTCATATTGATAATTGCTCTGGCCTAGGTATGACTGCTGGGGATCCTCGAAAGACGGATCGGGCTGGCCGTGATATTGCTGGGAATTGAAGTTGTTCAACCCGATCCCGTCGGACGTGCCCATTCCTCCGATACCATTGCCATACTGATCAGTAGGCCAGCTGCCATTCCCCTGAGCCATATCGAATGATAGGCGCCTAGAGTAAGGCCTTAGGGGTTGATGATGATATCACGTGATGATACCAGGATGGTTACACGTGATGTGGTTGGCACGTGTTGAGTTGAATGTGGCAAGACAAATACACGTGATCTCCTACACCAGGGAAGAATGATTAGTAAGGTTGAGGACCCCATGGGGTGAGTTTATTAACACAACCACCAATTTGATTGGCATTATCACCCAGGCAGGTCCCCCTGTCCCCTTGCAAAAAAGAGGGCAATAGAAGCAGCCGAATAATAGCCTTGTCTGTTATCACTCACCCGCGTTACCGAGAATTGGTTGGAATCTCTCCGAAAATAGCGTCATCAGTAAAACCGTGTACGCCAATATCCCGTTGCAGAGCGAAGACGCAATTAAGAATATGCCTCCGGTACCGAGTTCAAGAGGAGGAGAAGGGGGGGGCTAGGGTATAGTGGAGGGCGTCTGCCTAGAGAGATCTGTGAGAATGGAGAGGCGTGTTTTTAGTAAGGATCCTGCAAGAGGCCGTTGGGGCTTTGTAGATCGTGGTTATGCCGAAAGAGGTATGGGTAGACCGCAGATCCAAAGCCACCTGCAGAAAGAGAAAATCAGTTTTCGGCTCCAAGGACCAAATGTCAATAGGGGAGGAATTAGATGGTGGCACTCGTGGGGAAAAAAAAATTGACCAGGCAGAGAAATAGAGAGAGAGAGAGAGAGAGAGCCAGGAACGCGAAAGACAGGAAGAGTTCCAGAGCAACAACTATCTAGCAGCCAAAACAAAGAGAGCGTTTCCGAGGCGTTGTGAAGTTTCGAGCAATCGAATAATCGATGGCTTGTGTATTCTTGTCGAAGGTGGAGGCGATGAGATTGAGAGTCCGCGTAACCACTTGGGCTTTGGCGTTCCCCCAGGGCTGGATGTTTTGAGCAACCTGTATGCAGTCTTGGTCCCGGGAGTCCTAGAGCAACCCTCATGGAGGCTTACGTCCTCGGCATTCCCTCTGCAGAAAGATGAGATACAGCCATTGTGTAATTCGTCTGCCAAGGACTTCTGAGAAGTCCTTCATACAGGAGAAGTTATGAGTCGCAGTAAACATAGGTTTTGAGGGCATGCTGCTCGCTGTCGATATCTAGAGTCGGCTCAATAACGGTTGTTGCATGTGATTTCGCTAAGTTGCCTCTGTCCAAACCTTGGGTGGACGTACTGACACAGGGCAGTCCTCTTCTCTCCAGGGGAAGCTCAAGAACTCTTGGCCGTGAGAATAACCAGAGAACCATTATTTTTGCGGATGAAAAGCCTAGCAACATTTTAAGATCGGGATGAACTGGTGTTGCTAGGCTTTCATATTTCAAAGTCAGAGATTCTGAAAGAGACTAAAGTCTCGCCCACCCTCTCTCACCCCCTTGTGCGCGCCTGGTCTCTCTCTCTCTCTCTCTCTCTCTCTCTCTCTCTCTCTCTTATGCTTCTTTTCACTCTCCGTCCCTCTGACGGGGAATTTAGGAGTTACTTGTTAGATGCTGACTGGTCACTAGAACTTCCATTGTTCAAGTTGCACCCTCGAATGTCCTGCTGTGGTCCATAGTGAGGATTGCGGCCACCGTGTTTTTTCCTTTCTTTTCTCTCGCACTGCTGGATTGCCCTTCTGAGCTTCCCCTGCTGGAAAACAACTTGGAAGGGAAGGGAGGCGAGGGGAATAGGAGCGGGAAAAAAACCCCCCAGGAAGCCCCAATACGTGGCTGCAAGAATCCGGTTTCGGGGTGCAGTGGAGAAGATCCGTGGCAGACTGATCAACCAGGGCGCACCATACACACATACATGCTGTCTCTCTGTTTCTCTCTCTCGCGTTTTCAATCTTTGCGCAAACAATAGCGCGGAAATGCCATGCAAAGGAAGAAAAAAAAAGGGGGGGGGAAGGGGAGGTTGATGTTATTTTCATACCCTTTATAAATGCCCGGTGTTTAATCCCACTTCCAGCAAATTGCTCGTCACCATCAGCTGCTGCTACTGTTGCCGCTGCCGCTGCCGTTGCCGCTTCTTATGAAGACAACAGTGGCTCGTTATGCTCCCATTATTGAGATATAATTTACGTTATGTAGTCTCCTCGGCGGCTTAGAGAAGAAAGAGAAAATGAAATTCCCTAACGGGATGGAAGAAATCTATCTCTTGATGTATTTGAACGGGCGGGTGAGCGGATGAATGAGTGGTTTTGGCTTGGGTGATTGATTTGATTTCTCCCGCTTGTAGCTTAGCTGGGGAGACCGAAGGACGGGTAGCGAGCGACCGGGCGATGAGCACGATTTCTGCGAGCTATGGCAGATAATTAACAGCGAAATGTCCCCTGCGCAATCAGTCACGCGTATGGAAGGGAATTAGGGGAGAAGGTGGACTAGCTTTTAGATAGAGCGACGCGATGTGGCGATGGGAGAAGACAGATGGATGGATTGGGGGAAGGGGATGGGGGAATGTGATGAAGTGAGTAGATGGAGGTTGATGTAGAGTTGGGAGAGAAAGGGATGTGATGGGTGGAATGCAGATAAAGAGAGCAAAGGCGATGCAGGCCTTTTTGGGGGGGAGCACAGCTAAATAAAAAAAAAATCCATAAATAAATACAAGTACATCTACCAAGGTACTAACTACCAAGTACCCTCTCTCTACGAGTATGAGTATGAGTTATGCCTAACAACGCAGAGTTAGTACCCACTTATCGCTTGGGGCCAAAATGACTGAGCGTGTTGCTCCGATGTACCTGCCCTCGGTTGGTAGGCCCTCCTTACCTAGGTACTTCATTTATCCCGTCCTGTCCTAGGCAGGTACCTTCATCTCGGGCTTGTCTCTGCTACCTTAGGTAGGCTGGGTACCTGGGTACCTGGGTACCTGCCTGTAGCTACCTGATGTATATACTACCTGCCTGTACCCAACATAATTACCGAGGGTTGCATTAGGTGCCTCCCTCCTGGTCCCCAGGTAAGTACATCCATTGACCTGGTCAGCACTAGCGACATAAGGGATTATCCCCTTACTAAGTAAGTACCTCCTAACCTAGGTATATTGATGGCCACGGGCATGGCGATTGAACGTTGAAGCACCTGAACGCCTCCAGTGTTGCTACCTAGCGAGGTACGATTTCAGCTGTGCCTGTAAGACAAATTTCTTAATCTATACGTAGGGCTATTATCTTCTTATGCCGTCGGCCCCGTGGCCCAAATTCAGAGCTAATACTGGGCAGGTAATAAGACATTGCAATATGAGTGAGTACCTAATTCTTAGGTACGTAACCTAGAGGTGCTATAGATCCAGCACTAGATCTTCCACCAAAGGCACTACCTCTACGCAGTATTCGGTTGCGCTTTGTTACATACGAAACCTCACGACCGGCCCTCGATATTTCTCCTGGACGCAGGCTGTATGATATCGCATGGAGGACCAGCGCCACAACGATAACATTACATCCGCAGCACGGTGAGCTGCGCAGATCTATACGTGTTCCAGGAGCAGGACCTACAGCAGGCACGTTACCTACGGACTGCATATGAGTAAGGTACTTAGGTGGGTAGGTACCTGATAGGCTACGCACGTGCCCCTTACAGGTAGGCTTACAGGTAGGTGAGAGGCACATATCCTCGACGTTGCCAGACCTTAGGTACCTGTAGTGGCGCCTAAAATTAGGTACGCAGCAGCAGTGTATGCTACTGGTAGGTACTTGTTATATACTGCAAATCCCCAACGCCGTCGGACAGTGCTGGATACGGTATCCGTACGCAATTCGTACGGGCAAGGAGGCTTAGCGGTAGCCTGGCAGGCCATGATTCAATTTTGCAAGTCGTGTCATTTGTCGGAGCTGGGCAACGTACCTGAGGTACTCCCTCTCGACCTACCTACACTTCAACATCCCGCCCGCCGAGCACTCATCAGCCTACCCTGCGTCCGACAAGCGCAACACGCACGCGAATAGGCTCTGCCGGCGTTATTCGGCTCTGTTCTACCGACGACATCACCCCCTGCCCCGTCCTCGTCTCCGCTGCGGCCGCCTCTCTCTCGCCCCGACCCCGACTCCGCGATACGACGCCGAAACACCAAGGCCGGCACCTGTGGGCAATCGATGAAGGAGAGCTCGACAACCTGCGATGCGGCAACTCCTACCGTACCATAGCCACCCGCGAACCGCTTCTCCGTCTCCCCGCCCTCCTCTACATACATGACTCGGATACGGCAAACACGTGTTCGACCGCACTGCGCAGGTGTCCCGTGTGCCCGTCCGAAGAGAGGGTAGTGATAAAATAGATACCGATATATCGACTAGATAACACCGTCCTCATGGCCTCGTTCAAGGGCACTTCTTTGCGCGACCGCCAAATCGGTTCGACCTCCCCGACCTCAACCTCTCACTTCCCTTACCAGCCTCCCAGGATTACAGGGCTAACCTCTGCGCCAGCGTCCCTCAAGAAGATCCTCAATCTCAATGAGACTCTGGACCAGAAGGATGAAGACGATTCCCACGCGAATGGCCTGGCTCCGGCCGGCCCGATCTTGACAGCCCAGGGCGAACCTATATGGAAAGTTCTCGTATTCGACGATCTAGGCCGTGATGTAATTAGCAGTGTCCTTCGAGTAAATGACCTGCGAGCTATGGGCGTCACCATGCACATGTGCGAGCTCCTCCCCCAACCCGACGCCCTTGCTCGAAATGCCGCGACACGGCTTACCGCGGCATGGCTTGCTAACTCGTATCTGGCTCGCTCAGGAACCTTGCCGCGGCTCGGCACCCCATCCACGACGTTCCCGTCATCTACCTTGTCGAGCCCACGGCCAAAAGCCTCGAGGGTATAACGAACGATCTTCAGAAAGGCCTCTACACCCCTGCCTATATCAACTTCCTCTCCTCGATACCGCGCCCCCTTCTAGAAGACTTCGCGTCCCAGACCGCTGCCGCAGGCACCGCCGAGCACATCGCCCAGCTGTTCGACCAATACCTCAACTTTATAGTCGCCGAGCCCGATCTGTTCAGCTTGGGAATGCAAAACGAGCACACCTACTGGGCCTTAAACAGCGCGAAGACCAAGGACGAGGAATTAGATCATGTTGTCGATAGGATCGTTAGCGGCCTGTTCAGCGTCGCCGTGACTATGGGTGCGCTGAGAATGGAGCAATCCCAACCTACCTACGAGTGCACGCTAATTCAAGATATCTCAGGTGTCATCCCAATTATACGGTGTCCCAAGGGAGCTGCCGCCGAGATGATCGCGGGGAAACTCGACCGGAAACTTCGTGATCATATCCTCAACTCGAAGGAGAACCTTTTCTCCTCGAATACACGAACCGCGTCCTCCACCAGCACCCCCGCTTCCCGTCCTGTCCTCATTATTCTCGACCGAAACGTCGACCTTAACCCCATGCTCTCGCACTCCTGGACGTACCAATCTCTAGTACATGATGTTCTGAACATGAGGCTCAACCGAATTACTATCGAATCGCCGGTAGATGAGGAGAATCCGGCAAAGGGGACGACAAAAAAGGCGTACGATTTAAACTCTACCGATTTCTTCTGGGAAAAGAATGCCAGTGTTCCATTTCCCCAAGTTGCCGAGGATATCGACGCGGAATTGATGCGATACAAAGACGACGCTGCCGAGATCACCAAGAAAACCGGGGCATCGTCGATAGAGGACCTACAGAATGATACGAGCGCAAGCGCACAACACCTGAAAGCCGCAATTACACTACTACCAGAGCTACGGGAGAGAAAAGCCGTGTTGGATATGCACATGAACATTCTCGCGGCACTGCTGACAGGGATACAAAAACGGCAACTGGATAACTATTTCCAGATGGAAGAGAACGTCATGAAGCAGACCAAGGCCCAGATACTCGAGGTCATCAAAGATAACGCCAAGGGCCAGGAGCCGTTAGACAAGCTCCGCTTGTTCATCATCTGGTTCCTAAGCACAGAGCAAGAAGTTAGTCGCACCGATTGGACTCAATTCGAAGAAGCCCTAGCAGCCGCGGGAGTCAATACTACTTGTCTCGCTTATATCCGGCAGTAAGTTCAGTTTTCGTTTATAGATTCCCCATTCTCCTCCCTCTCTCTCCTGCGACTTGCCTGACTTGTTGCGTTTCAGGGTTCGCGCCACGACGAAGATGACCCAATTAACCACCATCGGTCCGTCGCAACCCGCCTCGCAGTCCGGCTCAACTGCCCTTTTCGGCCACTTTTCCTCCTTATCAAACCGGCTGACAGACCGTCTGAAGGAGACGGGCGTCGGCGTACCAACGAATCTCGCGTCCAACTTCGACTCCTTGATCGGGGGTATTAAGAATTTCCTACCGGCGAACCGCGATCTGACCCTCACCAAGATCGTCGAGTCGATCATGGACCCGCAGGCGGCGGCGACGTCAGCCATCGCTAAGACGGAAAACTACCTGTACTTCGACCCGCGGAGCGCGAACGCCCGGGGAAACATGCCGCCGCCGAGCGCGGTGCGGGCCGGGGCCGGGAGCACGCCCGGATCGATGCCAGGGGCCGGGCCGGGGCTTGGGGTGCAGGGCCCGGGGACGGGCGCGAGCTTCGGCCAGCGGCGGCAAGGGTTCACGGAGGCGGTCGTGTTCACGGTCGGCGGCGGGAGCATGGACGAGTACGGCAACCTGCAGGAGTGGGTGCAGCGGACGGGGGAGGGCCGGGCCAAGAAGAGGGTCGTGTACGGCAGCACGGAGCTGCTCAACGCGCGCGAGTTCATCCAGGAAGAGCTGGAGCGCCTCGGCCGGGAAGTTCCTTAGACGGGGCGGGTAGGCGGCGGCGAGGGGAAGGGAAGGGAGAGGGGTGGTCGAACCCGAGGACAGAGATAGGTCGCTAAGCGAGGCGCGCCAGGGCAAAAACAACCCGCGCTTCATCCAGGCGTCGCACGCACGACGCCTACCTACTATAATGCGAGACTCGTACCTGGCGCGACAGGGCCCGTACGCGGCGGTCGGCGGTTGCTTGTAGCAGTAATAGTATTAGCGGCAGCAGCAGCGGGCAGGCAACAGGGGGGCGCGGAGGCGGGGGCGGAGGGTACACGGGCAAAAGCAGCTCCGCGCGGCTAGATAGAAGCAGGCGCTCAGTCAGCTGAATGGACGAATTGGAACGACCGTTGCGCCGAGACGGAAACGAGACGCGCCTCGCGTGCTGTGAAAATAAATGCTTTACGCCCTAGGCGCGGGTCGCGCGGAGAGGCGGGCGTGGGATCCGCCCGCGACGGCTGCACACGGGGCCTGGACGGACGTACGACCTGCCTCCGCGGACACCCCTTGCCGTCCCGCTGCCGCGGCTCCTGTGCCGGGGCGGACCCCCCCCCCCCCCCCCCCCCCGGTCCGAACGGCAGCGGGTCAGCGCTCGGATTCCCACGCGACTGCCCGGCGGCGCGGGATCCGACGTGCGACGGAGCCTATCCGAGAGTCGCATACTGATATCGCACACGAGAGCAGGTCTGCCTCCCAAGTCGGGGGGCTGCAGGGTAGGGTATCGAGATACGCACACCCCGACAGCGGGAGCGGCGATGCACAGGTAAATTGTGAAAAGCGAAAACAGGAATTAGCAACGACACACGCCGTAGTATCACTGACGTTTATTTTTTTTCCCATCAGGTGGTATTCATCCGAAGTGAGCGCTGCCTATGTACACCATCACTCGTATCGTCTCTGCGGTTCTATATCCCTCGAGGCAGCCTGGCTTCTAAGTAGCCTTGAGCTAGCTAGGCCCGTCTCTGTGCCCCCTTATCACCAAAAATTCCATAACCTGACGAGTCCTCACGCTCCCACCAGCAGCGTCCTCAAGCTCCCGAATCCAGTTACATCAATTCGCTATGATCCGTCGTTCCTTGGCTGATTAGAGCCCGGTATCCGCGTACGAGTTGGTTCGTGGAAACCCCTCTCTTACTCATGGAGTCGGTCACTAAACATCCTCTACTTGCAAAACGCCAGGAGGGAAAAAAACGCAAATAAAGACATCGCATTCGTGATTTAATATGACTCCTCCGCTGCCATTATACATCTCGCGGTCTCACGTCACGCCCCAATGCGCATATTTCCAACGCAAATTATCTTGATGCGGTAAAGTTATCCCGCCTCGGAGTCTGGGATGTTGTCAACTCGCCGAAAAAAAAAGGGGGTATATCAAAAATTTTGGGAAAGGGTTGGGGATTGGACATAATTTTTCCAGCCGTCGGTGTCGAGGCTGAAACAACAGCAAGTTTGTGCAGTGGCCATACGGTCCAAACGAAAAACTAGGTGTCGAAGCTTTGTAGGCCAAGGTTGAGCTTCCCGAGGCAGGTCTATAGTCACAGGCGTGAAGAGGGGTTAATGGACAGATCGCTTGCTCTAATTTCGTCTCCAAACTCGCCAAACGTTCATTCATATCAAAGGTTCACGGAAAACAACCCTAGACGCCCCTAAACATGCGCACGACGAGGAACCAGCATGCGCCGATGAATTTGAAGGCGCTCAGTCCAGCGACACTCCAGAGAATAATCGTCATGTAGAGAGTTGCGCGGGCATCGTCGGCCTCCGCCTCCTGCTGTGGATTGAGCCTCTCTAGACCAGCAGTACTGAGAACTAGAGCAACGAGCCCAAAGTTTGTGACCATCCAGATAAGGACGACCAACGAGCGGATCCAGCGGTAATAATCCATCTGCTCCTCGGCTTTTTGCGCTTCGGTGGGCGGCTTCTGAGGGGCCACGTACTTCTTAGCGAACACTTCCAGCTCTCGCTCGTACTGCGCATTCAAGTCTCCCTCGTCAGGAAGGTCGGTCTTGCCCTTGCCGTCTTTCGTATCGACCTTAGGTAGTTCCTCAGGCTTGTCGTCTCCCTTCGTACCCCACGATATATCGTGCGTGTTGCAGAAGGCATAAACGTTGAGAACGTTGACGTAAGTCGGCGTCAGCAGCAGATACTGAATGAAGGAAGTAAGCATGTGCCACGGGTCGAACATCATAAGCGAGGCGATGAGCCAAAGACCATATGTAGAGAGCATGGAGACAATCAGCGAGTAGAAGATCTTGTTCTTGAATATTTCGCTGATATCGAAGCCCTGTTGGATTTGTTCATTGACGGCGACAACCGTGATAAAGACGGCTGCAAACGTCAAGTATCTACAGCAACGATTAGCGAATTTGTAAGCTTTAATTTGAGGGAAGAGGAAGAACGGAGGGGAAGGGAGAAGTATACTCACATCATGATTACACACCAGAAGATCACCATGGCGGTGTAGAGCTTGCCGGAACCCGATGGACGATTGCCCATAGACAGGACAAAACAAGACATCAAGGATATACCATAGAACCACTCGAAGACCACTCCCAGGATGTCACCGACCTCCCTTAGCAGCTTATCACCTCCGAGACTCGTCGTTAAGATCTTGAAAACCAGGAAAAAGTTGCCAATGGCAAACCAGGCAAAGATCATGTTGCAAGTCTGGAAGACGAACTCGACGAAAAACATCAGCTTTCGAAGAATGGAGTGATCTGAGCGGAAGAACTGGTAGAAATGCGCGATGGCGTAGATGGCGGCAAAGAAGGAACCGTTGAGCCACCGACGACGCTGCAAGATCAGCTCTGTCACCGTATCGGGCACGTCGGTCTCTCCAGTCGCCGATTTGACATATTGGAGGATCCAGTTGCAGTTGCGCTTGGTGACTAGCTCGAAGCAGAGGATGCGATCCTCAGCTAGATACATGTTCGCGGTAAAGACGCCAGCGCCGGCGCCATGCAGAGTCTCGCCCTTGAAATATTTCTCCAGGGGGCCGAGGCCGTTCTTGTCATTCTGTAAGGCGATATACCGATACGCAGAGAAAGCGCCTGGCAAGACAGAGATGAAACCGAAGGCCGATTCCAACGGCTTATCCAGAATATTGCTCATCTTATACTCGAAATTCTGGGTTGCGACAAGCGGGTTGATCAATTCCTTGCCGCCTCTCCCCAGCATGGCCTTGATTTCACCGCATGCCCCGGCGCACATGGGCTCGAGGTCGAACGCCTTCCACAGGTGATAGATAGAATTTCCACCAGGTTTGGTGCCGGCATCGATCAGTACACAGATATTCGGATCGAGGACTCGGCCGAAGGCTTGGAAGAACCATCGGTGCGAGTTGATCTTCTTCTGATTCTTCTCCTTTAGGCAGAACAACATCTGCACCGGCTGCTTCTTGGGGATCAGCTGAACAACGTCATTCTTGATCTGCATGCCAACTTGGGTCGTATACTCGTAAATATGCGCCGTGACGTCTTTATCGTTGACCTGCTGCTTGGCAATGCCCTCCTGGTAGACGCCCATGCCGGAGAGAAGCGCTCTCGTCCGCGGGTTGATTTTGGCACGTCCGTCGCTCACTACACAAACGACAATCTTCTTCCAGGCATCCGGGCCCCACGTCTTGCCTTCCTTCCGATTACACATATACTCGATGTTCTTCAGCACACCAACCATCGTTCGCGCGAAGAGAATGTCGTCTTCGTTGTACATCGTGATGACGATGAACAGTTCGGTGTGCCGCGGCTTGCTGAAGAGCTTCTGGCGCAAGGTGAAGTTCTCGTCAAAAAAGTCCTTCGGGTCGCAAGTGGCCGCGGTATACCGCATATGAGTAAATTCATCACGCTCGCCGTGAGGGAGCTGGTTCAGCAGCTTTGAAGGCACCGGACAGTCCAGGACTAAGTTTCCGCGGTACAGAGTCACCTGCTTCACCGTCTTCCACCTCTTGAGACCCCCGGCCGGGGCCTGTTGACGGTGCGGCTCGTCGGTGTACGGTTCTTGGGGTTGAGCCTGAGGGTAGGACTCATTGTGAGGTAACATTGGCCGCTGGTCATGGTCGTCATAGTCATACCCTTGTGTATCGGCAAAAGGTGTAGAGGCCGAAGCGGGATGCGGCTCGTAAGGCTGGTTGTAGTAGGCATCGTGATGCTGCTCGGGGTTGACCGCGTAGTCAGAAGGGTAGCCCTGGCTCTGGCTACCGTAGGGACTATGCGAGAGATTGTCGATGGAATGCGCAGCATTGAGAGGAAGGTTGTCGCTCGGCGTATACCGTCCTGGACCTGGACCAGCAGGTATGTCGAGGTTACTCGCAGATGTCGGGTGATGGTGATATGGCGCATCATCGAGCTGGTACCCCTGCTGCATAGGATGGCCAGGCGATGGCGTGCGGCCGATCCTATTGTTGTCCATCGTAGGATCGTAGTAATCGTCGTCTACAGAACAAGCAGGAGAAGATGGTTAGAGCCGCTCCTAAAGTCCAGGTGCCGTTCTACTGGTGGAAGGAGGGGCGCAACGATATATCAATAGAAGCAACAAGTTGCCTGCCCGAGCTAAGTATCCGGCCGCCTGCGCCACAAACGCCTGCGTTCTCTTTGACAAAACGGGGGGATAGTAAAGCGGGTAAAGCACTTGATCTATGCGCAACAACACATTGTTGTACGTCTGAAGGGCAATATGTAGGGGATGTCACGACGACAACAGGTGACGCCAAGTAGTATAGCGAGTGTGTGGTGAAGGGCAGTGAAAGAGGCGCATGCGAGAGGGAGAGGAGGGGGAAGAATAAGTATCGAGATACAAGAGGACTACCGGAAGGGGGGGAGGTAGAGGAGAAGGAAAATAGCATACTCAATCGATTATACGACATGGTCAATTAATTATGCCCACACTGGAGGGTGGGCGCTCGAGGTGGTTAGGGTATAAAGGGGCGGGAATGCGACAGAAGCAAACGAAAGTTGATCATGCGAAGCGGGCGACGGCAACGCAAGAGGTCTCCCGACTTAGCGGTTGGAATGTAGCGTGAACATGTACAGAGCCGACGTATCTGGAATGGACCGGCGAACGGACCAGAAGATGGACCAGAGGGCGAGGTTTGCTGGCTGCGGAGTCGACAAGCCCAGACCCTGACAGATCAGAACCGAGAGCGTCGGAAAGTGGATATGCTGAGGACGTCGGGATATAGATGTGTACGTATGACCGAGGCGCCTAGAGCGATAGATAATATGATGCACACGTCGGGGAATCAACCAAGCTAAGCCGGTTTGCTCGAGGACGGCAGAGGTCGGTAGAGTTGAGTAGCCGGAGAGGGCGCAGGCGGTCCAGTAAGACGTCGCGGAAGAGATGCTCGAGGGACAGGCCAGTGAGGACCCGGGGGCTGGAGACGAATGTCTGGAAGATGCCTCCTTTGGCGAAGACGAGGCAAGACAAAACAAGGCGGGTTCTTGGGAGACCAGGAGAGGGGGGGGGAGGAGGGGGAGTCGGACCTTGAACTGGGGAATCCACGCAGAAAAAGAGGGAGGGGCAGAGAATGCGGTGCGAGAATGGTAGAAGAGAGAAAAGAGACCTCGAGGTTTCACTCGCACTGGAACGTAACGAAGGTGAAGGGGGAAAAGAATGGTGACGATAATTTCAAGGGACTGGGGAGAGGATTGACTGCGACGGGCTGGGAAGGGAAGGGGGGGCAGCACAACGAGGGTTGTCGTTGCCCCCCAGGTTGTTTAGGAACAATATTGGGTTCGCTGGAGGCAGGTGATATGCAGTTTCAGGTCTCCAAGGCAGGCGCAGCAGCGAATAGAAAGGCTCTCTTTGCCGGGTGCGACCCGCAAAAGTGCCCACAGCACTCGCCTATATAGGTACGTACCTGTGTACCAACGTATCAGGTATACAGGTACAGCGGCATAAAGTCAGGCCAGGGGCCAAAACACTCCTTCCCCCACCAGCAATGGAAGTGTTCGGATGACGTCGTTTGCTGCTGGTTGATGAATAGGTACTTACGTACCTACGTAAGGTACCTTGGTAATGTACACGTACACGGGCGGACACCTCCAGCTACTCCTACACCAACTAATCTAGGAGGTACCTAATGCCAGACATTCCAGACAGCCTTATCCAGCACCTAAGATAGTCAAGGAGGTACCTACCTGTACCTACCTCCCTCCCTCCCAAGGAGACGCCTCCATCGCCAGTCCTACCTCCGACGGCTCGGGTATGAGACCAGCTATCCACCGGACCCATGTACGACGTGTTTGATTGACCAAGTCCATCAGCACTTGGCCTGGGCAGGTGAGCGAGCGGCCGACAAAGATCTAGCCTACGGACGAGTACGTGTGTAGGGGGGCCTCGGTGCCGTCGAGAGGACAAAGACGGACGCGCAGGGCGAGGATCAAGGCCGCGTAAAATTAAGCCGGACTGGCTTACTACGAACCCGACGGGCGAAATAGGGCGTTTGTTATTGACCTTTGTCAGGTACGCCTTGGGGATTGGGATGGCCAAAAATAGCAACCCGACTACAATGGAAAGGGACCCCTCCAAAAAAAAAAAAAAAAACCGCCTACCAATTCGCCACGGCTGCCCTCAGCCACAGTCCGGCTGACGACACCAACGACGACGACGAGAACCACGATGACGATAGCAGTGACGCTAGCAACCGGCCGTAGGCGCCCTTCGTATAGCCTGACTAGCCGAGGCGTCTGTTGTCACTATGCAACTCGAGAGTTAGGTTGTTCTTATCCACAGGATACTCATAGGTACGCCAATTTCCCACCGAAGCCAGGCAAGTCTTGATTCCCAGGCCAAGCAGGGTCGGCATCGTGAAATCCGGCTGGGCGCCACAGCGCGACCCGTGGGTGCCAGCGGCGAGCTAGCGACCTAACAGGGGTAGCTAAGCCTACGTCGCGGGCAGGCCTCTCGGTTTCCACGTTGAGTCTAGACAAGCCGATAGACGAAAATCTCGGTTTGGCGGGTGCCTGAATGGCGATGATTGTGGTCCCGAGAGTGGCATTCTCCGCGCTCCTATCTACCTAATTTTACCTGCGATAGAGAAATCCACAGGTATGCGGCCCCCAGCGCTAAGCACAAGTAAGTAGGCATGCCCGACATGAACAATAGGATCAATCTGGTAGGTCCGGGGGTTGCCCGGCAAATTGAGTATGAGAGTATCACTGAATAAAGCAAATGTCACCTCCTGGCCAAACAGGTCAATATATATCATTGTATTGCAGAAGCGATGGCGCTAGACGACGCCGTTGGCGCTCCAGTTGATGCTCAGCTCCTAGGAGGCAGTGGTAGTAGATGACTTGCGCACACACCATGCACGTATCTCGACAGGACCGATCAATGTGCGCCCCCTCCTTGCCGGCCTAATAATACCCAATATGATCAACACATACCTACCACACCCAACCGTCATGATCCCCGTCCCGTCCGTCCTGCATGGCTGCATCTCATCATCTGGTGCTACCCTCCCTCTCAGTCGTCAGCAAATCGTCAGCGAGCCGCGTGCGGAATGGGCTGCGCGCGATCCTGAATGGCGCGTCAGTTCAAGCCAGCCAAGTCCGCAGTGTACGTAGTATGTACGTACGCACCCATGCCCAGGCATACCTACCTCCTAGGCACTCAACAGGAGAAGACGTGGAGTTCCCCTCTTCTACTGCCGACGTTGCGACGACTTACTAGGCGAGCGGTCGTGGGCGTAAATATGCCCTACATTAAACGGGTCTGCCGATCATACCGCGGCCGTCGGGAGAGCCTGCGCATCTCCCCTCTCCGCACCCAGGCTACGCGTATGGCGACTGGCAAGCCTGTGTACTTATTACCCTAACAGAATAGGCCTCAGCATGTCACCTCCGCCCCCTTCCCCCCACGGCCCGGACTCCGGACGAAGAGGTGGCCCCGTGACACGACTTGGTGCCCCGTCCGGACCGACTCGAGGTTTCTCTGCGCCCGTACTAGGTAGATATATTTCCCCCGCTGGCGAAGTATCAGCTTGCCGTACTTGTATAGGTAGGTAGGTAGGTAGGTAGGTAGGTATATAAATAGACCGCACCATTGTCAAGACATCCCCCAATACCGCCAGGCACGTTGTGCGCGACCCAGGACCACCCCCGCCGCCCATAATCCGACGACAACAGCACCCGCCAGCCCGAGGCATACAATTAAAGAGAGGCGGCCTGCGGTTTGCTCGTCCCAGCGGCCGCCCGCAGCTCAATGGCGCCGCTCACCCTGTCCTACGCCAGCATTAGCAAACATCGCGTCGCTTCGTTTCAAATCCGAGGGGCTCCCGCAGCGCCGCATCCCTGTCCGAGGGAAACGCTCGATTCCGGGATGTCTGTTCGGCGCGAGTGCGTACAGGCGCGCGCATCTAGCCGTCCCGCGACGTGCGCGTCGAGTCGCTTATGCGAACAGTCCTTATCTCCTGCGCTATCGCTGTGCATTCCCAGCGTATCTAGAGGTGTTGGGGGGAAAAGCCGGCTTATCGCGGCTCGTCAGCAAGTCGTCTACGGGCGCCGGTTTGTAGGTAATTAGTCATTGCCCTCTTATCTAATACCTCGTAAGAAGCGCCCGAGTATATAACGCCGTCGCACCCCCGCCCTATGATGCATCCCCTATCCCCTCGCGACGACCAAAGCAATCGGCGTCGCCAAACCGCCGGGATTGCCGCATCCGCTGCCCCCCGGACCGCCCGGTCCCCACATCGCGTCCGGTGCCGCCGCCGTAGCCCGGAGTCGCTAATGCGCTAAGCTCAGATACCGATTTTTGACAGCCATGGCGATGCAAATTGTGAACTCGGCCGAATTAGAAAGTAGGGAACTAATATGCTGCCGAAAATGCCGCACCTTTTTAACGCATTCAAAATGCACGGCAGAAAGTCACTTGCGAGGCTATCAGTGATGGCGAGGAGAACGTGGCAGCACTAAGGTTATTTAGGCATTATTGACCAGCGCCGACACCTCAGTAGTAGACGTCGACGTTGCTGCAGCTAAGCTAGGCCTATCTACCCGGCCGCCTCTACCGGCTCTCCGCATCGTCCCGGCCCTCCGCCCCCCCGTTCACTCCGCGTACCGCAGGCCGTGCCCGAACCGGAACACGGGGTCCGGCGTGTCGAACGGGACATCCTCGAGGTTCGCCGCGGCAGCGGCGTCGGACCGGGGCAGGTCGTATGGCAGGCGGCCCTCGGGGGCGGCGACGCCGAACACGACGTCGAGGAAGGCGTCGGACCCGCTGCCGAAGCTCGCGAGCAGCGCAGCCGCGCCCGCCGCCACCTCCGGCACCGCCGCCGGCCGGTCCAGCTTCAGGTCCACCACCGTCGGCACCGCGCCGTACACGGCCGCCTGGCGCGCGCGCTCCGCCGCCGGGAACTCGAGCGACCCCGCATGGAAGAGGCGCTCGAAGCCGCCCGGGCGCGGCTCGAACGGCGCCGCGAGCCGCAGCAGCGCGACGTCGGCGTCGGCGGGCGCCGCCACCACCGTCAGGTTGCGCGCGAGCAGCGCCGCCGCGTCGACGCCCTCGACGTAGAACCGGGTGGCCGGGTCGGCGCGCAGCGGCAGCAGCCCGCCCTTGTTGGTCAGCAGCGTGTAGGCGCGGCGCTGGGCGTCGGCGCCGGCGCGCGCGAAGCCCGCGTTGCCCACCACCCGCGCCGCCGCCGCCGGGTCTACGAACGGCGCCTCGAATAGCCCCAGCGCGAACTTCTCCCGCAGCAGCCGCCGCACCGACGCGTCCACCCGCGCCTCGCTGACTACGCCCTCCCGCACTAGCTGCGCTACTAGCTCCGGCCGCGACTCGCCGCCAAACTGGTCGCACCCGGCGTCGAGCACGCGCGCGACGCGCTCCACCTCGGATAGCGTCTCCAAGCCCCACGCGCGCGCCTCCGTCGGCTGCCCCAGCAGCACCGAGTCCGTGATGAGGGTCCAGTCGGTCACCACGATGCCCTCGAAGCCGAGCTCGCCGCGCAGCAGGTCGGTGACGATGCCCTTGTTGAACGAGAACCCTACCGGCTCGTACTTGGTGCCGATCGGCCGGCTGTAGTACGGCATGATCTGGCGCGTGCCGGCGGCGATGGCGGCCTTGAAGGGGATCAAGTGGTGGTCGAAGTTGTCGCCGGGGTACGTCTGGTTCTTGCCGTAGGGGAAGTGCGAGTCCTCGCCGTTCTCCATCGGCCCGCCGCCGGGGAAATGCTTGGTGACGGTGCCGATGGAGCGCGGGCCGATCGCGTCGCCCTGGAAGCCTTGGATGTAGGCGGTCAGGAGCTCGGTGGTGAGCCCGACGTCCTCGCCAAAGGTGCCGGCGATGCGCGCCCATCGCGGCTCCGTCGCCAAGTCGACCTGAGGATGGAGCGCGACGCGCAGGCCGACGGCGAGGTACTCCTCGCGGGCGATCCTGGCGAATCTCCTCACTAGTTCGGGGTTGCGGAGTGCGGCGAGGCCCAGCGTCTCGGGCCACTGGGAGAAGCGTGCCGCCTGGAAGCCGGTCCCTACATTTTCGGTGAAGCCATGCCGAGGGTCGCTTGACAGTGTGACGGGGATACCCAGGCGCGTGTTCAAAGCTCGCCGTTGGACGCGGTTGTAGAACTCGGCCGTCTCCCGCGCGTCGTCGATGGAACTGGCGAGGTTGAAATGCGTCATAAATTGCTCTCCGATCATGAAGTCTGTGCTGTTGCGACGGATGGGGTCCTCCGCACCTTGGTCCAGCGTGCCATTGGGTCCCATAAGCAGCTGCGTGTGGAACATCTGTCCGGCTTTCTCTTCTAGCGTCATACGCTTGATGAGGTCTTCGACTCTTTCGTCTATGCTTAGCGAAGCGTCCCTGTATGCCGGGAGTCCTTCGGCTCTAGTCGTGGCTGGTCGGCCGCGGAGTGAGAACTGGTGCGCTGGCTCTCGAGGTGGGGCCCCGGAGCACCAACCGCCTGATAGCCATGATGAGATTGCCACGAGGGCGATGAGAGCTCTGCGTGGTCTGATATGGGAGCCCATGGTTCCATGTACCGAATGACTTGTGACGAGTGGTTTGGTCGTGGACCAGCAACGGCAATCACGGCTTGGGGGGAGGGAATCCCGTGGGGTTTATACTCCTCCTACTTACCCCGTCCACGCTTCTGGAATACGGGGAAAACACAGCCGACAAACGTGCGCCAAGCTTCTCTACCGCGTGATGGTTGGAGCAGTGCAACCATACCGACATGATACATAATTATTCCTTCGGGCGCTAGAGCCGAGTCTTTCCATCTCTTTCCCGCACCAATAGACTCCTCTTGCGGACGTCTGCGGCCAGAGAGCCAGAGGCAAGCTTGTACATTCGTTGAACGGGGGTCGTTAAGCCATGGAAAATGTAGCTTGAAGTCGGTGTGAGGACAGGTATTTTATCCACTACGTCGCATTCTGGCAGCGTGGAAGCCTGGTCGCTCGGTCCCAGGCACAGTCTATAAACCCCGAGTCAGCCCACCGTCGACCCCTTCGGTCGACGTATGTACATGATGCATGTCGTGGGGTCCACCGTCCTGGTCTCGGACGTCGGCTGTTCGTTCCCCAGCTCGTCGGACAGTTAGTGTACCGTCAGACGTACATGAGGCTCCCCGGTTCCGAACAGCAATCCTTGCCTGCTTGATTGCGTGAGGTCCGTCCGGATGGGATGGAAGGCTTGATAAACCCAGGCGACAAGTGGGTGAGCTGACATGATGGCAGGCGGCAGTTTATCCTAATACGGCGGCTTGGCGTCGGTGAGTGATGACGACTGGGTTAGGGTATTAATGAGCTTGATTTCCTTCGAGATATGAGATCTCGAAACTCATTCCCCCATCACTTCACCGCCGCCCGTTTTCTTCTTCTATCTTTGCTATTTCTGAGCGGGTCTGTATCGTCCCGGCCTGGACGATGTGCCGAAGTCTGCTAAATACTATTGGACCAGGTCGTGGGGTGAGATAGGTAGGAATACTCGTGTCGTAACTGCGTGCTACAGAGCATGATCGGTGGAATCAACGGATCTCGCCCCTGAAGGATAACAGTGTACGCAGCTCTTATTCCAAGCTGTTATGGCGCTGTCTTACGGGAGAGTCTAGACCACCCCAACCAGGGATCCACGGAGCGGCTGAGGGTTTCTAGTCTTCTCCCCAGGTTGTTCGCTGTTGGCGATGATCTGCGTCTGAGGTGGCGGCCGTGCGTGTGACACCATTGAACGCTGCCGCTGAGGATGCTGAGGTGGCTTGGGAACTAGTGCGCGCGTTTTGCTGATTATTACCGAGGGAGCGCCGTGGTGATCTGATCGACATTAGGTACGATGCCTCGGTGCTGTTGTAGGTCTGTATGGTGCAGGTAGGTATATACGGAGGCTGAAGCTCGATCGGGCAACGAGGTCGCGGTCCTACCGACGAATACACCTTGTTCCGTATTCCGCTCACCGGTTGTCCCGATCGGCCTCGAGCATGGTCCAAAAGCCTGAGGCGCGTGTTGAGGTTGACACGAATACCTGGGATAGAGATAGGGGGAGCTGGCCTCCCTCCGGCGACGAACGAGAAGAAATAGGTGGTTGTTCGCTGACCTGAAAAGTTACACGCCTCCATACTTGCATAGTAACACCTATGAGTACCAGCATTCAGCATGTCCTTAGCTTCAGATACCTGTAATAGGTTACCTAAAGGTACCTAACCCAAGGCCTAACCTACAGGTCGGTACTACCTACCTAAGGTAGTAACCAGAGCAGTCTGTCAATTATTATGCGTTATTCCCATATATTCCCATACGAGAGGATACGAGAGACGTCTACCTCTCATATACAAGACCCTATGTGTACAGTACGGAATGCGCCGTCTTGCGGACTTTCCGCACTGTACCACTGGCTGCACCCCAGATTCCTCCCAGGGCGACCCACCTCCGGCATCGCAGCGCCCGTCTGGCTGCGATGGCCAATCAGAACTGCCGAGTTCTTCATTTGTCATGTTAAATGTCGACATTTTTTTCTTCAGTCTTTTTTCTTCCTCTTCTCCGTGTCTTGGGGTATTCCTGTCGTGTGTTCTCTTGTATTCCTTCTTCCTGCTCCTGCGATGCCAATTGCAGAGGATGAGGGCAGTTCGTCTTCCGCGCCGCCGAGGCGCACATCTGCAAGTACGTGCGTGTATGTGTGAATGTGTGGTGCACAATCTGTGTACAGAAGCATTGCTGTTCTGGTTATACCTATGCGGCACCATAAAATCCTCCTTTTTGACCCCTCCACCCCTCACTTCTCCCACTTCCATCCCCCATTCCCGCTCCCACCCTTACTCTAACATTCTCGAGCCCCCTTCTCCTTCGCCAACTTACCCTGCTAACCAAATCTCGCCCCTGTATCTCGTAGGGACTCGTCGCTCGACAAATCCAGAGCCGTCTCCCTCGCACGCGGTCCTTTGCGACGCCCACGTTCGACGCCTCCAACTCCCGCATACCGCCCTACCTCAAATTGGTCCATAACTATGGCAAGGTTAAGGAGGTGCTCGGGAAGGGCACCGCCCTCACCCTGGCTGAGAAGATCCTCTATAGCCACCTCGACAACGCCGAGGAGTCCCTCCTGACCAACACCGACGGCGGACGCAACATCCGAGGCGTCGCCAACCTCAAGCTCAAACCCGACCGCGTCGCCATGCAGGACGCCTCGGCCCAGATGGCCCTTTTGCAGTTCATGACCTGCAACCTGCCCTCGACTGCCATCCCCGCGAGCATCCACTGCGACCACCTGATCGTCGGCGAGCGCGGCGCCAAGGCCGACCTCGAAGCCGGTATCAAGGCGAACCAGGAGGTCTTCGATTTCCTCGAGTCTGCTGCGAAAAAATACGGCATCGAGTTCTGGCCCCCCGGCGCCGGTATCATTCACCAGAGTGTCCTGGAAAACTACGCTGCCCCTGGCCTGATGATGTTGGGCACCGACAGTCACACGCCGAACGCCGGCGGCCTCTCGACGATAGCTATCGGCGTCGGCGGAGCGGACGCGGTGGAGGCCCTCGTCGGCGCGCCCTGGGAGCTGAAGGCCCCTCGCATTCTGGGTGTGGAGCTCAAAGGCAGGCTGGGCGGCTGGGCGTCGCCGAAAGACGTCATCCTCAACCTTGCCGGCCAGCTTACTGTCCGTGGCGGTACCGGCTTCATCATCGAGTACTTTGGACCCGGCGTCGAGACGCTGAGCTGTACCGGCATGGCGACCATCTGCAATATGGGCGCCGAAGTTGGGGCTACGACGTCCATCTTCCCCTTCAACCCAGCCCATGTACGATACCTGGAGGCGACCCATCGGCACGACGTCTCGGCGAATGCGAAGAAATTCTCCGACATCGTCCAGCTCAAGGCCGATGCGGGCGCTAAGTATGACGAGATCATCACCATCGACCTATCTCAATTGGAGCCGCATGTCAACGGACCCTTTACCCCCGACCTCTCTACCCCCCTTTCCCAGTTCAGGCAAACTGTCGAGGAGCAGAAGTGGCCTGAAAAGCTATCTGCCGGCCTGATCGGAAGCTGCACGAACAGCTCGTATGAGGACATGACTCGCGTCGAGGGTATGGTCCGTGAAGCGATGGAAGCCGGCCTTAAGCCCGCTTCAGACTTCTATATAACCCCCGGTAGCGACCAGATCAGGGAAACCCTGCGAAGAGATGGCCCTCTCGACACCTTCAAAGATGCCGGCGGCACCGTGCTCTCGAATGCCTGCGGCCCTTGCATCGGCCAGTGGAAGCGGCACGACGGCGTCGAGAAGGGTACGCCGAACGCCATCTTCACCTCGTATAATCGCAATTTCCGCGGGCGGAATGACGGCAACCCTGACACCATGAACTTCCTCGCGTCGCCTGAGATTGTCACCGCGCTGGCGTTCGCTGGCACGACCACCTTCAACCCGATGACCGACGCGCTCGTGACACCGTCCGGCAGCGAGTTCCGCTTCACGCCGCCCTTGGGCCGCGAGATCCCTACGCAGCCGTTCGAGGTAGCGCGGGAAGAGTTCCGCGCGCTGAGGCAGGCGCCCGACTCGTCTGTCAGCGTAGCCATCTCGCCGACGTCGGAGCGGCTCGCGCTTCTCGAGCCGTTCGAGCCGTTCCCGGCGTCGGAGCTGACGGGGCTGCGAGTGCTCGTCAAGGTGACGGGCAAGTGCACGACGGACACGATCTCGGCGGCAGGGCCGTGGCTCAAGTACAAGGGCCACCTACCGAACATCAGCGCCAACACGCTCAACACGGCGACGAATGCGGAGACGGGAGAGGTCAACGCGGCATACGACCTCGACGGGTCGCGGCACTCGATCCCGGAGCTAGGGCGGTTGTGGCGCGAGCGGGGACAACCGTGGATCGTAGTAGCGGAGCACAACTACGGCGAGGGGAGCGCGCGGGAGCACGCGGCGCTGCAACCGCGGTACCTAGGCGCGCGAGTAGTGCTCACGAAGAGCTTCGCGCGCATCCACGAGACGAATCTCAAAAAGCAGGGGGTCGTGCCGCTGACGTTCGCCGACGAGGCCGACTACGATCGCATCGGCGCCGGCGACGCCGTGGACACCGTCGGCCTGCTCGACATGCTGCGCGCGGGCGGGCGCGGCGACGTCGCGCTCAAGGTTACGAGGAAGGGGACCGGAGAGGTCGTCACGATACCCACGCGGCACGCGGTCAGCGCCGACCAGGCCGGGTTCATACTCGCGGGGAGCGCGCTGAATCTGCTGTCGAAGAAGAAGTAGGCAGTGTGGTGCCGATGGCGAGATGAGACGATCAGAAATGAGACGGGGGAATCCAGCTCAAATGAGATGGGGGATCTAGGAAGAAGATCATTAGTTCGACGCACGGCGCATGTCTAGGTTACATAGATATCTACGACATATGTATGTCCCCGGTACGCGTTACAACAGAAGAGACACACGTTATTAGCCCGGGCCGACGCAGCCCGGCCGCGGAGGCGGGAGGGGGAAAAAAGGGGGTAATAGTCCAGCTGCGGAACGGAGGGGAGGGGTGGAGAAGAGAAGAGAAGGAAAAAGGGTGGACGTAAAAGGCGACAGGGCCCGGGGTAGGCAAAAAGACACGCGGAGATCAAAAAGACAAGAAGAATTAAACAAGAGAGCGAAAAAAAAACAAAGAAACTGAAGTAGAGCAATGCCGTAATCAGTCGCTGTATCAACATCTGGCACTGCGAAGATAGCACAAAGTCCCCTCCGCCCCTCCGTGGACGAGTATACAGACACCAGACACCAGACACCGCAGACACTGATACGCGCGCGCGGACCCCCGCACACCTACCCGGCCGCGCTACCTCGACGGAAGAGCAGGCCCCTAGGCAGGCAGGCAAGCAGATATGCCGGGGGGGCGCCGGCCCCGCGATCTGCTCACCGGCCGGTCCTGGCTCGGCTCGGCGGCGCGCGGGGACGGCCGGCAGCAGGGGTGTGCGGGTGGCGGGCCGCCGGGGCAGGGGAGGGTTGGGCGTGGTGCTAACTGTCCGCACACACGCACACGCCCGCTGCTCTAGGACGAGGACGCGTAGTTGGCGGGGCGGGAGTTGGCGGGCACGGCGAGGACACGCACGGCACGTGGCCGAGGCAGTTGGGCAGGGAACCTGATAGCGCGAAGCACGCGCCTGAGATCAAATGTTGTGTACGCTGTTCATTCATTAGCTACGTATATCGAAGCGCTCGCTGCCCTGTTCCAAGCCCCTGCGTGTCTTTCCAGAGGCGGCGTTGAAGAGGGGGCGCAGGGGCCCGCAAGATCTTCATCTCGCGGCTTGCCGTTTAGCTAAGTGGTATATCCTCCTCCCTCCTTCAGAAGACCTACGTCTCGCACATACCACATGGCATGCGGCCGCGTCCTCTTCTATCTTCTCCCCCCCCCCCCCCCCCGATAAGCCTACTCCGTATTTCTGTTTCTAATTTCGTCCATAAGAGAGGTAGTTTGGAGTCTAAAGCTCAAGGTTACAAGGGGAGTTTGGGTCGTAAGTAGGCACTCGCCCGTCGTGCCAGCTCCCAAAGTCTACCTCTGCCTTTGAACCTGGCCGCAAGATTTTATATGCGGCTCTTCTGGCCCCGCACGCTCAAGAGGGATCTATTTCCATCTCGTCAATGCTGTTTGCTACCCCGTTCGATTCACCTTGCTTCTCCTTCTCCTGCCTTTTTTTGCGGCGTTCCATGCGCTTTTGGTGTTCCTTACGCTTCCGCAGGTGGTATTGTTCAGCAATTTCGTCGAGTTCGTCGATTGCGGCCAACCATGCGGGATTGTTCCGTACTCGTTCGGGAAGGTCCATTCTCGGGGGGTTGTCGGCCTCCTCTCGTCTTCTCTGTGCTGCCCGAGCCGCTGCTTTGCCGAAATTGGATTTTTTAGCTCCTCGCTCACGAATCTCTTCCTGCTTCTCGCGGTACCATTTCTGGGAACGAGGTTGCGCCCAGTGGATTCGTGGGTCGATGTGTGCGTATCGCGCTGCTGGGCGTGTTGGCCGTGACGGTTGCAGATAGTCGGGAACGCCATACAGGCTAGAGCCGGGTCGGTTAGGCTCGTTGGCCTTTCCGTATATGTACCCGTCGAATACGTCAGGATCGTGATTAGCGAGCCACACTTGACGTCTCTCCTCGGGGTTAAGGTGCCTCCAACTTCGACCCTGGACCAGAGACGCGAGACCCGAGGGGCCAGCGGGCCTTTTTCCCACACCACCAGCTTTAGCGCTCTGCGACGCGTCGATGATGGGTTCCGTCGAAGGGGCACGTAACCCAGTCGCTAGCGGCTTAGGCGCAGGTTGTACTTTGGGGGAGCCTGGACTTTTTGCGTCTTGCTGTTCATCTATACCGTTGGCCATCTCCTTGGTAGCCTCCTTGGTAGTCTCCTTGGTAATCCCCTTGTTAATCCCCTTTTTAATCTCCTTGATTGTCCCCCTGGTTGTCTCCTTGCTTGTCTCCTCGGCCGTATCCCGGGCGGCTTGCTGGAGTATGTCTGGTTTTGATGACGGAATATCTATATTGTCCTGGGACCCAGCAGTCGTACCGTTTCCTTGAGATATCACAATTGGACCGGAGGTTCCCACTGTCCCATTCACGGGCTCCTTTGCTTTTTGACTTGATACGGCTGACGGACTGATCTCCTTGGAGTGTCTTTCAACGTCTGTTTTCCCGGTAGGAATCCTTGTTACCGAAACATCCTTGATAGTCGCTTCTCGAGCCTCCTGCTTCTTAGGTATGTTAACGGGATGTGGCGTGGCATCTCGCGTCGCTGGCGTTTTTGCTGGAAATTCAGCTGGCCGATGCTTTTGCTCCTTCTGGGGGGTTGCTTCTGTAGAGGCTTCCGAAGGGACAGAGGTTTGAGGGCGCTGTGGGGGCTCCTGCTCGTCCTTGGTTGCTTTACGCTGCAGAGCTGGAAGGGGTGCTTGCGAACTCAAAGAGACAGACACGGCTTCGGGACGAGGGATCGTTTTCGTGTTATCCTTATTGGGGTGTGGGAGGGTTAACGAACTAGAGCCGACACTGCGGCAGCGGTTTGGCTCGCCTCTCGACGTAGCATTTAAATTCTCAATCGAAGCCTTGGCAGTCGAGATGCCTAAGTGTGCTGTAAGAGATTGGGCCCGATTTGAGCCAATTTGCACCTCAATCGGCCTACCATCATGTCGCAATTCCTGAGCATAGGTACGAGGATCTACCAAGGTCTTTCCATAGCTTTCTCGCTTATTTCCGTGCAAATCGTGCTGCCTGGCAGCGGAGGAAGGATGGAGTGCAGAATCGTCCGCGGTGAGGTCTACGAATGGATGTAACGAGATCCCCCGGCTCTTGACGTAGTTATAGGGCGAACTACGAAGAGGGTTTTCGTACTGAGGCTCTCTAGGAGGCACCATTCGCCGATCTTGGGAGCTGGGTCGGTACAGGTCCGGGTTTCCTTTCTTTGGCCGGAGCGCGAAATCCGAGGGTTCCGTGAATCTCGGGTCGCGCTCTTCAATACTGGCTGGTTTGAGGCTGGACGGCCCGCGGAAGTTGTTGTCCGCAAACGAGGAGTGCAAATGACGAGCATCTGGTCCTTTACCCACATCGATTGATAACCGCGGTCTCTTTGCAGGCCGGTGATCCGAGGAGGCGCCGTCGACGACGGACGATCTAGAGTCAGAAAGTGCCGCAGTCAGAATCGGCGTTGGCTTCGGAGCAGTAGTGCCGCTAGTGGTCTTCCTCGCGACGTGCTTGTCAGGGAGGTGCTTCTTGCTGCCGGCGCGGCCCGACGTCGTCGCCGTTAGAGGAGGTTTCACAGTGATAGCGTCGCCTAACTTGTCTGGGGAGCCCATCTTCGAAAACTCCCCGGCAGGCTGGGATGACCGCTGCATAACAGGATGTAGAGGTCTATGATCACTGCTTAGCTGCCGATGCTGGCCAGAGATATGAAGAACGGATGCGTCGGTCGCAAAGTTGGGAAAGAATTTGCCGTGGGTAGTACAGTAGGGGCCGCCTAGCAGGATAGTCGATTGGCATGCTTCGAATTGGCATTGCTGCAGGATGTAATGACTGCCGTCCATGGCGCAGATTCCTGGCGGCCGTGGTTCGCAAGTCCACTGCCACAGAAAGGCGGCTTGGCTAGGCCCCAATAGGCGGCCAACGGTGACGGCGGATGGAAGGCGGGCAGGAAGACTTTGATTATTCTTGGCTTGGAAAAATGTTGAAACCAGATCATCTTAGTCGTCATTGCTTCTCGCGACAGAGACGCCTCATCAATTAGACGGAACTGCAACTAGAAATTATGTAATAATAGATAGTAATAAACGTAGCGCCTAAACAGAAGAACAGGACAGTAAGTAGCGGCAACGGTGGCAGCGAGGATAACAGATGGCTCTTAGCGAAACAAAGTCGGACAGGATGTGTGGGGAGTAGAACGCGAGTATCGCCGCACGGGAAGCGGGAAAGGTCGACACGTCGACATGGGAAACCGGTGGACTGGGACGAAAAAGAGGCACTTACCGAAATGACAGACGAGAAGTTAGGAGCAGAGAAGAGAGGAAAGGATGATGGAGAAGAAGATGATGTTGGCGAGAGACGGAAGCGGGGGGGGGATGATCAAAAGGAGTTAAAAAAGACCGGTTCGGGGCAGAAAGCGTTACGGTAAGCAGACAGTATCGATTAAGATGGAGAGGATAGACAATGGCGGTCCTTCTCGCCGATACTATATAATAATGCCTGCGGACCGATGTATGGTTACTCAACAGGGATCTCCAGTTAATGAGTAGGGCGGGATCATCCTATAGACAGCGTCAGATTTGATAGGGACGACGGTACCGTGTCGGTGGATTCTATCCACGGCGGATGGGCAAGTGGATGGGCATAGCAGTATAGGCTGGTCTCAGATCTTTTCAGTTTTCATGAATTCAGTCATCAACCTGCGGGACGCGGCGGCTTTGAATCCGAAACCTCACCCCGTCCTTGTTTTGGTTGGGGACCCTCCGGTGGCAGAGGGCCGGCCTGTGCACCGCAGCCTTTGGTCCAGTCTCATGGCGGCGATGCGAGGCCGGATCCCAAAATAATAGCGGAACGCGCAGAGAGCGATAACAACCCGAAAAATAAATAACGAGAAGCGAAAGATCTGCAGCATTTAATTTATCCCGTCCCGACACGACGGACACAGACAATGTATGGGCAGACCATTGTGTTGCCGCGGCGAGGTCGGGGCCGAGGACGCGCATCCGAGTCGCGGAAAACTCGGTATGGCTTTAGGGTGGGTTTATAGGATTGAGAACCAGAAGGTCCGTAGATGCAGTCTGACCTTTTACCAAGTTGTCCATCATCGACCAGCCTACCGCTATGCACGTTTCCCATGGTAGGTAGATGGACGGATAGGCAGAGAGATAAAAGAGAAAGAGAGAGAGAGGCGGAGCGTGTCCCAGAGAGGGAAGAGACTCTCCGGGAAGAAAAGAATATATAAATATATGTATACGCATGTACACTGAAGAGAGGGAAAAAAAACTCGAAACAGGGGAGGATGACGAGAACGATAATCACGACAACAACATACCAGCGGTAATTAGCACCCTCGAGATTTCCGATCCGACACGACTGCAGGGCATTCCTCCTCGTCATGGTATTCCGGGCAGATCTTAGGTAGTTACGAGAAGAAAAGAAGCTGGCGGGAGGATGAGAGGAAGAGCTTCGCCAGGCAAGGCAGAGACGGGATCAGGTCGCGCGCCGATCGGGCTTACCGATTCTGGGATACTTTGTCGCGGCATGCACGAGCTTACCGGCGGTGCCAGATCGCGGTCGCACCCATTCCCGCGCGGCAGCAGTCTCAACGTCCGATGCGTCCAGGCCGGCTCGCTGGGCAACGGGGTGAGAGATGGCGCTGGGTCGCGGGCGTGGCAAGCGTGGCAGAAGGGCAGAGAGGAGCAGGATATAGGTTGGCGCGTGAAAGGTGAATGTGCTGGAATTCGGTACGGGGTTACGGTGAAATCGACGAGAATGCGCGGCAGCGGTAAACCGATAGTCCGTGCTCGCCTCAGCTCAGGTTTGCTGGAAGCGCCAGCAGCCGGAAGCGGATCATATATTCCGCCGTCACTCTCCCGAGGTACCTGCGTACCAACCGCCAACATCTGATTGGGTTGTGAGCGGTAACAACATCTGCTTCCTATACCGATCGCCAATCCCCGAGATACCTCCTCCTTTATGCCCTCCAACACACCGACATGAAAAAGCACACGAGAAGAGAAGAGAAGCAAAGCAACACCCAAGCAAAGCGAACTTGGGAAATCCCTGTTGAGACCGGCCACAGCTGGCCATTCGCTCCGAGGACGGGTCCCACGCAGCTGAGAAGCCGTTTGCTGTGTGGCTATGCCGTGCCGTTATGCGAACGCATCTTGGCGCTTCCGCGTCACCCAGCGTGCAACACATATCCATTTTAAAATATGACAGAGCAATCGACATGGGCGGGAACTCGTGGATATCAATCCTACCACCGTACATACATAAATTTGGAATACTCCCCTGTGCCGTGTCCTCGACCGAATGTGGAATGTGTCGCTCAAGGAAGCCAAAAAAAAAAAAAGAGAGGCCCCAGGTATAATATAAAGCCCATATAACCAAATGGGGAAGAGGAGGCGCCTAATACATTCTCACATGTTACGAGGTCGGAATTATACTCGTATTCTCGTCTTTCTTTTACCGAACATTGTCGCCCTTCAACTCACCTGCCAGAGTCAACAATTTCCCGCCGAACGTATTTACGCCAGTGTTCCTATCCCCAATGGTGGACTCATAAAAACATACCACACCACAAGGAATAGTAGGTAACCACTTAAATCGTTAGGTAGGTCGGATGCGAGAGATCGGCCCGCTCCTCGACGCCACCCGAGAGGGTTCACAACTCTCATCGTTGGCCGCTGCTATTAACGCCCACAGCGCACCCAACCAAAGGAGCCAAAGGATGAGAAACGATACGTCTCTTCCCCGCAACAGACGACGCTCGCTGCGAATCGTTGTAGAGATTCTTATTCTCGCTTATTGCCCACTCTCTTTAATTCCGAAGCCAGTGGTAATATAGGTAGCTCCGACATGCTTCAGAGGTTGGGCATAAATGGAGACTTAAGTAGACACGTAGGCCGTTGTCGTATCGATCCAAGTTATTATGCACCATTAGCCTACATCTCGATGCGGCACGAGAATATCAACGCAGCGTGGTATCCACCGTCTCCCGATGGCCCCCGGGGGTCGAGCGTATCGCGGAGATAGGAATCCGGAAAGGGAGAGAGTACGACGTACAGTTTGGCCAGGTTCATTCGACACCGGAGAAGTAATGTAAATTCCACCTGAAACACTATTCCATGTAATACAAATCACGTATCGCCATCCTTCTTCCTTACGGTGCCCATAACGGACCCCTCGACTATTCGCAGAGTGTAGGTATATCCTCTTCCGAGACGTATAGGCAACGGGTTACGCAGAATCACGAGCCCACGGACTGATATTCCCACACTCTATAGACACCTTAGAGTCTCTCCAGCATTAATACAATGTTATTTCCCCCAAGATGCTTCCCCATACGCATACACAAATGTGGGGTCCCCTCATCACCGTTCCGTAGACAGATTGGTTATACCCAAACCCGCTCCGCGTCCCTATGCCGCGAGGGGACATCTTGCTCTGTACCCACTGCGATGCTTCTTCAATCGGGCCAGAAGCCTTGCGCACCGAAAAGAATTGCAAGTTAATCTGCGTCGGTTTCCGCCAACCGGCCTCGGGAATCACTGTTTCTCCTCATGCTCGCCGTACCTACACATCTCAGCCCCCAGATCCCCCAGGAGTCTATCGTGCCACATGTACTCTCACACTGATCATCCAGCAAAAGGAACAGGCGCAGAACGAGCCGGCACCGGTGGGAAGCAAGGGAGGCGGTCGTGGATATAGCCAGCGTGAAGGAGGAGGGGTTGGAAGCCGACCTGGACGACCGCAGACGTATATAGGAGACCACCTCGCGCACATTACCTAATATCGTATCCCGGCCGGCCTTCCGCTGATCCCAACTGAGCAGCGCCGCGTATACTTTCTTCTCTCTACCCACATTGCTACTATCCCCCGAGGCACGCGCGCCTGTGGTTGTGCCCGAACAGCAGACGCAAGAAACCCGCGGGGATCCGCATCGATTCGACGTGACCCCCCCCCCTTTGAGCCAACCCGGCGCGTCCCTCTCGCCCCGACCCTCTCGGCCAGCAGCTGGTCGTACATCTGCTGCGGCCCCACGGACTCGCGCCCCCCGGGATAAGGTAGGGTTTGCGGAGTGTACCACCCCTGTCGAATCCTCGAATCTGGGTCAGCTGCCCGCGCCTTTCGCGCCGGGCTCGAGCGCCGTAGACTACGACAGTCAGTGCTTGAGACACAGGAGCCGCGAGGTATTATCCTATCCGAAGGATAATTATAAGACGTGATACTTTTATCTAAATATGGAGTTTCCCCGACTAGTACTAATATTAGTCCTAAATTAGGTGTCTTGCCGACGAAGATACGGTACCTCTGAAAAGAGTTGAATCTCCGTGATTCCCGGACGCATATCGCCCGTAACCCACAACTTACCTACGTCTCCATCCCGATTCATGGCCTACTGCCTAGATGAGAGCTACCCTGCATGAATCTAGATGACGCGTCGTGGCGGGCACATCCATGGTCAAAGGCTGGATGGGTCAGGTTCCCTAAATGGAATCCGGCGTCCATTTGCCGTGACATGGCCAATATTATACCTACATGGCTGGACTTCGTTGCCTCACTTCATCGTCACTGCTTCCCTCCTCCATTTCCACCCAGCTTCCCTTCTCACATCTTCCCTGCTCTCATTTTTCCTTCTCCTCCCCTCTTCCTTCCCCCATTCTCTCCGCTATGCGGCTTGCTCTCTCTCTTATTTAGGCACGTAGGTACCTAACCGACGAGATGGAGCTCAGCTAAACTTCCACGCATGCACTCCCTCGCTCAAGTTGAATCTCCATTGCTTTACGCTCGCTCCCGACGGCGATAGGCGAACTATCAACGTTGATTGGCGTGGCGGATTTGTGATTTTCCGTCGTTAGGTTGACCAATCCCACCGAATTCTGTGGTTTTGGTCGTTAGGTAGGTTGGCGGGGCGCAACCCGCATGGATCATTTGTCACGAAACACGATTGTCACAAAACGCGACTTTGCAATTCGTCCGCCATCGACGATCTACCGCAGTCAAAGATCATCAAAGACAATCCCATCGAGAACGGCCTTGATGCCTTCGGCGCTTCGTTCAGTTCGGTCTGCAAAGTGCGAGTGTCTCCCGCACCCTGGGCGCGCTAGAGCGGCTTGGCTAAGAAGGTAGGTAGGTACGAAAAGACAGCACTGTTTCGTTCCAGTCCCCAGAATGTCGCCCTCAATCTTCTTTTTTCTTTTTGTTCTGCGCAACCTGTTCCATGGTCTAATCGCGGTGCTAGGGACGCCATCGCCAACACTGTCACCTCCGTCGAGTGGCCTTGGGCTCAAGAAGGACGCCTGTGCTTGACTATCGCCCACTGCCATACATCAGTATGCGCGGGCCTATACACACGCTCTTCTTGATGGACATCGCCGAGGAGGTGATCACGGCGAGGAATGGGTGTAGCCCCCTAAGCACGGCGTTGATGCCAACTGCCTTCCGACAACTCTTGTGACACTGTGAGTGAGTGAATCCATGTGCTCGTGCACGAAGAGGATTAGGGAACGCATTCCAGGTGCGTCACTAGATGAGCTGGAGGATCGTCACGAATCACCACGGAGATGGGCTGCCCCAGGGTCGGATGCTGCAACGGCAAGCCGAGCACTGTGAGGATTTGCGTCAGGACTGTCCAAATCTGGATCGAGCACGTCGAGCTCTGGGAGTGGCATGGTCACTTGAAGAGAAGGTACGAACCGATCCCCAGAGTCTGGAGGATCATGTAAGGTATGCAGAGGGTTGATTTTATGAGCGCCTCGACCGTGACCCTGATATCCCGCGCGATCAAAACCGCGAGACGACCAGCGGACCGCACGGGTTAGATGACCCATGAGATCAATGACCGGTAGTATGACGTGAAACGCTAGGTCGTTGGATTGGTCATCGCGGAATCAACGTGTTTGGCGGCCCTGTCCCCAAGCTGTCTTTCTGCCTCTCTCCGGCCATAGAATATATTCCATCCTGAATGCCGGGGGAACACGATCTCCGAAAGATCTAGCAGCACTCTGTCCGCCCAATTCTTCTTTCTCGACGAAAGCGCGAACTTGAAACCAGCCCGCTATAAAAAGTCCAGCTGTGATTGTACAGGCACCATTGTCACCTTCAAGGATGGACCCGTAGACAATTGCGAAGTACTCTTGGTCTGGCTGTATCTCACGCCCGACCTCCTTGAAATCCAGACTCGGCGGAGCCATCCCTTTATACTCTAGATCTCGAAGAAATTGACCGCTGATCCTAGACCAACCAAAGCAGTCCCGCAAGCGCGGAATGGAAGCGACTGACAAGCTTCCAGAAACCGTTCTCAGTCGTTGTTCTCGGCGGCCATCTTCGGAGAAGGCTTAAATATTAGCGATGGCATCTTCACGTGTGGCCGGTTCCGCATGTACGTATGGGCTCGATTCGGTGGTTTGCTCGGCGGCAGCTGCGATAATCTAGGGGATGGCAGAATTCTAGCATCCCCGTTGAAGGGCCTAGTGCCGCGTACCAGGAGGGGGTTCGTTTTCCCAGAGCTCGAAGCAAAAAAGGTTAGGATATTTCCTGGATTTCAGTGATTCAGTAATCGAATTAATGCCTAGGACCTCTAATGCGAATGGGCCTTGGTTACTATACTTCACCTCCCAGACATAGCCATCGACTCCGCCGCCAAGGCGACATTGCCAGGAAATACCGGCTGGATCGCCAGGGAACTTCCTGAGGAGTGGATGTCTGAAGTTCTTTCAGGCAGAGGCAGGCGGACCGGTCATCGGCTGCTGATCAGAGCAAGGCACGTGTTTGAGTTTCATGGCCTGCTCTGAGTATTGTTGAAAGGCTGGATCGCCCTCTGGCTTGTGGTCGGATGAGTGAACTCCATTCTGCTTGAGACATTCCATATCGTCGGTGAAGGTGGTGGAGGCGTTTTCCACTCCGAAATTCGTGTGTAATTATGCAGCTCTGCATCTTGACCTCGCAGCCTTAGGCATCAACTTGTTCGGGCATCTAGTGGGACGGTGAAGCGGAACTGGAGAAAGAGCATTTGTTCTGGGCATTCACAAGCTATTCCCAAGGCGATGTCTTCAACATGGAAGTTGGATGGTAAAAAAATACTATGCCATGAGAGTCAGAGTAGGCAAAGAGGAGATAATGTACGTCCAGAGAGCCGAACTGTTGAGGAAAGATGGTCACCGGGGCAGGCAATATTCACGGACGACACAAGCTGAAGACGCAAATTTGCGAGGATGCGAAAGCAGCCATCAGGAGAAGATAAAGATAATATATGTCGGACACTTCCCATCAGGTAGCAACTCGACAGCCCAAAATTCAACGTTCGTAAAAAAGGAAGCATGCTAGTATTTGTACTCTTTTCAGGTTCCCCAAAACAACTCCACTTGATAATGACGACAATACTTGACGTAGGTACTGTCCACGCCAGCATTTGGATCGATTCCAGCTCCGTAACTTAGGGTGGGAACACAGCCATTGACACGAATATTATAAATCCAACAATACGGGTTCCGTGGCTCCAGTTCAACCACAAAAATCTGTTTGCAATCTACGAACATGTGCTCGAGACGCCATGGTATAATCCACCGGAGATACCCTAGAGACCTCATCATGACCGAAGAGTTGTAAACGGGAGGAGTCTCGAAAGTATCCTACGCCACTTTATAACTCCCACCTATGATCGAAGGCTCGGGTACGGATCGTCCTCGCCAGGCAGCATTTAATATCCAGAGGGTGGGCTCTGGCGGCACAGATATCTCCACAGATATCTCCATGGTGACAAGCTCCATCGGCGTACTTTCGTTTCAGGACGACAACGCATCGAACTGGGAGTTTCTCTCGCCAGAATATGCAGTTGTGCCATGGTCGAAGCACGGGCGTGGACAACTCACCATTGAGCTCGCGTTCTTCTGGACGACCTTGGGTCCACACACAGAAGTAGCTTCTCGCTACCAGCGCTTGGACAGCTGGGGCAAGGGTGGCCAAGGATATGTCCGCAATACATCTGATCTCAAAATGGAGATACTACCGAAGCGCGCGGTTATTTATGAGGGAGACGTAGAAAATGTAGAGTAGCTAGAAGCAGATGAATATAACGAGGAGCAGGGGGACCAGAGTGCCGGGGGGGGCCGAACGTGGAGGGGTCTGAAGCGGGGCAGTTGCACAAACCAGCTCGGAACGGGTCAATTTGGAGGGGGTCAGCTCTAGTGGGAGGACGAGGGATACGACACTCCGAAAGCAAGTTACAGTGCTGCCGAGTCTTCGAAGTGGAAAGAAAAGGGTTAGTATTGCTTCGCAAACCCAAGAGGCCGCGAAACTGAGACAAAGAAGTCCGGGTAGGAGCCATCGGAGGCATGTGGGTGGGAATTCCAGGAAAGATAGACGCTTCCATAGATCTTAAATCTCCAATATCACCATGTTTAGCACGGAGAGATTCAAAACGCTACCATACTCACAGACGCCGTCGCGTCATCGTCGACCTCATCCCGGCCCTTTGGCCCTTCCGATCACCTTAAAGCGCCGCGGGGCCGGTTGAATGACAGGAGGAAGTATGCGAGGACTGATTATCGTCGGGAACTATCCGGATTCGACAACTGGGAACTTCTCGGGAAGTTCGAGAGCTGGGTAGAATACCAGAGGAGAGTTCCTATTCCCTCCGGGGGGAACAGGGAAGCGTAATAATCTAGAGAGAAGGGTGTCCGCCGTATTTTTAAAAGAGCAGCCGATGTGTAGGTAGATTCGAGAAGGACCCTTTCGATGGCTCGGCCTTTTCCAGCTAGCACCATTTCCCCAGACGTGATGTAGCCACGCCAGAAGGCCGGCCGCGGTGCCGTCGGCGCCAACATGCACGTCTCGGGATACAATCTCCCTTGTGCATAGCCGAGGACGACGAACCGCGCGACGGGCCCAAGATTTGAGATTTCCCCCGCACTTCAGAACCCCTTGATTAAGCCTGTGCGTACATGGGTGGTATTGATAGGTATCTTTCGGGACCTTCCGCCGATGGAACATTCCCAGTAATTGGACACGACGAAGTATCGGCCACGCCGTGGTGATACGCTTCGGATAATCCTTCGCATATCGGGTTCAGCCTTACTATGGCCGGGGGAGGGCTGTGAGGTTGGTGGCATACCTACGATAGGACGGATCGGATTTTCGTGCCTGCTGGGGAGGCGAGCCAGGGACATTATAGGCACGCCGTTTATAGAGGGACAATCAGAGAGACATCACATAGGCATAAGCTGACTGATGGTCATTCAGGTGCTACGGCTCTCTCTGCACGATGGGTAATAACTGCGAAGCGTCGGGGTCTGCGGTCTGGGGCGGTATGAAGCGGTCTCGGTCTAGGCGCTGACTTCACACTGCAGGGTGGGGTAAGGGCTCTAGCAAACTAGATAGGGGACACGAAGAAAAGGGTAGTGATTGCGGACGAGGCGGGGACGAGACAATTGTGTACGGGATGTCGAATGTCAACTACGCGATAGAGCGGTGTCCTGCTCGTGGTTCTGAGTGGGCTTGCGCATGGACACAAGGAGTGAAGGCCTCGATCACGTGTTGAGGTCATTTCCGGCCTCACGTGTTGGTGTTGCCTACCGCATTTGCTGCGTCATGCTCTACGTGCGCTGCTTATCAAAAAGAAAGCTGCTATGGCGCATTATCGATGCCCCGTCCCTAGATTGAGGTCGCCTGTGGCTGTATGTACCTTACTGGCAGTGTTGTAGCGGTGCAGGTACATGCCCGTCTCGTCGAGCCCGGCTGCTCCTTTTTCCCGCGCCCCGACTCGACTCCCCATCGGGCCTAGCGTTGGCCTGCCATCCCACGACGTCGGGTCACTTGGCCCCAGGCTTCCTATTCCCCATCCCCGAACACCAAAGGGGAGAGAGGCTCTCCACCGGCGAGTTCCGATCGTACGACGAATCCATTCCCATCGTACCACGCAGCAGGCCAGCCTGCCGTAAGCAGTGGCCGACGACCTGATGTCTGAGCCTCTCATCTCCGATCCCTTTTCGCCTCATCGCGAGGCGCCCACCCGCTGACTGCCTGCTACGGGCCGACGGCTGGCGTTGGTGGTCGTCATGGCGTGACTGGCACCGCACCAGACGGCGAATACGTGCGCGAAGGCTATTTACGACTCCCCCGTTCGGGCATTGTCGCGTACCAGAGCGACGAGTCCCCGCGCACCCGCTCATTATCGCCATGGCAGCCGCCGCCCCCAAGCTGGCTAGCACCCAGCAGTCATGACCCGCGCCTCTGGGATTTTCCCACTAGGCTCAGAGCGGCCCTGTCGTCGTATGTTCGGCGTCGTCCAGAAACCTCTGGACTCTAGCTTCGGGGCCAACGAGGTGGGAATAGCAAGCGAGTCAGGAGCCTTCGGCCCAGGGCGTGACGTGATGTGGGTGAAAGGCTTTGCTGGCGGTGGCCCGCCGTAATCCGTAGAGCAGAATCGTAGTATAAGAGTGGCCACGAACGCCTCCCCGGGACTGTGGGTAGAAAAAGGAGGTCATCGCACATACACTTAGATCGATCACGGAAATCATCATAGACTCTCTTCACTCTTCGGGGCCTCGTTGTATTACCTACATCGGGTATAGCAACACCTCTCCTCTCCGGCCGGACTCTTGTATAGAAGTTTTGGGCATCGCAACTCTTTCACTATTGTCGAACGGTATCTTCACACACGAAACTCAGCTCGATTCGGAAAACGACCAAGTCTCTTTGGGAATCTTCTCTCATCTAGGATCTGGTACACTAGTTCTTATTGTGGTATAATCACACACGAGTCTCATCTCACCTTGTACACTTCTATAACGACCTCAACGAAACCACCAAAACCACCATAAAACACAATGTCGGCCGCCATCGCTTCCCGTGGTCAGGTTCCCCTCTCCGCCATCCTCCGGCAAGCCTTCAAGGGCCTGCGCCAGTCGGCCCGCATCGTTGAGGGCCCGACCGAGGCCTACCCCGTGAGTGTAGCCCCGCAGCGTGCGGACTGGGGCCGCATCGTCAAGTCTAGGGCCGGCGTCGCCTCTGTGTAAGTGCAACCAACCCTCCCACTCTCATCTACCCTGATCCCTTCGCGATAGATATACGGAAGAGGGGCGGACGGTAGCGATAGAGACTAACACAAAGACGCTGCAGATACTTCCCGCTCATGGGCACCTTCCTGACGTGGCCCTTCGTGGCCAAATATGCCCTCGACGGGCGCATGTAAACCAATATCGTCGCCATCATTCCCTTTGTCGGCACACGCACACAAAAACGACATCTAAAACAGATCTACACACGCCACTCGGCGGAACGAAGTGCTGCATATGAACATATATATATATATACCCTCTACTGTACATACACATCAACTACCCCCCCCTCCCCTTTCGGACTCTATCGCCAGCAGTGAGCAACAAATCGGCGGAGTGCTTTTTTCAGGAACATCGGTTATCTGGAGGCCCCATCGATGGCGTTCCGGTTTAGTATATTAATTATTATTGTGGAGACGAGGTGGAAACGCGCAAGGGAGGGCGAAAAGGGGGAAATCCAAGGACCGGGAGGGGGTCGAGTCAGGGGAGGAGAGCCTAGGAAAAGTAGGAGTTGGCTTGTCTACTAAACATAGGCGTTACTCATGCATGACGGAAGGTTTTAAATATATTTTCTTGTCACGGGAAAATCCTGTGTACCTTTGAGTCGCGAGTTGGTCATGTACCTGGGTAAGTTTTGTATAAACTTATGCGATGTCTCTATAAAACCAGTAACCCCCGCCCCACTGTCTAAAGTACACAGACCTATGCAGATGTGCCCGTTCTCATCCCCCCCTAATCCCTTACGCAGCCTTGACGGCGACGGCAGCAGGAGCGGCTGCTGCGGGTGATTCGGCCGCACCCTTGTTGTACTCGATGTAGCCGAACTTGGCCTCGGGCTCGTGGAGGCGGCGGGCCTCCGTCAGGTCCTGGAGGCCGGTGCGGCGGATGACGGCGACGGTGCGGGCGTAGTTGTCGGCGGCGTAGGCCTCGGCGTCGAAGGCGAGCAGCCAGGCCTCGCGGCGCAGGCGCAGGCTCTCGGGGTTGGCGCGGGCGGCGGCGAAGTCGGCCTTGTGCCAGATGTCGCGGGTCTGCTCGCCCGTCTTCTGGGCCGACAGTACGCGCGCGTAGCGCAGCGCCTCGAACGCGGCCACCGCCTCCGGCACGTTCCGCCGGCCGCCGCCGTTCGCGTCCCGCGCCGCCTCCCGCAGGCACACCGCGATCGTCGCCCCGTCCTCCATCGCCTGCGACGCCCCCTGGATCGACGTCGGCAGGAACGGGTGCGCCGAGTCCCCGATCAGCGCGATCCGCCGCCCCGCCGAGATCCACGTCGGCAGCGGGTCCCGGTACACCAGCTTCCAGTCGATCAGCGGCGACGGCGTCTTGTCCAGGATCTTCTGCACGATCGGGTCCCACCCCTCGAGCACCTTGCGCGCGTCTTCCAGAGGCGCCTCGAGCTGCCAGCTCTCCTCGATATCTTGGTCATCCTGTGACATTTAGGTCAGCGTCCTCCTAAAAATATTCATTCCCTTGTACTTGTTTTCTTTTTTTGGCGGGGGGGGTTGCTCTGTGCGTATTTTTTGTTGTATTTCATCGGTATAGGGATAACAGGGGCAAGGGCAGGGGATATAAACGAAAAACAGGGGAGGAGAGGGGCGTGGAGACGCGGACTCGTCATCACTTACCTTGTGCGTGCACACCCACGAGAAATCCTTTCCTCCCTTCATGCAAGCGGCGATGAAGTGCACGTCAGGGCCGAGCCAGGCGATGTGCTTGTCACCGCCCTCGGTGAGGAACTTGGTGTCAGGGTCCTTGGCGATCTCCTCGGCGCTGAACCAGCTGCGGTAGACGGCGTAGCCAGAGGCCTTGGGCTTGTCCTCGAACCCGAGCACGATCTTGCGGCCCGTGCTGCGCACACCCTCGGCCGCGATCACCACGTCGGCCGTGAGGCGCTCGCCGCCCTCGAGGATCACGCCGGCGTGGTCTGCCTCCTCAAAGTAGTCGTCGACACGCGCGCCCAGGCGGATGTCGACGCCGATCTCGCGCGCGTGGTTGTAGACGACCTCGTGGAACTCGCCGCGGTGCCCGTCGTAGCGGATGCCGAAATCCTTGGTCTCCTGCTCCCAGAACTGCTCGTAGACGGTCTCCCCCTGCCACGACTTGAGCACGATCGAGTCGGCTCGCATGCTGAGAGGCTCCAGCTTCTCGGCCACGCCGGGCCATCTCCGGAACAGCCGGGAGGAGTTGGGTCCGAAGGAGATAATGTCGCCCAGCAGCTTCAGCTCGGGGAACTTCTCCAGCAGCACGACGCTGTGCCCTTTCCTGTGGCACTCGATGGCTGCCGTCAGGCCTGCGAAGCCAGCGCCAACGATGATGACGCTGATGCCGGTCTGCGCGGGTTTTTGCTGTGATTCGGCCATGTCTGCTGAGGATTCTCTGGTGCTTGGTTTCCGGCTCTCGTTCTCATCTCCCTCATCATTTCGTTTGGACGTCCCCCCCGTTTTAGATCCCTCTCGTCTGCTGAGTAAGGGCTTATCACGCGTGCTGTGCCAAGTAGCCACCGAGGATGGTGAAGCTAGTGGCAGGCTACCCCAATGTTAGATGCTTACGGCCTCCACATGGCTGGCGTGGTTCAGACGGCAGATATATGCGTTTTTTCCCCTTCCCCTTACGCGTTCCCCGGTTCCCCAGTGTGGAGGCGTGAAGCCATCCCCAATTTCCCCATCAATCTAGCCGGGGTCGGATCGGATTCCCCGCATCTCGGATCCATAAAGGGATATCGGCAGTTGTCTTGCGAGACCTGCCCTTCGCGACTGGCCCGCGGTCCGTGATGATCACTAGAAGATCATCTAAGCGGCGCTACCATGCTGCATCAATTCATGCCCCAGCTGCCAGGGGTCGGTAAGTTGTGAACATCTGTCCTCGTGGCACTATCACTGGTGGCGAGGGCGGGGGGCCCTGATGCTGCGGCCTGAGGGAGGAGCACCTAGTCGCTCGAAACCCTGGCATAGATTCGATAACGCGTCGATGGTCGCGGGAGTCGCAGGAGAACGCTCGGATTGTCGGTATGCTTAGCAAGATATTATATACATATGTATATATTCGAGAGGAATCCTTCCCCTTAAACACGCGCATGAGGTCCTACCCCCAGTTCTGTTCTCAAGTGACTCGGAGCAGAGCTCTTTTCTCCTTCTCTCCACACCGCATTCCGAGACCTCGCCGGCACCATGCCTTGGGGACTCCTAGAGGATAAGCATCTGGACTTAGTTCCTGGCACGAGTATGGCACCACTCGACACCCACGGCTTCAAAGCCCGGAAAGCGCTGCTAACGGATGTATCCAGTTGTGCTTGCCGACCAGTCCGATATTCCCCCAGAGTATCAAACCATTCCCAGAGAGTTGCTGAAGCATGGCACTGGGAAGAACGCCCACGTCATCTTGTCTCCCCAGCCTTCCGACTCTCCCAACGACCCCCTCAACGTAAGCCTTCGATCGGGACCCGCTCCGTGGAGACTGACTGACTGACGGGATGTAGTGGCCGACATGGCGCAAGGACCTCATTTTGGTGATTGTGGGCCTGTCTGCCGGCGTGGTCGGCGCGTACGGGCCCATGCTTTCCCCCGGATTCGTCGAGATCGCGGCCGCCCTCGGCATAACGGTCAATACGCTCTCGCAAGCCACGGCCTGGGTCATCCTAATGATCGGTCTCTCGCTATTCGTCTTTAACCCGCTCGCTAAGAAGATCGGGCGGCGCCCCGTCTACGTGATTTCGAGCATCATCATGCTGAGCGGAAGCATATGGGGTGCCCTCGCCAAGGATTACAATAGCTTCTTGGGAAGTCGAATCTGGAGCGGCATAGGTATGGCGCCGTACGAGGTTCTCGTGCAGTGCACCATTGCGGATATATACTACGTTCACCAGCGCGCCACCAGAATCGCCATCTGGAACATGTTCTTGTTGTGCGGCATCAGCGGTGGCGCTCTGATCGCGGGTTATATCATCGAAGTTCGTTCTCCCCGGGAACCCTTTCGCCGGCGCAGCTCGCTGACAGAGAACGTAGGGCCAAGGCTGGCAATGGACCTTGATCTGGTGTGCCATTATTTTCGGTATCCTCCTGCCTCTGGTCCTTCTCTTCGTCCCCGAAACAGCATACCGGCGGCCGTTGTCCGTGGAGGTCCTCGCGCAAGCAGGCCGCGATGTCAAGGCGGATCCTTCGGAGAAGAAGGATACGGCATCTGAGCGCGAAGAGTCCTCACACGTGGAAACTGGGGCCGCGACCGAAGCTAAAGAGACCTTCTGGCAGAGTATGAGGCTATGGGGCGGCATTTACACCGACACCCCTCTCTGGAAGATCTTCCTCCGTCCCATGGTCATCTTTTTCTACCCGGCCGTTCTCTGGGCATTCCTATTGTACGGAATCACGCTTACCTGGATCGTCGTCTTCAGCGTGGTGAATGCGGTCATCTTCACGGCGCCTCCGTACAACTTCTCGGTGTCCGAGACGGGCCTGATCTCACTATCCCCGTTCATCCTCACCTTCGTCGGCGAGGTTATTTCTGGTCCGTTGAACGACTGGGTCTGTATATACCTGGCCAAGAAGAACCGCGGCATTTACGAGCCCGAGTTCCGACTGCCGCCTATAATCATCTCTTTCCTCGTCGGCGTCGTGGGCTTCTTCGGATTCGGTGCCACCATCCATTACCAGACGCACTGGACCGGACCGGTCTTGTGCTTCGGCTTGGCGAATATGAGCCTGGCGTTGTCCAACGCGAGCGTGTTCGGTTATGTCATTGACTCGCACAAGGAGCTCAGCGAAGAAGGTATGCTTACCCACGCCCCCCCCTTGACGAACGTTGAATATGACGGAGCATTTGCTTACCTTGCCGTCTTCCCCTTCTAGCTTTCGTGGCTATCAACGCCCGTAACCTGGTCACGTTTGGCTTGACCTACTTCGTCAACGACTGGCTAGCCAAGGATGGCGTCCTCGCCGTCTTCAACGTGCTCGGAATCACCTTCATCATCGTCAACTTGCTGACGATCCCGCTGTGGGTGTACGGCAAGCGGATCCGGAGCTACATCTCCAGGAATAAGACGCTGGACAAATTCATGCACGAGGATTAGAAGATGGGATCAGGACATAGAACATAGGTCTCGAATCGGACTTTGGTTAGAATACGGACGGTTATGGTGGCAAGGTCCATTTTGGGGCCCCCGAGTTCAATAGGAATTGCTCATTCTCCCATGCTTCAGGTCACGATCGGGTTCGTCTTTTTTTGAGTCGATCTTTGGTGATGGGCAGACGCCGGCTTCGCATGTGTACTTCGCGGATTCGGCATGGAAAGAAGAAAAACGGTACACGAAGCAGCGCATCCTCTTTAGCGGCACAGAAGTGGATTTTAAGAATACATACGCATTGCCTGCCTGCCTATAACCAACCCTCTTGTGTAATCGTCTTGTGTAATCGTCTTGTCTAAGCTGCGTCTTACCTAACACTGTCGGAAATGCACTGTCCTCGTACAATTATATATGCCTCTCCTCGGCAACACGCTGAGCGGAGCGGTTGATAGTAGGTACTGCTAGTATGGCGACGAGCTAACACCATCTCTGCTGCGTACCTAGAGGCACCTGTAGATATCGATATTGTAGCGAGGACGAGAGGGATTGAGGTTCTTCGCTGGAGCAGGTACCTTAGGTACCTAATACTGTTGCTGGCAACTCGAAAGACTAGTGGCTCGTGCACGAAACATTTTGACGCTCGGACCACCTCGGTGCCCTTGGCCTTAGCCCCTGCAGCTGCTCGTGACAATCAGTGACCATCACAGGAACGACAAGGCGCGTCGTGGGTTCTGGTTCTGGTTCTGCTTGTGGCTTCGAAAATCTGATCGCTGCCGGTTTCCTGTCCTTCCGTCCCTCTCGTCAGCCGCATCGTCGACCTCTCCAGCTGCATCGTCGACCGCGATGCGTCTTGCATTCGCTAGCTGACAACCGCATGTTTTCTTAGCCCATTTTATCTACCTACCGCCCCAGCTCCGTAATACCCTGGAAGCCAGCCGACGATTCACCGGGAAACCCACCCAACTAGAGCCGTACCGAGAGTTGGCTGGGAGCAACATTGCGCAGTGCCCGACATCACGCTGGCTCTGAAGAGACGAACCAGTACCAAATAATACAAAGAAAGAAAGCACGTGTAGCAGCCCGCGGGTCGAGCGTGACGGCTACGGATTCGGTTAGCGGGCATAGGGGAGACCGGGAGTGGACGAGGCAGCACAGAGAGCGAGAGAAAGCCCTACGCCGCCCGAGCCCACCGCCATGGCAGACTCCCTCCACAATGCGCCTATTGTACTGGACAATGGCTCTGGCACCATCCGGGCGGGCTTCGCCGGAGACGATCTGCCCAAGTGCTACTTCCCCTCCTTCGTCGGCCGGCCCAAGCATCTGCGCGTCCTCGCCGGCGCGTTAGAAGGCGAGGTCTTCATCGGCCAGAAGGCCGCCACCGAGCTCAGGGGACTGCTCAAGATCCGGTATCCCTTAGAACACGGCATAGTCACCGACTGGGACGACATGGAGAAGATATGGGAATACGTCTACAGCGAGGGGTTGAAGACGATGAGCGAAGAGGTAGGCGGTTCCGCTGCTGTCCTTCATGTTATATATTAATGAGCAAATACGGGGTGCTATATGCGTGAATGCGATGCACTCCCATATTCTGTCTGCTTCGACATCGTGGTGTCGTCGTGCTGTCCGTCTTCCCGACCCTTTTGGCTAACATTATTCCCCCCTCGGCAGCACCCCGTCCTCTTAACCGAACCCCCGCTAAACCCCCGAGCGAACCGTGACACCGCCGCGCAGATCCTCTTCGAGACCTTCAACGTCCCCGCGCTTTATACCTCCATCCAGGCCGTACTCTCCCTCTACGCCAGCGGCCGCACGACGGGGTGCGTGCTGGATTCGGGGGATGGCGTCTCCCACGCCGTGCCCGTGTACGAGGGGTTTGCCATCCCGAGCTCGATGCGCCGCATCGACGTGGCCGGCCGCGACGTCACCGAGTACATGCAGACGCTGCTGCGCAAGAGCGGTTACGTATTCCACACGAGCGCCGAGAAGGAGGTTGTGCGCCTCATCAAGGAGGCCGTCTCGTACGTCGCGTTCAACCCCAAGGCCGAGGAGAAGGACTGGGCCGGCGCCAAGCTCGAGCAGGGCAAGACGGCCGAGTACGTGCTACCCGACGGCAACCGCCTCCGCGTGGGCCAGGAGCGCTTCCGCGCGCCCGAGATCCTCTTCGACCCCGAGATCATCGGGCTCGAGTATCCGGGCATCCAGCAGATCGTCACCGACGCCATCAACCGCACCGACCTGGATCTGCGCAAGGCGCTCTACGCCAACATCGTGCTCTCGGGCGGCAGCACCCTGACGAAAGGGTTCGGCGACCGCTTGCTGAGCGAGGTCAAGAAGCTTGCTGTTAAGGACATGCGCATCAAGATTTTTGCTCCGCCCGAGCGCAAGTACTCGACCTGGATCGGAGGGAGCATCTTGGCGGGGCTGAGCACGTTTAGAAAGGTATGCCTTGCCATCCCCATCCGCTTGCCGCCGAGAACGGTACTGATTCGGAGTAACAGATGTGGGTTAGCATCGACGACTGGCACGAGGACCCGGACATCATCCACAAGAAATTGACGTAAGCCATCCACCGGGGGTGGGCGGGATGTAGAAGAGCATATACACTTTATAAGGTGTCGGTCTACAACAGCAAGAAGGGAAGAAGGAGGACGCCGGGGATGCAACGAGAAAAACGCCCCACGCCTCTAGACCCGAATGTAATATCATGGATCATGCGCAGACGAGGGAAACGCGAGGAAGCAGTACGAGGGGGCCGCCACCCGAATCGCGGTCGCGACGACGTTTGGCGCACGATAAACACACGGTATCTTGGGGTGATTCGCCGGCCCCTTGGAAAACAGGGGGTGGTGCCTCGACAGGGGGGGGGATCTTATTCACGATGCTAGGCAGGAGGGTCAAGGTCGGGAAGCCGGACGACGAGAAGGGGACGCAGAGAAAAAAAACACGCGGCAGCTTGTGTGTCAGATTACCGGCGGAAGTTTAAGCCTACAGTCCTCCTCTACGTAGATGGAAAAATTTGATACCCAGGCGTTGAAGATGGATGCATCACGCCGGCGCGTGCCGTGGTGCGCTACTGCTACTCTTACTGCCCCGAGTCGACTCGCGCGACGGGTGCATATATACGATGCGTAGGTGGGCAATGAATTGCGGGGGTGGGGGAGGGCGGGCGTCGTACACGACTTGCCGCTAAACCAGGTCCTATTTTCTACGCGACCGTACCCGCGATGGCTTCTTCGTAGGCTAGCACCAGTCCTGTCCTGGGGGGGTGCAGCTGTACGTATGCTACGGAGAAGGGCGCCGGTATACTATCGAATGTCTCGAGATCTCGCAGGGAACCCGTCTGGCCCCAGATTGAGCACTCGTCGGCTCCGGCCAAGCATCAAGCAAGATAGATCGACAGTGCCCGACAGATATCGGCACGTCGTCCGTCCTCCTCTGAAAAACAGGGGAGGGGGTGGTCGCACGGGAGGCACGGGCGGACTGGCTACGTGAGCAGCGCGAAGCATTCATTCATTTATTCATTCGTTCGTTCGTTCGTGCGTTCGTTCACTGATTCCTCGCTCCTCGCTCCTCGCTCCTCTCCATCCTATCTATTTTCTCCCCAAACCCCCCTTCCTGTCCTCTGTTTTCTGTCTCGCTACCGCTTATGGGAAAATCAAAATCTGTCCTGTGTTTCTGTCGACCAGGGCAATGACGTCGCCGTCGAGGTGCGTGCCCGCCCCCCAACGAGACGGCAATGGCTCGATCTGACCCGGAACTCCGTTACGCCGCGCTTGCTAGGGTGTGTGTGTGTTTGTGTGTGTATGAGAATGTGTGTGTGTGTGTGTGTGCTTGCTCAAAGCAGCAGCAGCAGCACAAGCTCAGCGCCGTCGCGCAAACCGATCGCCCCCCCCCCCCCCCGCCGCCGCGTGGTCGGCGTCGCTCACGCGGGTATCCCGTCCGCCCGTCTGCCTCAGTGGCGGCCGCTCAGGTGGCTCCATATCTTGGTGAGGCTGGCGCCGCTGCTGGCGCTGGCCAGGCTGGAGGCGTCGGTGTCCTTGTCCTTGGCGGCGCTGTAGATGTTGCCGGCGCCGCCGCGCCCGACGTGCGCGACCGGCTTCTGCTCGATGTGCCGCTGGTGCGCGAACTCCTCGTCGAACGACAGCACCGGCCGCTCCGCCGCCGCGTGCACGTTGCCCGCCCCGCCGCGCCCCGAGTAGAACCGCGGCGCGCTGCTGCTGCTGCTGCTGCTGCTCGTGTTGCTCGTCACCGCCGCCGTCGTCACCCCCGACGCCGGCGTCGTCGCCGGCGCCCGGATAAAGTTGCCCGCGCCGCCCCGCCCCGACAGCACGTACGTGTCCTGCGACACCGTCGGGTGAGGCTCGTTGATCAGGTATCCGGACATGGTGCCGTGTGTGGGTATTCCGCGAGGGTCGTGGCGATGTAGGTAGGTACGATATGGTTTATTAGGGTAAGTAAAGCCCCGCCGACGTTGCTATACGGGCTCACAGGAGGAGGAGGATCTCGCGATGGATAATTGGTACGTAATGATGAGAGCTAGCTCGGAGTGCAGGAGAGGCTTCTAGAAGTGGCCCGGGGAGCAGGACCTAATATACCCACGTATCGCCCCATTGTTCACGCTGAGAGAGAGAGAGAGAGAGAGAGAGAGAGAGAGAGGTAGGGACAAGGGAGCAGGAGTGCATAACCCCTTTGTCATAGTTACACCGTGGCCTCGAGGACGTTCTAAGTTTTCCAGCACGTGGCATCGGGAGATGGATGACAAGGGAAGACAAAGAAGCTGGTCGTGATCGGGTAGGGTAGCTGGCTAGGTTTGCGCACCGCCTGCTCCATACGCGGATAGCACCTAGGTAAATCCCCAGACGCCGGCCGAAGTGCCCCGTCTCGAGGAAAAATTTTCACGGCCACGCGAGGAAATCCAGCTCGCTCGGCGAAGTCGACGGATAGCTACGAAAAGGGACGCTACGCACAAACTCAGGAAATGGAGGAAGTTTCCAGCGGTCTTGGGCTGGAGAATTTTGGTGGCCTCGTCAGTCTTGGCGACGATGTGGTAAGGTGGGCGCCCCTAGCAGGCAAGGGATGTCGTAGCGGAATCCGGGGTAACCGCGTGATGGGACGCGATGAGCATGGCATTAGCTAACAGAAGCTCCGGGACTGGCAGAATCGGTCGGGTCTACGACATTTGGGGGCATCATGAGACCTGCAGGCTCAATTTCTCGTACCTAACCATTACCCCATAGTTATTCTCCTCCCTCGCCCGCTAGACCAGGGGGGGGGTTGGGCAAAGCTGGCCCGGCGGTGGTGCCATCCCGTTCCTCGTCCAGCCGTCGTCCTTCTGACGCAGTCCTGCGTTCGGCTACGAGGTAGTCTGACAGTCGTGCTCTGGTAAGTAGCGGCAGTAGTAGTAGTAGTGGTGGTGGTGGTGACGGTAGTAGTGGTGACGATAGTGACAGCGGCAGTGCGTCGTAAAGAGGAGGTAGGAAGTAGGACGAGATAGTAGGTAGGTAAACAAGGCAGGCTGGATGGACAGGTAGCCAGCCAACCCGGAAGAAGACGGCAAGTAGGTAGGTGAGGACCTTTCACTTACACAGAAGCACAGCGTCCGACAACGCCATCGTGTCGATGTCGTTCGTGATGGTTCAGGACAACCCAGCCTGGCCTCTCTCCCCCCCCGGCCAAGCCAAGCCCAGTTCTACCAACCTCGACAGCCAGTGACAGTCGGTCCAAACATTGCCTCACTGCAGGTACCAGTTGCTGATCACAGAGCCGCTGCAATGCGCAGCGGCCAATGTCGACTCGCTCGTGACGGGGCTGGCATCAGCGGAGGGCCAAATCTCGCCATCTGGTCGTGATCATAGCCTCAGCGTTCTCTCGTCAGTTATAGCCCGTGGTGCGTCAGATTCTTACTACGACCCAAGGCGAATCATGTTGTGCATCCGTCGTCTCTTGTTGCCATGATGAGCGTTTAGGTACCTCCGGTTATCCGCGCCGCCTTCCAGGAGGAATCGTGCTGGCTGTCACGACGCCACCCGTGAAGCCAAGGCACGTCAACTGCGCCAGAAGAAAAAAAGAAGAAAAGGGAATTCCGCGCTGCTTACCAGCAAGTATTTCGCATCCCGCTATTCGCGCATCACCACCTATAGCTATTCTCATTCTCCTCGCGCACTTCGCACGCGGACATTTTAGCAGTCGGCACTTGGAGAACGATTTTCTTTTATTTCCCCCTTTTTCTTTCTTTTTCTGTCGGCAATCTGCGTTGATGGTTGCCATGCCGATCATCCTTGAATCTTCAGATCTCCGTAGGGATTCTTACTTCTTATATTAGCTCGGCCTTCCCCGTCGACACCCTCATCCCCATTACCGATGCTATTGTGCCGTGATGGTCCTAGAGTCGGGGGGGACTGGCAAGGCGGATTGCATCGCCAACGGTGCTTTCGGTTTATTATTGGTTGGTGATAATAATGTCACATCCCAATCCTATTATCGTAGGTAGGTATACGTCGCTCAATTTACCACACACCACAATCTCGGTGTAGATGACCGAATGAATAAATAACCACATACTTGTGACATTTTAACTATTCGGGTAATTTTTCAGTTGAGAAATCCCTCCCCTATGTGACAATTTGAAAAAAAAAAGACCACGGCGCCGTCATTTTCCCTCAGTGCATTAATATCTCAGTAACCTTCCCTTACCTACATCGCACGTTTTTTACGAGCAGACAAGCACCCTTTAGTGTGCCTCCGCTAGATTATATCCTAGGCAACATATTAATTAATATACTTACAATTCAGCGCGCTTTTCTACCCCTATACCTCCCACCCGGCGTTGAATTACCGAACCAGCCTCACGCGTTGAACCCACACTAGGTATATTAAATGTGCAAGGAAAACGCAGAAGCCCGTATCCGTATGTAGTGGTGTAAGGCTTACATGTATGTATAGCTACCTCCGCGACAGTAAAGCGAGCCAGAAAAAAAAAGGAGAGAATAAAAGACGGACACGGCGTGCTCGAGTGCACACACATACACACCTCTACGCGCAGACGGGATTCAGACTAACAGTCCAGGGTCCCGGATCGCCGTCCCCGTTCACGATGTAGCGATCCTGGCCCGGCTCGTTGCCGCGGCGGAGCCTCCCAGGGGCCTCCCCCTCCCCCTTAGCACCCAAGTGACCGCGGTAAGCAAACACTTTGCGGCCGAACAAGTTCCGAGCACGCGGGTCGCGTACGCACATAGTAGGACTTCAGATTACGTCGGTTCGAGACGGGCGCGGTGGAGTTGGAGGCGGGGGGACTGAGGGGCCGGGGGCAGCCATGAAGAGAGTGCCCGGTCGGAATAGGGTCGGTATCGGAACTGGACAAGGGTGTGTACATATCACGCAGGCTCGCCGAGCACGTAGGTTCTAATACTTGCTAGCTCATGAGTTCCTACCTACCTAGGGTTTCCTTATAGGTATTACCTAGGCATGTTTTTAGGCAACCGGTGTCAATGTTGCCCCTGGTCTGCTTAGCAATGTGATGTTGGAGCGATACGATGTTGTGTTCGCCGTCACGTTTCGCGGCTCGTTGCCGCTTACGTCCGGACACAGGTTTGGTGGAGACTGCCCGGGTGTAATAATATCGAATATCTCGCAGAAAGACAGCGCGAGACTCGACCAAGAAGGCCGTCCCCCTAGTATTCGGCCGCATCTGCCTCTGTGATCCTCACCCACATGTTCTTGTGGAACAAGGTGAAGTGGATTTCTTCGTCCCACGCCTTGTTCGGATATACCAGTTGGAAGTCGAACAGACGCAAGAGCTAATACAATACGCGCGAGTGGACGCGTCCTGTTAGCGAGCGAGCAGCGACGGCGGGGGTCGGAACCTTGACCCGGGGTAATAGGTATCAACGCAGGCATTAATATTACGGACCTCGAAAAAGACCTTGTTGAGCTCCAAGAACGCGACTGTCTTTCCGGCGCACATCCATCGGCCGCCGCCGAAGACGATGTCGACGGCACGTTCCATCTCGACCCTCTTCTCGTCGCTACACTCGAGGAAGCGCTCTGGCCGGAAAACATCCACGTCTTCGCCAAAGACCTCGGCGTTGTACGTCAGGCCTACGCTATTATCCCCGATGACGGTGCCTCCGGGGATGAAGACGCCGTCGATTGTGTCCCCTTCCGGAGGGGCCCTTTTATCTAGCTCGTGTCAGTACTATTATTGTAACTCGTTCCGCGGCCTTAGTTTGTCTCTGTGTGTTATACAATGTGGTGACGTGACCGGCAAACGTTGGAGGCACATCGCTGTAAAGGCAGTGCTTGTCACTCACAATGTCCGTAAGTTATCGGGTTCTTAATGCGAAGGCCCTCGTAAATAACAGCCTGCCAAGAATCACAAGGTTAGCCCAGACTCCTTCAAGATCTCTGAAACTGGTATATGGGAGCATAATACCTGCAAGTAGGGCAATTTCTGGGCTTGCTCGAACGTGATGGGCGTCGAAGCCTCGTTCCGCTTCACGCAGTCCTTCACTAAAGCCTTCAGCCGTGTGTATACCCGAGGGGTAGCCATTATGTATAGCATAGTGCAACGGATCACGGTAGCCGTCGTGTCGGACCCGGCAATGATTTGCAGCATAGCTTCGTCCGCACACTCTTTTCGTGTCATCCCCCGGCGGATGAAGGATCCCTTCCATCAATCAACGACAGATCGCGGCGAACGGGATAAGAGGGACCAGAAGCCGAGTCCACGACTCACCATCATATCATCCCTGGGCGTCTTGTCTATGAACTTCTCGTCGATAATGTCTCGCGTGATCCTGTCAGGCAATGTAAGTAGACCTTGGCCAAGATGTGACGATAATAATAGCAGGGACGCACGCCATCATCTTCCCAACGCCCCCTTTATCCGTCGCCTTAGGCCCAATCAGGCCGAATACGAAAGGAGAGAACACGATGCGTCTGAAAAAGGGGATCTCCTGAGCCAGGACCATCGTCTTCATCGACCCGTCCATCTGCCTCATGTATCCGTACAAGTCCCCGTCCGCATCTAGGAACCCAAACGGCCGGCCGTACGAGAGCCGAGTAATGACGTCCAAGGTGAATTTGCGCGACAACGAGGCGAAATCGACGCTGCGCAACTTGGCCCTCGTAGTCAGGTGTTTCTGGCGGATCACATCCACCCAGTGCGCGATCTGGCTGTCGATGGCGACCTCCATGTCGGGGTTGTCGCGGCCGCTATACCCAGCCGCGGTCTTCGCCTTCAGCGCGTCGTGGGTCTCGTTGTCCAGCGAAACCGCCATGGTCTGGTGGTCAGGCGCGACCTTGATGGCGCTATACCACTGGCGCAGGTCGTTAGCGATACACCACGCGAAGAGCACAGCTTCAGTCGTGCTAACCTCATCCTTGACGTACTTGGTCCGAGCCGCGGAGATGCGCCGGAGAATCTTGGGATCGTTCGTCACGATGGAATTGGGCCCGACGCGCGCGAATTTCCCATAGCTATTAAGCCTGCGGAAGTCTGACCCGACGCTGCCAGTGAGTATGCTCCTTACCATCCATACGTAGGAAAACGAGGCCCAGAACGGGCCCGGGATATGGCGAAGACGATACCAGGCTGCCGTGGCTGAGACGATGTACCACAGGACGAGCACGGCCGAGGAAGCCACGCAGACATTTACCAGGCCCAAAGAGGCGATAGTCGATGACATTTTAACAGGTTTCCCCTTGGGTGACAGCAATAGCTTAGGTTAGAAGAAGACGAATACGACCAGCGGAGCCGTTCAGCGGAGGCCTTACCGATATGAGGCCATATGTAAAGGTGTCGTCTATGCTGATGTGAAGTGTCGATATCTGCATTCTCCCGTGACGAAAGGAATAGAGGAGCACACCAATAGTACTCCTTTTCCTCTGTAGTCATGAGACAGAAAAAAATGAAGATCATTGGGTGTCATACGCTAGGTACGTCAGCATCGATCGAGGGACTTCGCCGTGAGGGGAGAGAATGCCCTTAGAAGCACCCGACGACGGTCTGCTTACCATCCTGGCGACAGCTTTCTCTCTTGGTAGCTTCTGCTTATCGGATCGGCCACGACGAACCCATTCGTAATTAGCCCATTTATGATCTGCCTCGCCTTCCGCGGGGACCGTGAGCGCTTTCGGCGTACCTAAAACGCACGTAAGTGATAGAAGTAATACGGCGTATTATTGAACACGTATCCGTAGGACACCGCACCCGCGGGAGCAAATCCCTACTATTTCAGCTGCATGACCTTAGAAATGGATGTGTAGGCCTTTTCACTATCGCGTCCAACGGCCACTCAACCATATATACGAATAAGAAGAAAGACGGTTCAGTATCAATAACTTCCGAATGCCAACCCTCAATCTCCACGGTGAACGAACCTCGTCTGTACTCAACAATCCAGATAGATTATTGACCAGATCAGGCACAAGCGGAAACCCACGCAGAGCCCTACCAAGCACACTTGGAGTAGAGCACACACGCGAGATACACCCCTTACTAACGACCGGGCCGGCCCCTTCTTCGCCTTTGTGCCGACCCCTGGACCTCGGCCCGGTGGGACATACAAACCGAGACTGATGCCGATGTACTCCTGGAGCGCTCAGCAGAAGGCAGTCCAGTAAGCCGTACGGGGGTAAACGGCGGCTTACTGGGAGTAATGTAGGGTCAGCGCACATAGGCATCAGGTATTACACCCCTCCTTTTGCCCTCACGGCTCGGGGACGCGTATACACAGCACGTACCGCAGATCTCACAAGCGAAGCCGTCAGCCATATCGAGTCCATTACGTACGTATATTCGCCTGTTTCATCTATCCACCCGCTCAAAACGCGGCCCGTCAGGAAAGCCGAAAGGAAATAGAAGACTTCGTCATTGGTCATTGGTCATTATCCATATTCTTCCCCCCCCTTTTTTTCAGACATCTCAGTTCGTTCATCTATCAAGTTCAGCCAAGTAGTACCTATACCAGAGATCGTAATATATAGTTCGTACCGGCCGCCGTGAACCAGATTCCCAAAAGTCGTGATACGAACTCTAGACTGTAGACACAGATAAGACGGGGGAGAGACGCGTGGGTCAGGGAAACCGTCCTCGTCATCGTCATCATAGCGCGTCTATAGCCGACAGCGAGGCCGGGTTGTAGGAAATAGGAAAAAAAGTCATGCCGAGACTTGGAAGGAAATACACAAGGAAAACTTGGAAAAGAGAAGAAGGAAAGAGTCACGCGTCGTATCTCGTCATCGATGCGTTCGTTCCCAAAGCTGCGCTGCTTACGCCAACACCGTCACCGCTACCACCAAAAAACACAAGGAGAGGAGCCGAGAGATGCAACACCATTTCCTCCTCTACGCGGCCTGAAGCGCGCGTCCCAGAACCCCCGTCCAGCCCGTTCCACCTCCGCCTTGTAGCAGCAGGCCCCCTAGCGTCCGTGCGAGCTCCCCAACGTCCGCATCCCCTCCGTCTGCGCGTCCTTCTCCACCACCACCGATGGTCCTCCATGCGCCGCGCACGCGCCAGTTCCCGTCGCGGTTGTCGCGGGGCGTGAATTCGAACGTGCCATGTTTCGGGACCCTGGCGCCGCGACTGTTGCTGCTACTGTTGTAGGCGGCGACAGCGTCGAGCGGCCGCCCCGACGCGTCGAACCGGTCGGGGAGAACCTCTACGTCGTCTTCACTGCTATTGTCGCGATAAGTCCCCGCATATTCGCGCCTCCGCTGCCGCCGGTGGTGCGCGTGCGAGTGGCGGTCGGAGGCCTCGGTGTCAGATGCGGAGTGATGGTGATGTCGGCGCGAAGGGGAGCCATCGTCAGCGTCGCGCTCATGGTTGTGGTGGCGATGGTAGTAGACCCCCTCGTCGAGGGAACGCTTACGCCGGAGGCGACGTAGAGTCTGCGAAGACTTGGGTGAGAGCGGGACGAACTTTACTCTCGATGCGGTGGCTGAGGGCGCCGAGGCAACGCTGGCGGCGGGAGAGGGAGGCGGTAGGTTTAGACCATCTAGGGGAAGGGGGAAGAGGGAGAGGTGGTTAGTGAGGAGTCACCGGGTGTTAGAATAGGCAAAAGGGGCAGATATCGAGGGGGACAGGAAAAGATCTCACGTGTCGCGTCGGACACGGTGGGACGGAAAACTCAAGGAGACGCACCCTTCTCGGTGGCCGTGCTCCGGGAGGCATCAGGGTGGGACTGGGTGTCACCGGAGGGCGGATCATTGTCATGATGGTGAGGACTCACGTTTTCTGGGCCTGGCCGCGCGCCCGGCGCGGCGCGGGACGCTGGCGGCGGTGGACCCGGCGGCGGCGGTGGCAGGTTGATGTAGTCTTGCGGGTTGTAGGGAGGGTACGGTGCGTAGGTATCGATGTTGGTCGTCGATAGATTGGAGTGCTGTGTGAACCCAGTCGGTCCCGTCGTCGCCATCGGCGGCGGCGGTGGCGTGTAGGTATTAGGTGGTGGCGGCGGGAAGCCGCCTGACTGGTGAGGAGGGGAGGGGGGTGGCGCCTCGACATCGTACCCGTTGTACGGATCTGCCGCCGCTGCTGTTGCTTCTTCGTAAACTATATCGCAGGTTAGTTAACGGCTCGGGACGTGGGGTGTTACTCGTTGTCCCGTACGCCTCCGTTCACGGTCGCGAGACCGCCTAGCTCTTGGTCTTTCTCGCTCTCCTCCTCCTCTCTCTGGATCCCCTGATCCCTTTTCCAGATCTTTCCCCCCTCTGTCCCGAGACCTACTCCGACTGCTCTCTCTCGACTTCTCTTCTCGCTCTTTGCTCTTCTGCCGATCATGATACTTCTTGATACCGATAGCCGCTGCGGTGCCGAGCCCCGCGGCTGCGACATTACGAAGCGCACTGTGACTCTTCTTCTTCGCCTCCTTTTCGGATGCGGAGGACGGCCGATGATGGTTGCCGCGACGCCGGCGTCCTGGTTCCTCGGTCGCGGAGTCGTAACTGTCAATTGGTTCACTGCCGTATTCCACGCCGGGAATGGGAACCAGTCCTAATTCTCTATCAGCCGTAGAGTCTCGCGAGTGCAGATTGCGGCTGTGAGACCTCGAACTGGACCTGGAGAGGCTCTTTGAATAGCTCCGGCCCCTACTGCGATGCTCGTGCTCGTCATCTGAGTCCCTATGACGCTCGCGCTCGCGCTCGCGCTCCTTCTTGTCCTTGTGATGCTCCCACAGCTTCTCTGCCGCCGCGCCGGTCAGCCCGGCTGCGGCGATCTCGGCACCTGAACGAGAGTCAGCAGTCGCAAATATTTGAGGAAGCGAGGGGGATTGTCGCTTACCAGTTCTCAGACGAGACTTCGACCGGGACTTCGACCCGGACTTCCCTCGAGACTTGGATCTATAATGTTTCACCAGGCCAGCGAGGGCACTGAAACATTCAGCAGTTAGTAACATGAATGTTGTTGTAGGAAAGGATCCACGTGGTCGATAGCGATCGCGTCCGGCGGGGACTCTGAAACGAAAAATGTGATACTTACCTAGTCGCCAGAGCTGCCTTGGCCATGTTCGACTTGCTATGGCTACGACCGGACCGGCTTCGTGATTGCGAATATTCGCCCTCGGAATGCCGACGTCGCGCACGTCCACGGGTAGCTTCTTCCTTCTCGACCTTGTTGTTCTGCATGTATTTGAGTCCACCAGCGACAGCGAGTGCAGCGGCGCCCTTCGGCCAAATTAGTACGGATTTGTCTTGACAGTTAGGGGTAAAACTTACGATAGCCAAGCCGGTAGTAAGCCTGCTACGTGACTTACTCCGGTGCTGGTGTCGGCGATGATCGTCTTCGTAGTCTTCGTGTCTATCCTCGTACGCGCTCTTCGCTCGTCGCACGGCCTCGGTACCGAGAGCTCCCAGGGCGGCGCCGGCAATAACCTTGCGGCCTCTATGGTCGCGGTGCTCGCCATCCTTGCCGCCACGACCCGCCAGCAAGGCCGTAAGGCCGGCGCCGGCGAGAGCGCCTTCGGCAAGGTGTCGTTTTCTGTGATGGTCTGAGCTCGTGCTACGGTCCCGCGTTATTATCGTCCGCTTCACGTAGTAATCCTCCTCGTATCCGTCGCTCTCGTACGCGCGCTCGTCGCGGCGGCGCCGCTCATCTCGGTGGTAGGCATAATCCTCTTCTCGCGGCTCGGGACGACGCGCGACCTCACGACGCTCGTCCCTCAGGAAGATGACAGTTGGCTCTTGGCGCGGGAGGATGACGGGGGCCTGCGCAGGGGCCTCGTTGATTATTACCTTCTGCTCGGGAGCCTTTTGGCGAACGATGACGGGCGAAGCCGCGGGCGGCGGGGAGGGGGCTGTGTAGTACTCAACCTCCCTTCTGTATCGCTCGACCTCAAAATCGCGGGGGTCCCTTTCCTCGTAGACGCGGCGCTCAATCCTAACGTCTCGTTCCTTGTAGTCGCGGGGATCTTCTTTGCGTTCCTCAATAGCCTTCTCCTTGATCTCCACGTCGCCGTCGGGCTCTCGACGTACAACACGTTTCTCGAGGCGAACATCTACCTCCCGGGACTCGTCCCACGGCTGTCTCGATTGGCGCTCCCAGTAGTAGTCGCGAGGCGACGACGAGGTCTCTCTCGTCTCCTCGACGACCTTGGTCCGAGAATGCCGCTCGGGGTAATGGTCTCGGTCGGCCTCTCTCTCTCTCTCAAATTCAACTCGCCATCTGTCGTGCGAATCGAGGGCCGACCGCGGACGCTCGGGGTAGGAAGTTCTCTCGACGCGACGCTCGACTTCCAACATGTCGCCGGACGAACGGCCGGCGTGAGAATGAGAGTGCGATTGTCTCGATCGGCGGTCGTCATCGTCTTCGAAGCGGTCTACGCGATCGTGTTCCACGACCCTGCCTCCGCCACTAACTTTATACCGTCTCACGGTGGTGGATTTGTATTTGTCGTCGTCGGACGAGGAAGGACTGTGCTCCCTCGTGTAGCGCACATCGCGCTCGCGATAGACCTGCGTCATATTGTCGCAGAGTGTTCCGGTGTTCGACAGCAAGGCGACAGTGATGTCACGAAGCGCAGAAGATTGATGGTCCCAAGTGTAATAATAGGTTTGAGTGTAGGTAGTAGATGTATGAGTGCAAGGGAGGAAACAAACCAGGGAGGGGGGTTTTGGTGGGATGAGGTTTGTATGCAGATATGACTTCTGTGCGTGGGGAGTTGACAGAAAGGCGAGTATGTAAGTAGGGCAGGTTTATGGTGAGGAGGGCTTATAAGCAGGGAGTATTAATATGTCGCATCCGCCGGGAGAGAAGAAGGCCGGTGACAGTGCGAGACGATGGGACGGTGTCACGCAGCATTCATGGCGTTCAGAAGGGCAGGGGAGGGCCGGGGCAGAGCGAGAAGACCAGGAGGGGCAAAAGGAAGGGCACTGATGGGCGACGGCGGGATGACGCAGGGTGGGCTGAGTGGGCAGATGGACACGCTGGGCACGATCGTCTCCCAAGAGGCCACCCCGGTTCTGGCTCCGCCGACCTGGCGATGGCCCAACGGATGTGTGGCCGATTGTTTCTTCCCACCCTCCCGCAGTCTGCCGGCCAGTCTGCCCGATCCAGTCTGCCCGATCGAGTCTGCGGCATGGGACTGGGATTAGCAGATTAGCAGATGAGCCAGTTAGCACCTCATCCGGGCTGCTCGTACGTGCTGCTGCTGCTGAACGAGGTATGATGATGGACTTGGTGCCCGGCGCCTGGGAAGGGCGGGTGAGACTCGAGTGACAGCGCTATTCCCGACGGCTTATAAGTGGTGGCGCGAAGAAGCGTCACTTGCCAACCCTGCCCTGCCGCGTGGATATATTGCTATCTATTAGCCCGCCGACGGCCCAGTCAGTTCTAGTTGTCAGAGACAGGGCAGTCTGACAGATCTATCTCTCGATATCTCCGATGCCTGGCAGCGACCGAGAGCCGAACAGCAGGACGTTGTAATTCCTGAGGAATCCCAAAATGTCTTGCGCAAGCGCACGCCCTACTTATTATCGTCTGCATCACCTACCTATTTGCCGCACCACGGAAAGAAAAAAAAACGGCTTATTCTTCTCACTCTTTCTCACTCCTCTCCTCTCGTGCACAAGCGGACAAAAATGCAAGAAAATAGTTCGACCAGCCTCTACTCTGCCCCCTCCCCTCCCTTCCCCGTCTGTGTGTGCGGTGCGGGGTCTCCGATGTAGCCGCGCAAAACGACAACGGCAAAACAAGACAACAGCAGCGGAACACATTCATTCGGCGTCCTCGCCCACAAACTCGACTAGCTGCCGCATTTCTTCTCGCTCCCGTCTCGCTAATTCGCCGTCGCACGAGCCGAAGACGGGGGCGGTAAGGACCAGGTGCATGAAGACCCGAAGAGGCTATGCCTCAGCGACATGTCGCCGTCTCGACCACCCGGAACAGGTAGGCTATCTGGAAGTGCCCTATGCATAACATCGATGTCGCCGCAGTAGGACTTGGCTAGCCCGCATCGTGGCTAACGAACGGGGCCAGGCAGGTGATGCGGATTGCTGACAGAAATGACGATGGCAAGAAGTGAGACTTTTTTTCACCACCTTGTGATCATAGGCTAGGTCGGCGGGAGGAGGGGCTGTGATCTAGGCCTCCTGGGTCGGTTGCCGCGGTCTCATTGGTGATGGCGGATTTCCGTGCGCCTGCACGGAGGTCCCGTGGCTTGCATGGATGGTTCTCGTATCGTCTCGTAGTTCATCTACGCCGTGGCAGACCAGGCCCGCTTCCCTGCTGCGTCTCTACCCAGAGCGGGCAAGGCGATGTTCTCTGCACCGGTTGGCAGGCAGGCAGAGGTTGGTTGCAGCGTGTCCGCAGGCGTACCGATAACGGATATCTGCGGAATAGCTGGCCTCGACCTACCTACCGATACTGAATCCGACGAACCCGCGGTTCTCCGTCCTTCTGCGTCTCGGGATCTCGGGCTCGAGAGACAGGGAATTGTCAATTGTCTCAATTTCGTCCGCGAGGAGAATTCTCGCGGGTTCTGTTGTCCTGCAGGGGTCCGTGTTGTGCAGACGAGACGGAGGCCGGGATTGGAGGGGATGGGCACCAACAACGGGCATTATGTGCTTCATCTTGAGGACCTATAGTACACTACGAGTCTCCTGGTGGAGGTGTGCGGATTAGAGATAGGTACCTAGGTACGCGTAGGTAGCTAAGGTACATGCATACGTCAGATTGTCGGGTAAGTAGGTACGTCGTCTGGTATGCTCTCCAAGGTACCGACGTGCCTCACCCCCACAGCCCGCAGGGCACTCCCAACATCGTCGCTACATGATGTCGTCATCAGCTGGCACGTACCGCATACCTGCCAACGTGCGTCCTCCGTGGTATACCAACAAGCACAATATGAATGCCTACATTGGGTGGTAGTAGCGTCTGCTAAGCCACATCCACCACAATTACCCCCCAGCCGCTACTGTCAAACTGGACCAAGACCAGGTTGCCCAAAACCTGTGCCTTGGCTTCGGTCGTCAGGAGTGGATCTCGTCGCCGCTGGCACGCCTTGTTTCCAACCCAGCAGGATTGGAAATCTCGGTTCGTCATCGAGAAAGCAAGGAAGAAGGTTCTACGACTTCTGTCGGTATTGCCACCACGTGCGCGTTCGTCTGGTCCACATCTAGTATGGAGTAGGTAGGTACCTAGGTTAATGGTGGCCGGGTCTCAAATGTGTCGCATGTACGCGGGCGTTGAACGCCACATGTGGCTAATTCACCTAACCCATCCAGCCACACATACGTATCCGCCCACCTACCTACCACCTACAACCAACCCAGCTGTGCGGAAACGCTCGCCTCACCAAACACCTAGCTTCATCTTCACCCACACACACACTAGCATACGTAATGTTGCTGACCTGTTTCGATGCGATCTGCAACCTTCCCCCCGAACAGCTCAACGCACGGCGAGCCGGAGAAGAACTGGTCCAGACTGGCTAGCGACGACGGCCGCTTTTCACACGCCCGTCTCCTCGCACTGGCCCCAAGTCTTGTTCCTATCGAGCCGCCATACCTACACCTAAGCGTGTTCCCGAGTTGACAGCTCGGCTGTTCAGTTATAGTAACGACGGATGCATTTCCGAAACCGAATATACTCCCTAGGAAAATCCAGCCCCGCGAACGACGATCTGCCTCCCGAAATACAATAATAGCCACCCGGCTCCATAACTACGTGCATCTGGCTAACCTAGACATGGCGTGGTTATTAGGCCGGCAGACCGTCGGGAGCTATGTTTGGATCGATGGTTATGGCCTCATGTCTGGAACTTGACAACTTGTCCCCGCACTCGCCAAATACGTCGCGGGCAGCCTTCCAGTTTCTGGGGTGAAGCTCATCCTAGATGGTCACACCTCAACAGGGTAAACGGCTAAATCGTCACCCCATCTTGCCCAAACCTTGCTGTCGACATCTGGGCACTATAGCGACGCTGTGGGCTAGGCTACAAGAGACTTAATTCGCATCGCCATCATCTCGAACGACACAGGGACAGATGGCGTCAGTCTCCCTAATAAGGCACGTCGTCGCTTCTGCACCATCTAGATGACGCGGCCAGCGTGGCACCAAATACGGGACAACCTACGGATAATTAGGACGGAAATTGCGGGCGCCAATCTAAGACCCTTTAAGCTACGGCGTAGGCTCTGTGTCTCCGGTAACAGGCCAAACCGAGGTCGACGCCCTTCCATCAATTGACCAACCGCGGGTCCGAAAATCCCAGCATGCTGCCTGGTTTGGGAATTCTCGAGACTTGGCAAAGCTTATTCGGATGTGCCTGAATCTCTTTACCAGTCTCGGCCATGTGTCACGACTGTTGTGGCTGGCATGTCGTCTTTGGATCTAGAACCGCCGCGGCGGTCGACGTCCGTCGAGGCGGATATCGTTTACGGGCACCAGCGCTTCTCCGGAGGGGCTCATTCATCCCCGAGCAGTCATGGATTCGCGTAGACATGGCGTGATCTTCGAGAGGGGGGCTCCTTGTCGACCGTCGAGAGCTCGGGATGTGTATATATATCTAGCTTGAGGGCCTTGTTCCTCCTACCCGAATTAGAGAGATCGTGGCAAGCAACACTGGATCCAGCAACGCAACGTCTACGAGTTCTTCTCGAATATCCTCATACATCTACATCATGAAGGGAATCGTCGCTCTGTTGCTCCTCGGCCTCGTTGCCGCAGCTCCGCTCGAACAGGATGACCGTCCCACCAAGTCTGTCTCCCGTCCGGCTCTGCCTAGCCTGACGGGGCGGCCCAGTGGACGTGAGAGATCCCTTCCCTTGCTTTATACGACGGGCACGGGCTAACGATTGCTAGCACCCGATCGCCCCACGGGCCGGCCTCAGCCTCCTGACCGGCCTCAACCCACCGGCCGTCCTGGTCGTCCCACCGACCGGCCCCAACCTACGGGCCGTCCCGGTCGCCCAACTGGCCGACCGCAGCCCACCAGTCGCCCGGGACGTCCTACCGGTCGACCCCAACCAACTAGTCGCCCAGGACGCCCCACCGACCGGCCGCAGCCCACTGGCCGCCCGGGTCGTCCTACTGATCGACCCCAGCCCACTGGCCGCCCAGGTCGTCCTACTGATCGACCCCAACCCACTGGCCGCCCACTGCCTACTGGTCGCCCGACTGGTCGGCCCTCCCCTACTAGCGGCGGTCCGTTCCCTTTACCATCTCCCGTTAAAGCAGCAGAGTTCGCGTCTAACTAATTCATCTTGCAGAGGCCGATTTCATCCTGCCGACGGAGCCGGCCAGCAACTAGCTCGGTATCGCGAACAAGCCGGGGCCTTAGGCGCCTTTTAGCAGGCGGAATAGTAGGAGAGTAGCTAACGACAGCAGGAGGAACACGTAGCTATTATTTTCTTCGCTGGAGACGGAATTATTTCTTGGCATCGAAATCGATGAGGGGTTGCTCGCCTTGCTCCGAAGTAGAAGGGGAGACGAACGGTCCTGAAGAAGCACCCGATTCCTCATACGATACGCCATATCTAGTTCTCACATAGTCCATAAACAACAGTGTGTTGTATTATTCGCAATCGTGCCATGCAGTGAAACGACAAGAGATATGATAGGAAGGTTTAGTATATCCTTGTAGGATTGGGAAGTGTCTCCTTAGGTGGCAGATATAAAATCAACTTTATCAAGGCGCCTCAGGATTACATACCTACTATGTGCCCTCCTATACATAGGTAGGTATTCCGCCCCTTAGTATAGGTTCTAATTCCGACCATCATTTACCACCGGTCCCAAGGCGAGAAGTACATAGGTGGCTCGGGGAACTCAAGAGAGGGAGAGAGAGGCTTTCCGACACCGAATACAAAGACCAATCGACATCATCGTCCACATCATTAGACTGACCATCATTTTTAAGGGCCTAGGGGCCCAAGGGTGTGATGTATAATAGTTGAACCAAATCAGTGGCTCTTGCTTCGCTTCCTCGTTCTAGGTAATCTGCTCCTAACCTCTTCTTTTCTTGCCTTCCACCTCCTCGCATTATATTCTCTCTTCTCCTACGAGCCCGTCCCTCCGTCTTGGTTCGCCCCGACTACTAGCTACTAGCTGCTACGCTCCCAGCCGGCGACGCCACCGAGTCTAAGTAGAGAGCGAGCCTGCTCCAGATCAGTTAGGTTATATAACGGAGGATAGGTTCGATTCCTAACAGCGCTACTTGGTAGTCTTCGTCATTTCGCTCATCTGCTCCCTCGCAACTCCAGCTCCCTAAGTTATAGCATAGCTCAACAAGTTCACACAGTGCGTGTGTGGTGCGGGTGTATACTGTGGGTATACAAATGTCTTTGTTTGTGTATTTGTTTTTACACCACCTGTTCTATTATCGAGGAGGCCCAGCTTTGCCTGTTTATCAACTAGGTATGCCATTGAATAAATACACGGGCATTGTTATGTACGCGGTAAGCGCCAGCCCGGCAACAGATGGGAGACGAAACAAAGTCCGGGTGTCAAAAGGCATATAATTGGCCCTTCGGACATCCAGAAATCCCACGGCTGGTTCCTTATTTACTGCCTGCATCTACACAGCGCGCGCCACCAGAGTGAGAGAATTAAAGTAAAATAATAACAATAACTTCCACCTTCCAACCCGACACGCCCCTGCATAGCTTCGCACGAGACTGAGCCTTCGGCCATCGACAACTGGAATATCACAGCCTGAAGCACAGCAGTGCCCAGGACAGCAGCCTCCTCGCCGTGAGCAGCGGTAGCAAGCGCTCTCCAGCCCCAGCTTTGTCAGCAAACAGCAGCGGCGGCAGCCGAATCGGCCTCGGCCTCGCTCCCCACCACGGCCCCTCGTTCCTGGCGCGCTGGCTAGCCGGCGCGCGGCGGCAGCAGCGGCCATGAAGCTGTACGCGATCGCGGACCTGCACCTGGGGCACGAGTTCAACCGGGCGGCGCTGGGGGAGCTGCGGCCGCACCCGGGGGACGGGCTGATCCTGTGCGGGGACGTGGGGGAGACGGACGAGCACCTGGAGCTGGCGTTCGGGGCGGCGACGCGGAACTTCGGCGCGGTGTGGTGGTGCCCGGGGAACCACGAGCTGTACACGACGGGCGGCGGCGCGCCGGGCGGGCCGCGCCAGCTGCGCGGCGAGGCGCGGTACGCGCACTGCGTGGCGGTGGCGCGGCGCTTCGGCGTGCGCACGCCCGAGGACCCGTACGCGGTGTGGGAGGGCGAGGGCGGGCCGGCGCTCGTCGCGCCGCTCTTCACCCTCTACGACTACAGCTTCCGCCCCGCCCACGTCGCCCGCGCCGACGCCCTGCGCTGGGCCGAGGACGCCGACACCGTCGCCTCCGACGAGTTCCTCCTCCACCCGGACCCGCACCCCTCGCGCGAGGCCTGGTGCCGCCTCCTCGTGCAGCGCGCCGAGGCGCGCCTCGCCGACGCCCGCAAGCCGCGCAAGCGCGCCGCCCTGGCTGCGGCTACGGCCGCCGGAGCGGAGCCGAGGGACGACGCGGGCCAGCCGGCGGCGGAGGGGGAGAGGGAGAAAGAGGAAGAGGAGGAGGTCGTGCTGCCGCTGGTGCTCGCGAACCACTGGCCGCTGCGCGAGGACCTCGTGTACATCCCGCGGGTGCCGCGCTTCAGCCTCTGGTGCGGCACCAAGGCGACCGAGGACTGGCACCGGCGCTTCGGCGCCGCCGTGGTCGTCTCGGGCCACCTGCACGTGCCCCGGACCGACTGGCGCGACGGCACGCGCTTCGAGGAGTGCAGCCTCGGCTACCCGCGCCAGTGGCGCGAGGTGCACGAGCGCGGCCTCGACATCAACGACCTCCTGCGCGAGATCCTCCCCGGGCCCCCCCCGCCGCCCGGCGGCAACACTACCGTGCGCTGGAGGCGCTGGGGCTGAACCCGGTTACCCCCTCTCCCCCGGTACCCCCTCCCTCCCGGAGAGCCGTCTCGCGCGACGGCAGATGTGAGTATGTAGCCCGCGCGCGTGCCCCCCCCGCCGATATAGAATAGATAACAAGAGAAATTGCTAACCGACCGTCTCGCGCAGGAGTGTCTAGAGTTTTTCTTACGGAGGAGGCAACAGCATAGAGGCGACGGCGGGAGTAGACGGCGAATGTGCCCGCCGGCGCGGATGTAGTGAGGAGGGTGAACTTCAACATGCATAGACATAGGCGGACAAGGCATGATCTTGCCGTACATATACGGCTTCGGCCTTGTATTTTCGTCGATTACATCACATCCCGATCAGACTGGACAGTAGCAGAGTTTATGATCGATTAGGTAGACATTTATTTACGTCCGTCTCCAGAACTGCCTGTCTAGATCCAGATACTGGACAGTATAGTCACCGTCCATTTATGTATGCATGTGCCTGAACAAGCTGGACACACCTCGTTGGACGGCGTACTGACTGCGAGTAAACCTTTTCCTCCTGGCCTTCCGGAGAAACGAGGGGCTGCAGTTAGAGTTTGGCTACTACACCTATAGGCGTTAGGGAGGGTGCTCGCAGACATACGAGACGACTCGAGACGACCTGCTCGCGTGCCCCTCGGCACCTAAGTGGCAGGGCCCCGGAACTAGCCCATGAGTCTCGGTGGATGAGGGGTCGTGTGACCAGGTGAAAACGACCGCCTGTCTAGCAGGACTTCCCCTTCGCAAAACCAGGGCGGAGGCTACGGCTCCGAGGTAGCAACAGGGGCAAGCGGCCGAAGCGTCGACGGCCGGGCCCCCGGGTTTTCCCCGTACCGGGGTCGTATGGATATGACGTAGAGCGCACGTTCGCGTAAAACAAGCTTGTCCTCACCTACATAAGACCGAGAGACGCCCATCCGCCCCTTTTTTCCTTCTTCACGCGGAGCACCGGCGGCGCGGGGCGGGAGCGGGACCGCCTCGGTTCGGAGCAGGGCGTCGGAATGCGGAGCGGGCAGTACAAGCGAGCTGGGCAACGAGATCCGATCTGCCTGTACCTACCTACCTCACTACCCAGATGCTGCAGTAGCAGGGGTGAAGGAATCACGTCCTCGTCATCCCACCCTCCACCACTCCCTCCCCCCCCTACCCTACCCTTCCCTCGATGGGGCAAGAAGGTTCGAGGGGAAGCGATGTGGGACGCAGTCAGCTAGTTGGCCTGCGCGGTTCTTTCGTCTGCCTCGCATCTCCTCCTCCTCCTCCTCCTCCTCCTCCTCCTCCTGTCTTCTTCCGCCGCCGCCGCCGCCGCCTCGAGTTCGTCCCCAACCGGGAGGGAGAACCAGGGTCGTTTAGGCCTTGGGGAGGGCGATGGGGCGGATGTGTGTTTCCAGACCGGTAAGCTGAGCTGATGCTGGGTCCCCTCCTTATTTTTGTTTTTATTTCCAGGTTTCTCTCTCTCTCTCTGTCTGTCGACAAAGCAGCAGCGCACGATGAGCGAAGGGGCCCGGACACGTGTACGCGTGTATGGGTGGATACGTCCCCTCGCGGCCTTGCTGACCTCGCTGACCTCACCGAATTTCGCTGTCGTCTATCCGCTACTGCTAGCGACGCGCGAGTGAGACGCCGACTGGCGCACGGCGGCGCTTCGCGTCGACGAGAGCCCAGCGGATGGGTCCAGAACGGGCCTTGGTTGGAGCGGGAGCGTTGTTCGTGCCCTGCCGCGCGCGCTCGACTCGACACGCATGGGTGCGTACGCGCAGCCATTGTTGGTAGGTGGCCTCAGTAGATAGCCCAGCAGGTGGGGTGCGTACGTCCCGTGTTGGCGCTGCGCCGTAGGCACGAAGGCGGCGGGCCCTGCCAGTCCAGTTGGTCTAGTCCGCCAGCTCGCGCGCGCGGAAGAGCCTGCCCGACGACGTGCCTCCTCGGCGCCCCGTGACACCTTTCACCGGTCTACACCGGTCTACACCGGTAGGTGGGATGGGTGGGATGGGGCGAGGTTTTATTCCCGAGGGTCGACCCCGACCTTACTATCCGCTGGGTAGAGCGAGCGCGCGAGCGAGCTGAGCGTCTGTTGGTTACTAGATCCCCTGCGTCCAGCTTTCCTTTTTCTTCTTACTCAGCTCGCCCCCCCTCCCCCCCTTCTCTACTAACAGCCGGAGGGGGGACCACCGGACTAGACAGGGAGCGTAAGCGTAAGACGGCAAATCGAAGCGGGAAAGGAGGGCGGCGGGGGGCGACGGTGGCTCTCAGATAAGACAGATGTCAGGTAGCTCGTCGCTCGAACGGGCCAACCGGTATCCAAACTGACACACTATCGCCGCTTGGCTAGCGCGTAGAGATACGAAGTCTTTACGCCATGGCCAGGTTGTCGGTCTCGGGGGACCGGACGGGACTCCCGCAAGGTCAGCCAAAGGAGGTGGGCGGGCTATCCATGTGCGCGGTCCGTAAGCAGTGCACGTACATGTCGGTGTGGTGGTGTTGGTCTGGGATCTCGATTACCGGAAGGCTGGAAATCTCCCCGTACGCGCTAAAGCATAGGCGGATGCTCCATGCCTATTTTACCTAGATGTAGGCGAGATCCATATTGTCCATCTGGTGCTCCATCGTCGCCCGGGCCGACGGGGGGGAGGGTGTGCGGGCTGACCTGGAGAGGTACCGAAGTACGCACAGGGCCCCGATTGGGCCTGCCACACACTCGGGTGAGAGGGTAGATTAGGTACCTACCTGTGGGTACCTAAGGTGCCGAAGGTACGCGAGTACACTGTGAGGTACTCTATACTTTAGGTATCTGCGTACCGATAGCGGCAGGTCTAGACTGGTCTCCCCCCCAACTCCTAATTTGCCTAGGAATTGCTTAGGCCGATGTAAGTGGGACCCGCCCGAAGCCGGTCGGGACCGCAGGCCAAGCAAGAGCGGTCGAGTACATTACCAGGTGCGGCGGCGAGGTGAGGTTGGGTACATGTTACCTCATGGCCAGGTAGGCTAGGTACCTTTGGATTGTACCTGTAATACAGAATACAGGTGTAAGGGTAGGTATTTATGAGTATTCATTAGATACTTACCTAGGTTAAGAGGTACCTACCCAACCAACCCCAGGGCGGGGAGGGGGGGATATTTTGGCCGAATCCGGCTTAGGCCATCGGCAGCGCTTGCCCGCCTGCCCAGATCACGCGAGGAGGGGGCTAGATGGGCGACGTCGAATCGCTGGACCGATGCGGCGTGGATCGGGGAGCCGGACGCTGCGGAACCGGAACTCGCCAACCGCCTCTCTCTCTCGAACGTGCCTAGCGCGCCAGGTGGTCGTGGCCGTGGTTGCGGGTTACGGGCTACGAGATATGCCTATGTAGAGTACCTAAGTAGGGAGGTAGACGCATGGCCCTGCGCAGGAATCTATTCCTTCCCACGCGCAGGAGTGCGTATGAGTACGGCACCAAGTAGGCGACCGGTCAGCGATCGGGCGATGCGGCTTGCGTCCTCCTACGGTAGCCCGGCACCGAAGAGCGGCGTTGCTACGCCAAGCAGGTAGCTAGCTGCGCCGCCAGCACGAAGAGCCACTGCGCGCAGGAGACGTGATGTGCGATGGCGGCGAAAAAGAAAAGGAGAAAAAAAAGAAACACACAGAGAGGGAGAAAATCAGAATAAGCCGGCGGCCTAATAGGCTACAGACGACTATACGAGAGGACGGGATCTGCGCTGCGCTCAAGTCAGCGAGGGCGCTTGGCGCGTAGGATTCCACAATCAGGCCACCGTCCCCCTTCCCCCCCAGAGCCGTGGCTTAGGGATGGGAGCGATGGGGTTGGGAAGTGAGATGAGATTGGGGCGGACGCGCACCCTGGCTAGGCCGGCTGTCGAAGACGCAGGCGAAGGATCTGGTGGTGGTCGGGGGGGGGGGGCCTGAAACGGGGAATATGCGCATGTACCGGTACAACGGCCGAGCAACCTGCGGTCTGCTGCGAGATGAAGGGTGGGGGATCTGGGGGGGATCTGGGCAGATCTCGATTGGCAAACTGGCAGCAGACACCACGTGGCGCCGAAGGAGGTATCTGCACTTCTAGAAGCCAGGTAGCGTGTACATGCCGACTGGCACACCTACTCGTAGTCGGAATAGGTACCTAACCTACCTACCTACCTACCTAGACGTATGCGCACACCAGCGCCGTATTTACCTACCTAACCTACCTACCTATGTCGGTGCACGTCGGTGCGCAGGTTGGCGGGCGAGGAAACCAGCTAGCCCACCAGACCAAGCGGCGCCAGACCCAACAGGCGCCTCGCCATCCCAAGTCAGGTACCTACCTACCTCTACCTCCGGGTAGACCTCTCTAGCATACCTCTCTCCGGCCTGTTAGGCACCTAATGTACCTAATTGCTAGTACCTAGAGGCATCCCAAGAGACACCGTAGGCACCCAAGGTAGGCGCCTTGAGGTACCGAGTGAGGGATACCCACGGAGACGGACTCTGGTCGACACTAGCAGGTGTCAGCCAGCGGACCCCTGCCTATACCGGTAGGGGTTCGCCCTCTACCTCTATCGACTACCTCCTATTGTTTCCACCTACGGTGCGACCGCGAGGGACGAGCTGAGTTGGGTTGCCCCCCCCTCCCCCCGCCTCTCTCTACCTGTAACGCTCTCTCTATCTATATCTCTCTCTCCTCTCGTCGTGGCCCGCCGCCTCAGACAAAGTCTCAACCAACTACCGTACGCGGCCCGGGTCGCTTCGGGCGATAGCATCGATTTGTCTCTGGACAACCCATCTCGCATAGATCCCGCGGCACCGGCCAGACGCAGACGCGGCGCGTTCCAGGGAACGCTGCTGTCTCGCGATGCGCGCTACGCAGGAGTGGCTATGCATGGATCGCATCATAAGTGTACGGCCATGCCGTGTACCTTGGCGTATCTGTCTATCTATGCGACATCTCGCCAGCTGTCCATGCTAGCGAAGGGGGGGTTGGATAAGATGGGCGAGAAGTCGGCGGGCCGGCCGGTCATACACCACGCCACATCACGTCCCGTGTGCGGGTTAAAGAGGCATCGAGGCGTGCCCCTTACTACATGCGAATCAGACGATCCCGTCTTGGTCTCCTGTCGCCCATCGCATAAGTTCGGGGCAGGAAGAAGAAGTATGGGGAAAAGCAAAAAGCCCCTTACTACGGCCATGTAGTAACCTTGCTAATAGGTGTCAGCAATAACCTAACCCGCCCCGTACGCGCGCGGGGACGACACAAGAACGCCATGACCTGATTTTCCCCGTCTTTCTTTTTCCGTCTCTGAAACCACCGCCCCACGACCCAGCATAAGCACACTATCTCGGGTGCCACGTTTGACACACGGGGTAGGGCGGGACACGAATTCGTGGGAGAGTGAATCAAGGGTCGATCCGGGTCTTAGATTTGTACGAGGCCGCATTGGAGGGATGAGGAGGAGAAGGCAAGTCAAAAGAAAAGCAAAAAAAGGGCTGGTGGCGACGGAGCGGTGGATATGAGCAGGCGAGACAGGTAAGACAGGTAGAAGAATAATATCAGATCCCAGGCGAACTCGGCTATCTCCACGCAGCACACGCGCTATGTAACCAAGTAATCTAAGAAACGCTCCAAAAGATACACAACGCTATAGGCGAGATCGTCGCGGGAATATCCCAACAAGAGTTAGAAAAGGAAAAGAAAAAAAAAGGTAGGGGGGAGGGGGGGGGGTAGAGGAAACCGGGTTCTCGTCATGTCAACTGACAGGCCATACAGTAGCTAAGAAGCAAAAGCAAGAAGACATGATGCTTTTCTTCCTCTCGAGATCGACGGCTTTAGCCCGTTACTATTATGCCCGACCCGGCATGCACCCCGATCCTAAAATCTCCGAAACGGTCTCCGCCTAATCGAGAGAATAGAGACAGAGAGAGACAGAGAGACAGAGAAAGGGACAGCCAACTAACTCACCGACTTGGCCCTCTTTCTCTCTTTCTCTCTTCGCTGCTAACCGCCCTTTATAGGGTACACATATTACCTATATAACACAACGGGCCCGTACTATTTCCATGCACCGATACCTACGTCAAGAGGAATAAAGGAAGAAAGAAGAGAGGGGAAAAGAAAAGAAAAGAAAAGAAAAGGGGATGGGGAGATTAGCTTCCTGACCCGAGACGGAGTTCGCTACAACCCTAACGCATCGAAACATCCCAGCTCCCCCTAAACCCGCTCCAGGATCCATACCCACAATGCTTTCTCGGTCTCGGTACCGGCCATCTGGCCATCTGCATCCATGGTATACCACCTACGTACCTACGCATGGCCTATCCTGTTATTAGGTACGAATTACGTGTTGAGACCCCGGACGACGCTGCTGCTGCTGCTGCTGCTGCCTCTGCTACGTAAGTACCTAGGTAATACCTCACCCAAGACACCCCCCGAAAAAGAGATGTCTCGCATGTAGGCATGTGGGAGATGCAAGCCACATACGTATCTAGAATTGGGGGAGGGACGGGGGGAAGAGTCCTGCTTGACACGGAAAAGAAAAAGAAAAAGTAGGGAAAAGGGAAGAGGGAAACAGGGAGAGCAGAGAGGAAACCGGCGAATCGGAAAGTGTGCATGTAGCGCCCGCTTCTGTCGGTCTGTCTGTCTGTCTTGCTTTCTCCCGTCCTTACGTTGCTACATCCCTGGCCTACCTACCTACCTAGGTTCCTATCTACCCACCTACGACACCGCACCTCCGTGCAGCAGCCGCACGGCCGGTGCCGGCATCTCGCGGCCACGGCCAGGCCAGTCCACCCCCCTTTCCCCCCTCTTCCCAAGCGGGACGGGGACGAGCCGGCGAGCGCGCCTTGGGGGCCTCGGCGGCCGGTCGCGGGAGCCAGCGGTGGCGCGGCCGGAAAGGGGGGGGGCGCGCATGCGGCTTGCCGACGGCCAGTCACTGTCGACCAGCCCGCCTGTCTGCCTGTCTGTCTGTCTGTCTGGCCTCCCTTGCCTGCTCTCTCTCTCTCTCTCTCCTTCTCGGCCAGGCAACGCGTCCCCTAGCTTCGCCTCCGCCGCCGCCCTCTGCGCTGCCCGCATCACACCCCCTTCCTACCCACCCTATCTTAGGTAGGTAGGTCTCTAACACACCCGTGGTCCTCGACGCGATTCGCTGGGCGGGTGCGGCCGCGCGTAGCACGTTCCCCCCCTCTCCCCCCCGCGCGCGCACGCACCCGAGCCGTGCCGTGCCGTGCCGTCCCGTCTGCCACGAACCTGTGGTAGGAGCGCAGCGGCAAGGAGAGAGAGGGAGGGAGGGAGGGAGGGAGGCCGCCGGGTAGAGGACGGGCGAGAGGCGGAGGGTGGTGGTACGGGATTCTTTCATATAAGAGGTAGGTAGGTACCTAGGTAGGTGTAGGTAGGTAGAGGGGGGGTTGTGTCTCCTGTGTACAGTGCCCGCGTACGCGTACGCGCCCGCGTGCGCTGGGAAAACGGAGGTGTGTGTGGGACGTGAACACATGCCGTGCATTGTAGGTATCTAAGATCGCGTAGGCGAGGCAGGCAGGCAGGCAGGTATCGAAGCAAAGCGACGGACGCGAAGCCGGCGTGGCCTCGTTGCTGGCGGGCTGGCTGTGTCTCGCTCGCCCTCCCTCTCCCGCCTACCTACATCGTTTCCTAGGCCAGGTTGCTTGCGTGGGTGGCTACCTAGGCGCTCTAGGTAGGTATTATGTCGAGGCAGGTAGTTAGATAACAGCCACATACGCCCTCCGCCTCCACCGGCGTGCCGGGCTGGCTGGCCAGGTTAGCTCGAGCTACGTCGCATACTTGCCTGTGAGCGAGATCTGTCGGCCTGCGTACATACAGGGGGGAGGGGGAGGGCGTTCGTATGCAGATCCCGCCTAGCTGCATGGAGGCGAACTGGGTTGGATTTTTTTTTATTCTCCCAAGCCCGCGCTGCGCCCCTTACCTACATCCTTACACCTCTTCTCTTCCTTGCGCAGTTATGTATTCACTCCCCCCCCTCTCTCCTCCTCTTCGTCGGTGATACACTTTCGTGCCACGGCGCAGCGCGGAACGGGATAACACGCCTGCTGCGTAGGATAAAGATAGGTGCGTGTAGGTAGGCAGGTATGCATATCAGTTGAGGAGCGACGGACGGACGGAGGCGCCTGGCTCCTGTAGCGCCGCCCTTCTCATCTGCGCCCCCCCTTGTCTCCCCGGGCCCGGCCAGCTACGTTCTACGGGCCTCTCCCCATCGACCCCTCCCTCCCTCCCTCTCGGCTCCTCCTCCTCCTGTTCGCGCTCCCGCAACCCGGACCGCCACCCAGAGGCCCTCTGCGGGCGAGCGAACGCGGGAAATGCAATCAGCCGGAACGCGCGCGCGCGCGCGCGTGCATACATCGCTGCGCCTGCCTATTGTATACGCAGCTATCCAGCTCCCCCATGCGTCGCGGATGTACGTACGGGGCACACGCGGACGGGGCCGGCAGAGCGGAAGGGGGAAAGGGGGAAAGGGGGCGCGCGCGCGCGTGGCGGCGAGTGGGCTGGCCTGGCCTGGGGCGTGACAGCCTGGGCCGCCCGCCCGCCCGCCCGCTCTCTGCTGCCTGGCGATCTGGTCCCGGGCGCGCAGCCGGCGCCGGCGTCGCAGGACTTCGCGCCAGCGCCAGCGCCACCGCGTATACGATGATGTGACGTGCGGCGTCGGCACGGAAGTAGGCTGCGCGTGCGCGCGCGCGCTGCCGGCGTCTGTGAGAGGGAGGGAGGGAGGGCAATCTCGAATCGTGTTTCGTATCGTGCCTAGCTATCATTTGCCTGCCTCGCCTCCCTACGTAGGTAGCTGCTGAGTCCGGCCAGATCCGGCCGCGAGATCCAGTCTATATCGACGCCTACGTTGACGTCTATCTCTGTTTGCATATATCTAAGTAGATGTGGATGTATAAGGGGGGCGAGGTAGGCCGGGGCGGGGGGGAGGCCAGGGACCCAGATGTGGTGGGATTGGTGGTGTAGGTCTACATAGGTATATACCTATATGCCTATACCTGGCATATATTAGTAGATATATATGGGATTATGGATGGTACCTGTTATTAATAGCCCGCATGAGAAACGCCCTGTCGGTCCTTGACTTGGACGTGTTGTGAGATATATATGAGCCTCGGGCGCCGCGACCTGCCTGTAAACCTATGTAGGTATTACCTATAATATAGTGCAGGCCTACACATTCTGGGCTATACGCACACACATACTACCTACGTATAGGGCGCCGCCGCCGTCGCAGCCGCCGCCGCAGCAGCAGCTGAAAACCGCGGATCATTTCTCATTTCAATCGAGCATGAATGAAATATCCGGTCTTGTTTTCTCCTTTCTTTTTTTTCTGCTTCGTCGGTCTCTTATTCCCGATGCCCCCCTTCTTCTCCCATCCCCTAGGTAATCTTATCCCTCACCTGCAGGATTCTCGAGCCCTGCTTGGCCCACCACGCCTAATGCTTGATTATCACCCGGCGCCCCATGGCTTCGACCGCCCACGGACTTCCTACGGCGGTGTGAGGGAGGCCGAGACTCGCGTTCTCGTTCCCCAGTCCTGTAGGTCGGCTTGCTGCCGGGTAGGCAGACGCCCAACGTAGGCGGAGGGAGGTGGGGGGCCGGGGTCGAATGGGAAAAAGGGGGGGGGGGGAAGAAACCGAAAAAAGACTCGACGGGCTTTTTCTTCTTCCCGCTGGCTTGGGCCGTTCTGTGAAGGGCGAGGGTCGTGCAAATGGCGTCGCGAGCTTTCAGACGCGGCCTGGTTGGTGGACCGGTTGGGATCTGAATGTCACTCGGCGCATGTTCCTATATAATTCGTATGCATGTCTATATATCATCTACTTACGTCTCTCTACCTGCCTGCCTGCCTGCCTGCCTACATATATACCTATATCTACCCACCTACCTACATTGCATACATTACATACATACGTATATATATGCGCAACCTGCAGGACGCCTCGCGACGCGCAGTCGCCACGGCAGGGGAGGGGGATTGGAGGGGGAGGGGAATCTAAAGAGAGGCCTTCAGCGGGAAGCGAACAAGAGAAGGACGAACGAGTATATGCCCGTGTTGGATGTGTGGAGGGTACGGCCTAGTGTAGGGTCGCAACGAAGCACTTGTGCCTGAGTAAGAGAGAACTGGGCTTCGCTAGCCCAGCTACCAGCGAGCGGGCACGATGATCTCGCACCAGGGTACAAGATTCCCGTCCCTCCATCATCGCCGTCGCCCAACGCGTGTGGGCATGCAATTGGTGCGTTCGGCCTCGGGGCCCGCGGTTCGTGCCAGCCACACGCGCGCGCGCAGGCACATCATCCGCCGAGGGGGGCCGCGAGAAGCGAGCCAGGGAGGGAGGGAGAGGGCAGACGGGGGGAAACCGGGCATGCACTACGAATAACTCACACCTACACGCTTATCTACCTACTCGACATCGTACTCTAGACGAGAGAGGCAGGGGAGGACCCGGATGGGCGGGAAGACCGGGGTAGTGAAAAGGGAAATGAACAGGAAGAACGCGAGAAAAGAAAGAAGTACATATCGTGGTGTGCAGAGGAGGGAGGGATCCGATCCGCATTCTGTATGGAGGTTAGGTTGAAAGATTCAGGGTCTCAGGAAGAAAAGGTGTCTCGCAACCTTGCCCAACCTTGGATCCCACGAGCCGATCTCTGCTGATCGAGGTTAGCTGTCCGCTCGCTTGCAACCTACCTGCCTGTCTGCCTGTCCACCTGCTACGCCCAACCTCGCCGACCTGTCCACGTCGGATCCCTTCTGTTGCTGCTGCTGCTGCTGCTGCTGCTGCTGCAACGTACCCGATACCCGTCACGATCATAGGAGGTAGGGAGGGAAGCAGGCAAGTAGATAGGTAGGTTAGTTGTTTACTTAGTGGGCAGTGAGGTGAGGCACGGCGCGGTTCCCTGCTACTACGTACGCCCAACCAAACCAGCGACCAAACGGGACGAGCTCGAGAAGTGAGAACAGAGGCTCCCGCGCTTCCCGGGGGTGGGGGACACGATGGGATGCGTCGCGCGCGGCCTGCACTCTGGGTTGGTGGGCAGGCAGGTAGGCAGGTAAGCACACGTGCCGCAGGTCCGCCATGTCGAGAGTAAGAGTCCGGGGAGGGAGAGTACGCGTAGGCGGCATGACACGGCACGGCATGGTTTGGAATATAGGTAGGTAGAATCACGTAAAACTAGTAGTAAGTAATGTGCGCGCGTGCATAGACACATACTACACACATGTGATGTACTTTCCGACCCTGGGGCGCCATATGCGGCATCGGGGTGGGAGAGAGAGCAGCAGGTCCTAGGAGGGAGGGGGGGAGGAAAGGGGTTCGAGGCAAGTTTTTGTTGTCCTCTCTTTTCTTGCCCTTTTCGTCAAATCGAGGTTGGCATGTCATCAATCTGACATGTCGCATCGCACAGCATTTCTGGTCTGTGGAGAGGGAGAGCGGCAGAGAAGGCCGCCGCGTGGGTGCTTGTGTGTGTGTGAGAGTGAGTGCGAGTGTAAGCATAGACGTGGAAGAGGGTGTGTGTAAGCATGTAGTAGGTGTTGGGGACGTCGGCCGGGGGAGGGGAGTCGAGGGCAAGCCGAGGAGAGGAGACGGCAGCAGAAAGGAACTGCACCCTGCCATCATCGTCCAGAGCGCCTCATCCGAATAGAATACACTCGATACGACCTTGAGCCCCCCGCCCCCTGCCCATGAATGTATACTGGCATACCTACGTGCCGACGTGTCCGTACTAGCTAGCCTCTGATACACCCACGCGAAAACCTGACCCGGCTCTGCTCTCTTCTCGCCCATCCCCCGTGCTCTCTCCGCCTTCTTGGAGAAGAAGTCATATGAGCACGTCCTTTTAGGCTCGAGAGCGGCGGCACGGGCCTGTGCCGTCGCGCTGCGTTAGGGACGCACAGCGCATCCGCCCACATCTCTCTCCTGCCCCACCGTCTGTCTAGGTACCCTTTTCGTCTCCCTCTAGGGTTAAAAATGGGGAGGAGGAAGAGAGGCAGAGCTGGAACAGGGGAAGGCATCCGGAAGGAGAAGATGGGAAGGCGAAAAGACAGAGAGACAGAAAGACAGGAGACCGGGAACGGATGTCGAGCTGGTATCCTTATCTCGAACCGATCATTACTACCATTGGTCCTATGGTACGAGTAAGGACATAGGTGAGGCCTCTTTTCCCACCCCGCGTCGTGTTACTACGGGCAGCGGGAAGATACGGGGGGGAGTCTCTAGGCGAGCCAAGCAATAATGTCAACGACGATAAATGAAGGCTGCCGAAGGGCGTACGAGACCAGCGATATCTCCTCTATGCGCTTCCTGACAAGCCGCCGTGTTTGTGGATGCCATGGTCGCACGCGGGTTTCCATCGTGGTGAAACCGCATGCGCTGTTCGTTTCAAGCGGATAGCCATATACCATCACGTTTGGCCGTGAACCGTGTAGGTGGCTGACTGCCTCTCTTAACCTCTTACCTCTTATCTCGCCCGTCTACCTATCTCCTGTGGACGCCAATCGCAGGGAGAGGAAAGGGATGGCAGGGAGCAGCAGGGAGCTGGAGGACCCCGGCCAGAAGTACTAAGAGGTCCCGTAAGGGAAGAAGATTATTCTGTAATTTGGGTCTCGATCAGCAGCGATCGCTCACTTGTCGCTTGTCTGATATTGCCCCGGTCAAGCCCTGTTGGCCAATCACTCTCCTAACGAATCCCTCCTCCCCTCCTCCTCCCGACATCGCCTTCTTCAGTAACTAACGATATCGTAAACTATTTTCTTTCGATATTTTATTTTTTAAGCAGGTCTAACCCGGTAAAATAAGCGTTTTTGGGTAATGGTTGTATGCTTATCTACCAGTGCTAAGACTGACAAAAATGGACTTGCGTCGTCATCGCCGGGGTGGAATGATGAATCCCTTCGAACCCCGTCCCTCTCTATCACCACCAAAAATTGTGCGCTCAAATCTCCCGCTTTTCTTGTTTTCCTCCCGCGGACCCATACCATGCGTACGTCCGCGCCTCGGGCTCGTTCTATCTCCTACACTGCTGCTCTCGTACCAATCCCCTTAGAACGACCCAAGCTCAACTCCTATATGCGACTCCTAGCTAGCACGTAGCACTTTTCACCAGGATCCCGTTAATCGAACCAGGAAGCAGTATCAGAAAGCGTACCACGACAAATAAAAATTCAAACGTAGTGAGGGGAGCCAGACGCCGAACGATGCCAAGACGTGACCTGCCGAATCCTTTTTCCCAGGTGAGGGGGGTATATACAACGAAAGCTAACGAAGTAGAGGACGAGACCGGATGGCGGGGGAAAAAAAAAAAGGTAGAATCCAGATTGGGTATATAATTAACGTAGAAGTGTATATATATATGTATTTATAGGTAGTATATATGTCGAAAAGGGTGAGAGGGAGAGATGTTAGTTGTAGGTATGGAGTTGTCGAAGGTCAGTAGGATATGGGTTTGGCTTCGCTCGAATATCGACTGGCCGATGCTGTCGATCGGAAGTCGTGCCACCACCCAGTCCGAGCTTGCAAAGGTCTCTAGGAACTGGCTGGCGGCTCGTTCTCATGCGTGTCGCCCTGTAACGTAAGCGGGAAGATTGATCTGTCGGATATCGGACATCTCAGACTCGCTCCTCCACAGTCTTCGGTCGGATAGAGCGCTGCTCCATCTGTCGTTTCCTCTCCAGCTTGGCGTAGTGAAGCCCGCATGCGTTGCACAGGGTCCTCGCGCCATCCGGCCCTCGTCGCCACTCTGGGGTATCGATCCTGTTGCAACTATGACATCGACCAGGGGGTGCGGCGCGCTACGAGCGGTGAGTGGCTCTGTATGATCACCGTGCGTTTTGATGGATGACTTACCCCTCGCCGCTTCTTGATTTCCGGCGCAAGGCCGTACGGCTTGTTCATACCTTCGCCGTACATGCTGATATCGTCATCTCCGTCGTAGGGGCCCTTGGCGCGCCCGCCTTCCCGGGCCTTCTCGGTTGCGATACTCCGCTGCACTAATTCTCGGAGGTTCTCCAGCGCGTGCTTGGCGTATTCTACGTTGCCGAGCATGCTCGAGACCTCGGACTCGCTAGGCAGCCGTTCCGGGATCGGCTGTCCGCCGTGCTGCTCCATCGCAATCTTGCCGTACGCCTCTGCAAAGTTGCAGATCGTCCTCGAAGTCCACGACAACTGCTGGATATGTTAGTCGGGAGAGCGTCGCGCCGGACAGTAGGGGAGGGGGGGCAAACCTTGCGGAGAGTATCCTGGTAGCCCCACGACTCAAAGTGTTGATTTAGAGCCGTGTTATCGAAGCGACTCCTATGCATCCCATAATCTTCGTCGCTGTGAAGCGGTGGACGAGGCTGGTCGTAGGGAGGCAGCGAAGGACCCAGGTGGTGTGGCGAGATGGGTGCCGGGGGCAGCGGGTACTGGCCTGGCGGATACGGGATCTGGGGCGGAGGGTTTGCGTGACCGCTGTTGGGCGCAGCCTCTAGAGGTTTCGTAGGGTCGCGCTGCTCCGGGAATGCGTACACAGAATTGGGCGGGCCCGGCGGTGGACCAACGTCCGGCCGCGGAGGGTAACGAAAGAATTTGTCTTCGTGCGAAGGCGGCGCTGGTCGCGGCTCGGGCGGCGGTTCCGACCTGGGCGGCGCCGAAGAGCTAAAGGGATGAGGGAGGCTGTGGGAACCGGCCAACGCCGTAGGGGTGGTTGGCGAGTAATGGCTCGGCTTAGCGCCCGAGAACACTTCTGATATGGAGGGGAGGGACTGCCGCTGGGAGGGTTCTGATTCATTAGATGTTCTCCTGCTCTCCCCGGGCGAGATCATGCCGGGCATGGCCGACGGCGGCTGGTGGTAGGCGGGAGGAAACGGCGGTTTGTGAGGGTGATATACGGGAGCCGGGTTTATCAGAGATGTGGCGGCCATGGTCGGCGCTTCGCGTGCAAGTCGCCTTGTGGGTTCCGGAAGACGCTGGCTGTAGGTATCAAGCTTGCTAGCGGAGGTGAAACCACTACGAAAGAAGGTATACTGATCAACTTTGGCTCCAAAAGACGGTTTTTTTTTTCTGCCAGACGCGCTATGGAGCTTAGCAGCTCGACTTAAGAAACGGACCTTTGCCTAGTGCCAGATTCACCCGCTTCCATAGCGGGACTACTGCCAGTCGCGATACCAATCTCTCCAACCGATCAGCTTAGAACTGCCCACGCATCGGAGATGTCGTTGGTTCCCCTCGTTGTTTGCTAGATCGATCGTAGCCGATATAAGAAAAAAAGCCGGCGTTGTTGGAGGTCTTCGGCGCTGCGCGCCTTACGGAGATGGGAGAAAGGTGAAAGGGGTGGAGGGAGAAGAGTCGACTCGGGGCAGCTTTCTGTTGGTGCCACAAAACTGCGAGGACGAGAGGACCTTCAGACTGAAGGTGACATAGAACCCACGGACTCGGGCCAGAGAAAGGTCCCGTCTATTGACCGGCACACGCACGAGTGGCGTCAGGATGTCGAAACTGTATCTTGGGACCCGAATTGATTAGAAAACTTCAGAAGCACGCAACGCAGCAAGACGGGAAAGGGATTGGTAGGAACGGCGGTGCAGAAGCTTCGTGTGTGTCTGCTCCTGGACGGCCTTGAGGACGGGAGGGGACTCCTCGTATGTTGTATATACAGACAGGACCGGACCGAACTACCACGATGAGTAGCGGCATGGGGAGGGGGGGGGGGGGTTGGTTGGGTTGTGTTCTCTTTTCTTTTTTTCTTCTTGTTCCGTTCTTCTCCTCTTCTCTTCCCTTTCACGACATTCTTAGCATTCTCACCTTTTTTTGACGTAGCCACTACAAGTGGGTCTACGATATGGTCCGAAGAGCGAACTCCGAAGGTTAGAATTTGGCTCTCGGCCCACGGGTATGTGCGTGTCGTTGTCAAGTCTGGCTGGGAACTTATGGACCGTCCCGAATCGCCAACGGTAAGCGACGAGGTATCTTTTCGCGTCAGGTGACGGGAAATCGTCGAGTGAGCTGGCAGCACGTCCGAAAGCGCCGCGCTACGCAGACGAGAATAGGTAACGTGTATATGGACGGAGGGACGGGAAGATGGGTAGAGAGGTGGGATGGGTTGGATGGATGTATATGTATGTATGGGTATGGTATAAGTGTATATATGTATGTATGTAGGTCGGTAGGATCTCAACCAAAATCGTGGGCCGGAATAGAGCGCGGACGAACCAAGATATTTGATCGTAGATATGCTGGGGGGTCAACCTTCGGGACCTCGTGACGCTTAGATGGACTAGATGAGGAAAGGGGAGAGGAAGAAAAGAGAGAGAGAGAAGAAAGAAAGAAAAAAAAGAAGACCCAGAAGCACAGTGACGAAAACGCGGGCGATGCATTGTATTAAGAGGTTATGGAAAACAAGCACAGCAGATTGATGGGACCAGGACCGATACAGGCCTGTATCTTTTTTTTTCCCTTCCTAATTTCATGGCTATGATGGTATGATGTACCATACATAGCGCGGTCTAGCGATTTGCAGTGCTTCGTGAATGGGCAAATATGCCCCAAGAAGGGACCTGTACATAGGGAACGGGCACCCTTGTCCACCAATTTATCGCATGTATCTACAGCAGTACCGTACATTACCATGCAGCATGTACAGTGACTACGGTACGGAGACTTTAACCTGGGTCACTCGAGGTGGGGGAAACGGGGGACGAAAAGGAATCAGGACAAGGGTGCGAATCTCACAAGGCAGGGTTCGCAGCCAGTCAGTTGGTACAGCGGTCTCCGTCCACGGTCGTGACAGAATCCTGGGGAGCGCGAGAAGAGGACAGCGAGCGCAGAGAGATTTGCCCGCGATTGGTGCACGCACTACCTTTGCCCTGTCCCGCCATGCCCTCCCCACCCTCTCGTTGAGAAGTAGTAAGAGTACATAGTCGTTGTAGTGGCAGTGGCGGCGGCGGCAGCAGGGACAGCATCGCTGTCACTATCGTCATCGTCATGTCCGGGGCTTTTTGTCCAGCCAGCCTGGCAGGGCCCCCTTCCCTCAGCCGTCGCACGCCTGCAACGTCCACTGGGCAAACATGATCATCGCTACTTTTGGCGAGTTGGTAGATGCTAACAGGGCAGAAGAAAGAGAGGGGGGGAGGGGAGGGAGAGAAGGAGAAGAAAGAGAGAGAGAGAGAGAGAGAGAGAGAGGCAGGACGGCGCTACCCTGCACGACTGCGAGCAAGGTCCACGACGGTGATGAGGACAGCCGGGTATGATCGCCTGGGAGTAGTGAGATGACGATCTCTTTTGTTTCTCAGGCGTACATGTATGTATGTATAGTACCAGTTAGTTAGCCCCAGTCGCATGGGACTTCTGGGCGAATCTGAGCGCGAACGGATCGCTCCCGATGCCCAAGACTTGGGTACGGTACAGCAGCCATACCTCGCACTAACTTTGTAGAGGGAATGACGAGTCTCCGAAACCTGTCAGGTCACGCCATTATCCTCACAGCGAAATAAGGTGGCACCACTTTTTGGGGATCCAGGGCTGTTACATAGTAGACGGTGAGAGTTACAGGCCCTGGGTGGCGATAGACCCCATCGACTAGCATCGTTGCCAACCCTTTGGCAGCTCAGATCGAAGATGAGATGGCGGTAGGGTGACCGGGGGAATGGGGAGGGGTGGGTGGGAAGGGGTCCCGCATACCGGGAGTTCCTGATTGGGGGGGAGGGTTGAGGGTACCATTCGGTGCGCTCGAAGAACATCGTCCTCGATTTGACGATCTCTCGGCTCCAATCCCCAGTCCGCAATCCGCGATCCAGATGGCGGATGACTGACCGATGGGCGGCCAGGCGGACGGACTCGCCCCCCTTCCCTCCCCTTCCCCAATCCCTACCCAAGGCGACAGAGAGGACAGAGGGATTATCCGCGGACAGAGACGGCGCACGGCTGGTGTCGCTTCTGTTGACTGGTGTCCTCCTGAAAACATCGGGTTCCCCTAGGTATGTAGACGCACCGACCCAGGGCCACTAGGGCTGGGCTAGTACATAGACGAAAAGGCATGTAGGTAAGCCAGATATCTGCGAGCTGGTTGGCCGGTCTGGCCGGGAGGATGGGATCGTATGTAGGCCTGTATGTGTCGTTGTATGTGATGTAGACAGGCACACGTAGGCACGGATCGGTGGGTGTATGTATTCGCAGAGGCCCAGGCCGAACGGGCAACGTACCTACGCTCTCGTCCTTGGGCGCGGCGGCGAGCAAATCTGCGGGTATCCTATCAGCAGAAGTGCCAGGTCTCATATGGGGCGGCAGGCGAACATCATTGCTGCTTTGGCGCCGTGAGATTTCAGCGACCGGGGTGAAAATGGGACCGGATGGATTGGGGTTCGAGGTTACGAGAGGAGAGAAGCAGAGCAGGGTGACAAGAGACAGGAAGAGAACATGGCGAGCATGTGTGCTGCATGGGTCCACGCGCGGGTGGATCCATTGTCCCAGGGGGGAGGAGGAGGAGGAGGGAGAGGGAGGTACCCAGTATCTTCGGTACAGATACGTGTATATAGTACATCGCACGGATGGGCGAGACGCAGGCGGGCGTGGGTGTACAGTATACCGACGTGCCGACCCGCACTAACCGGATGCGGGCAATGTAACCAGTCCGGGCGGGCAGCCCATGGGCTAGGTGCCTTATGTACAGTGCAGAGTGGGACACACGTACCGAGGTACGCAGCTTAGATTGCATAGGAGGGTCCGCTGGTGGATGCAGATGGATCTCATTGAAAAGAGGTGGGGCCGTGGAGAAGCGTCTTTGGGCCGCACGTCCTAAGGGTGCCTATCCCTGAATACCGTGCCTAGGTACCACGTACCTACCTGTAGCGATCCACTCCACCCCATGCAGCCCGCCCGTCCAAATCTGCCTTCTCCGGGATGTACCCGGGTACCTCTTCCCTCGTCTGATGGGAGTCGTAGGTGCCTAACCCTGGGTTGACAGGAACCAGGCCAGGGCGGCTGTATGTTGCCGGCCCAGGGTGTCTGCGTACCTATACTTCGTGGCCAGATGCAGGCTGACGATGAGGTGCCTGTGTCGTAGCGCGCAGGAGATATCCAAGTAGCCTAGGGCAAGGATCACTGTTGCATCGCATCACGTACCCATCTGTAGGTATAACTACGTAGACTACGTAGGTATCTCGGTACCTGGGCTGCTCCCTGGTACCGGTACCTAATCTAGGAGGCAGGTTAGAGGGCGCTGCCTCCGATCTCCCACTAACCCTATAGGTAGGTAGGTACCTAACCCTCGGCGGCTCCTAGAGGTAGGCGCGACTTCTGCAGCCTACCTAGGTACATAAATACACCTAGGTATGTTTGTGTTTTCCGCCCGTCTGCCCTGGACACCTGGTATTTAATCCCTCCTATTATCCAGAATTGGCCGGTCTTTGTTTTATTCCCATTCTTATTGCCTCTCTCAGCGGAGTGATCGCCGGATGACCTTTATTTAAAGACCATCGTAAGCATCGATACTCTCGATCGTCCCGTCACTCCGTCGATGCAACAGTGAGAACAGCGACCGACCCTTGAATTTGCATCAGGTGTTTGCGATCTGTATAGTGCGGCGATAGAAATAACTTGGGAACTATGTAGCCCGCGAGTCTGCCCCAACCCGGCTTGTCGACCTGATCAGACTCGAACGCCTTTTTTTTTCTAGCAGGGGCGTCGATGCTATGGACAGATGAACTCACTAGATCGTCCCAAGCCACTGGTTAAGCATATGTTGACTTTTGTTTTCCCTTACCTGCCTGCCAGTGACTTGACGTCGAGTACCGGAGGCCTTCGTCGAGGCAATAATCATTCCGGCCTCGTCACCGTACACTCGTGATAACTGCCTGCTGCTCACCTGCCTGTCTACCTACGCATCCAATCATGGAAGAGTGGGATTCTCAGAACTCATATATCAGAA